AATAATAAAAAAAACTACGATAAAAAAGAGGGATCTTTCTTTTCATATTTTAGCCAGTCATCTCAGGTTCCAGCCAAAGGCATTCGATATATCATGACGGGATGTAATATCAGTAGGAACATTATCGTAAATTCTCGCTAATTGACGAACATATTAGACATTCTGAGCACACATTACAAAACTCTCATATAGAAATACCGTCATGCTCTCATGACACTGTCATCATCTCGAAAGAGCATAAAAGGATAGGGAATTCTTTGGAGAATACAAACCCATCTTAGAGAACGAAAGTCTGAGCGGGTTTGATCTTTACTGAACTAAGTGGTTTAAACATTTTACACTGTAGGTATGGTAGATGTTGCACAAATATGTCAAATAAAATCAGTCGAATCATTTGCAAGTACAACACAATACCTGTACATAAGAAAACTACAAAATATATGATAAGTTGACATGTATCATGTAAATGCACCATTTATTAAACCTACTAGTACACCATCTGAAGAGAGACAAAAGCAGTGAAAAAAGTCTACTCGTGATTGATATCGCCATTGTACCGGTTCTGTGAGAAACATCTAACCATTAGTTGCAAAGAAATGTATTATTTCTGCTTACATAAAAAGTTATTTTGTTATAAGTTTCCCTTAAAAAAGCTCAAAGCTGAGTGGAATGCATATTGTAATGTCATCGATAGATAAAATGTCAAGATAGCTTTTTCTCGTGGTTTACAAAACCAAAAAAGGTTTGCTTTTGCCTCTTCCATAATAATATTAACAAAAAATGTCCATTGCTAAAAATGATTGTTAAGACATAGTTTTTTTTTCACAATTTGACAATAGGTCGAGATTTTAAACTCTGATTTTCATGTTTAAGATACTTTTGGTAATTTCTTGTAGTGCACCAATTTTTAAAGAAATAAAAAAGAAATCAACTTTCTATTACAGGAGCCGAAATTACTACCGTTGCCTATATCCTAGTTTTAATATTTTGAATTTTAATGCTAAAACACTCGATATCTTCAATATTACCAAACTTACCTTTATTGTAACGATCAACGAAAAGTCTGGTGTTTCTGGTATTTACCAGGTTTCGATACCAGTTGCCCGCTTAGAAAACACCCAACAGAAGCGATCTCAGTATTCAAGAACGAAAAGCCTACTCCTACATTTATAAGCAACAACTTATATTTGAAGAGAGGCCTTAATCCTTTCGTGCTGAGATTTTCTCTCTTGAAATCACTGCAGCGCTCTAAACCTTGTGATAAATGCAAACGAATCGAGCTGAAGATTGATCTTCCGTTTTTGCTTTCGTGCTAACGGAATAGAGTGAAAGTTCGAAACCAGGTCAAGAATATGTTTGGAATCTTCGCTTGATTGGATCCAATGAAAATAAATCTGGTCCCAGCTGTAAAGCCCAGTATTTTAATCTGTTTATGAGGTGAAGAGATGGTCAAGCCCCTGATCTATCTTGAATAAATATACCAGTAGTGATGAATACACAAACATCATCTGTCTTTTTTTAATTACCATCTGATGTTGTTTGAGTAAAGCTTTAAGAAAGCCTTCAGATGAGTAAGTACCTGATTAAAAATAAGAAACACTTTTAATTTGTTCCTTCACAGAAGTCGTCAGAATTACATAAGACCATGAATAACATCAAAACGTAAGCCACCCTGATAAACACCAGTATAGTAAACAATTTATAATAACAACACACAGTATGCAATTCATTCCAAAGTGTATGCCCTATGTAATGTCCAAAAAACCTCATCATCACACATTCATCTTAGCGGATAATAGCAGATATACCATTATCCAGTGACATTTAGAAAAACAGTCACATGAGCGTTTGTCGGGGATGTACATAATATGCAACTTTAACTGCATGAACAACAAAAATGCCGTTTCAAGTTAACATCTGTAAGGGGACTGCAAAATTGACGCACTACATAGAAAAGTGAAGTTGAATACACTCTGATTAAAATTAACGATCAATATTTGGTAATTTGAAAAGAAAAAAACATGTCATATCTTTTATTTTCCCAAAGTGACTTATATCAGGTATTTTGACAGACTGTGACGGGCAGACGATTTGACTTCGTCTCCTTGGGATTGACAATAACGACAACAACTTGGAATACAATCAACTTAAAACTAATGAATGTAACGCTTTGCACTCGCACAAAATTCATTAAGGGAATATTTCGTGCTCTGCAGATTCTCACATTGCCAAAATATATCTTTGAATCACATGATCAATGATGAAAGTGTTCTCGATACAAATAATTATTCTATCATGTTTGCAAGTATATTGGATTATAATCGCTCAGTTGAAACGGTCATGCATAAATAGTTGTATGATTTTTGATTTTCAAGCGAAAAAATGTCATATCAGAAAATGTCGTCATGTGAGTAAGTGTTTTAAACTAACGAAAAGAAATTCTCTTCTTCCACATTTCTCCCTGCTTTTATTGTCCACTTTTCACCCTAGTTTCATTGACCATTTCCAACTATTGTTAGTAACCACTTTTGACTATTAGGTTTGCTTTCCATTTTTCTTCCTCGTTTTAATGTTCACTTTTCTCTCTAATTATGTTATCTGTTTCTCCCTAGTTCATTGTTCATTTCTCTCCTGGTGTCATTAACTACTTTTCCACTTATTCCGTTCCTTGTATATTCTCTTTCGTTTCGTTTTTTAACTCTAATTTAATTGTCCATTTTCTCCCGAGTTTGTCCCTCCAATTTTTACGGCCATAATTGTCCAAAGTCCTGATAAAACATAGATGTTTCGGGCTACTCTAACGGTTTGTGGGGAAATGAGCGATGGTTCAGAACGATGATTTGATTGACGGATATCAACTCAACTTAACCGGTGACAAAAAACGGAACTAAGTAGAAAATACTTTTACTCGGGTTATACCAATAATTGTTTAGCAAGTTCCTGTCATACAGATCATTTCCCCGTTCTATTGTAAAAGCGCCCAGCACTGTGGAAGAGGGTGAGTTTAGCATATACATGTACATACCTAGAGATGTTATGTATCCAGGGCGAAATAAATTTCATTCGGTTTAAGGGGTGTTTTTGCTGTGAAATGCTTACTTTCTCTTGGTTTGTATGAATGTCAAATATTACATCTCCACCCTCACTCGATATATCCCTTGAAAACCTCCCCTGGCATATAGCGCGCGGGTAACAGTGCGTTATCTCAAGCACATGATGATCTTGAAAGGGGCGGATACCGAAAACCAAGACGTAGAGGGTCTGTAAACAATTGGTTAACTGTGTTACCAATTGCGCTTATGACAAATAGATCCCAATGGGTAACAGCATAAACATCATATTACCTATTCCAGGTTTAGAGTCTAAGCTTAAACAACCTTTCTACTGTATATTTAACATCTATTGTATTGTTCCAATAGCGTGTGTGTGTGTGTGTGTGTTCGTGCGTGTGTTCGCGTGTATGTTTGTCCTGAGCCTGTAAGGCCACATTCATTGCAAAAATGTACTGGCAATGAAATAAATAAAAAATTGCCCATGTGATTAGTGTGACACTAATGACGCAGAACTAGCTTCGTGACAAAATTCCATTACCGATGGGTTTCCCTGTCAGAACAAACCTTGCTTGTCAGAGCGCGCATGATATGGCGATTAAAACACGACAGTGGAGATCAAGGGACCCCTAAGAAATCCCTGTATAAGCGATTTTAACCAGCAATAGCGTGTTAACAAGGTTTTTTAAATGGCTGGTAGGAAAACACGCAGGTGATCAGAAATATCGGTCAAGGTTTATTTTATGTACATGAGATGAAATAACCGTATCAATAGCTACATGACACCTTCTAATTGGGAATTAAATACATAACACTATATGATAAATATTCCAAGTTATATCGGCGCTAATTAAACGTTTCATTATCAGGCAAAACCTCACAAAGGAAAAATCTCAAACCGAAGATTAAACCTCCATTGGCTTTTATCTTTCACCTCAGAGAAAGTGAAAAAGAATGTCAAAAGAACGTTTGTGAATACCTAGAAGATCAACAAGAGCGTTAACCAGTGACAAACAGATTTATTAGAAGCAAACGCTCATCGTTACCTTGGCTTTGTTCACATGTTCGATTTTTAAGTCACACGATGGACTCAAGGCGTGTCTCAAATCAAAACGCAAAAGTGAGTAGGATCAGTATTTTATCGATAATACGGTGAACTGTGAGCTCGAACGAATAGATATTATAATAAATATTGGCAGGACAGAGACTCCGAGCGGCAAATCCGTCAAACCGGTTCGAACTTGAACCCGATGTCTCTTAATTAAGCCCAACGTGAATGAAACCGTACGGAACATTGGTGCCAAGGAGATGCAAGTCATTAATCAATTACCTAGGCTAGGTGTTTTTTTCTAAGCGCGCTCCCAGTTCCTAAAAAGCAAAAGTGTAAATTGATAGTTCTTCTGTGCCGGAAATTAAGTTATGCACTCATCCAATATTGGGTCTATTTGTGCGATTTGCTTAAGAACATTATATACTACTTTGGGATCTGTCATTAACTTTTGGCTGCGTTTGCCCTTTTTTCGACCGAGAAACATTAATTATCAAAGTCAGCATTTGTAAAAATGAAAAAAAAAAAATGAAGGAATATATTTCAAGGCAATAGGTTATTCACCCAGGCATTATATTTTACTCAATATATTTCAAACCATTCAAATTATTTTTGTTAGCAACGAGCTCGTTAAAACGTAAATTGCAATTTTCTGTTAAATCAATTGCTTTTTTCCAGAAAAAGAAAATGTTGAAGTTCCACTATTACAATCCTTTTCATCCACAGATTCATCATGTACATAAACGACACTTTCATGCTCATTATTCATCTCGTCAACACAAGGAAAAGACAGCATCACAAATCGTGCACGACCCTTACTGTTACGGTGAATAGAAGAGCTGTCTCATCTTCTTGATTGCTTTAAAGCTGATAAGAAGTATTAAATCTGCTCAGTGCCACCATTAAACGTCATTTAACATCTCTTAAGCAGATACAGCTGAAATAAGACAAACGAATCGGTTTTGGAGATTTCTCAGTCTGGTAAGTCGGCCGTTGTTTCATAATCAAGTCAGATCGAACAGTTAGAACTTTTAATTATTTAAAAATAATTATTTAATATTTTGAGACTATAAAAGTACAAGGTCAGGGCTTTTGCTTGTCTTCCAAATCCATTTTTTCAGACCTTACCTCTCAAAATTTTATAAAGTTTAATTTCACTTAAGTATAGCATTTAGTTGACAGAAAACTCTTTTTATGTCATGGTTTCCAGATAAAACGACCCAACTTAGTGAGATACCAACTAGAAAGTTTTTTTTTTCAATATATGATAATCCTCTCCTTTTGGACATCGCTCAAATATTGTAATATACAGTGTAGGTTTTCCTTGTGTTTACACACGTAGATGGTATGCCCTCTGATGAGTCATAGATAAAAAACGTGTTTAGAAACACTTTACTTTTTGTCAACATTTGAATAACAAGACGAATATTACAGCCATCTGAGTTTTTGTTTCTCTTAATTTATTATCTTTTTTATTCATGCATCCAATTATTATTATTATTTTTTTTTTGGGGGGGGGGTTCACATAAACTTATCGTACCCATATATTATTCATAAAACAAGCGACTGAATAGCATGAAAAATCTTACGAAATTACCTAATTTTCCTTACCAATGATTTTTAAAAAGTTTGTTTTGTCATAATTTATTAGACTTTAAAGCTTGTGTCGTAAGAAGACTATTCCCAGATGTAAGTAGAATTCAGAGAAAGAATCTCAGAGCCCCATTGAGCTTGAACTTTGTCTTCAGAGGTCGAAAAAAAATATATAAAAAGAGAGATTAACGTGAGGTTAGGATTTTTTGCACTTTTTTTAAAAAAAGGACAGTTTTTATCATAACTCTCGAATTGATTTATAAACATGCTTAACAGTAATAGATAAATGGATAAAAAGAATGAATAAACATTACGATGAATGAAGAAATAAATTTTAAAAAGATTAATGTTGGCATTAACTCATTTTTAGATTAAAGACAATGACTCTGAATGACAAGGCAACTGTGTGCCATTACCGCATCACAATGTGATATAAAGTTAATCTGTATTACTACAGGGTAAGAAAAAGGTAGAAACAATGGAGGGACAAAGTTTACTCGGTGGTGGAAAGTCAAGTATCACCAATCATCAAGAAGAATCGGGAAACATGAAATTTTTCCAAAATGCAGATGCTTGGTCAAAGATCAAAGACCTGAAAGACACATCTTCGCAGTACATGAAGCCAGTCATTTCTGAGATGAGGAAACATGGTGAAAAAGCTATGAAACAAATGAAAGAAGATATAGAAGCTACACCGTTGAATTCTTGGAGGCAAATTGGAATGGCCTGCCTGGCAGAATTTCTGGGAGTGCTTTTCTTCGTCTATATTGGTTCAATGTCTGTGGGAACAGGGTCAGCGACTGCCATTGCACTCGCTCATGGACTCACAATAACGGCCTTGATAATGACAATTGGACAACTTAGGTAAACCATTTCAAATTAACCGTTATCTTTTGTCTAACCATTTCGCTACGAACCAGATGCCCTTTATTCCCATTTTTCAAATGAAAAAATACAACAGTCTAAATGTCAGTTTCCGATGTTGTACAATTTCACCTTTGCCTTATTACTTCAAAACGTGGTAGGCCCTATACTATCTTTCGTCATCAAAGACATCCGTTCTTAATCTGGCATCTAATGTTCTCTTTGTTTTATCCAAACTTCGCCCAAAATTTGGCATCTAATAGCAAATCAGTAGCATTCATTTTTCCATTGAACCTAAAATGGCCATCTTTATTCATACAAAGTTGCACGTTTTTTTTTCAGCGGGGGACATTTCAATCCTTCTATTACTCTAGGAGTTATGGTGGCAGGACAACTGAAGGTTGGCATCGCCTTGGTCTACTGTTTTGTACAGTTGTTTGGTGGCCTGGTAGGCGCTGGTCTGGTCCAAGTAAGTGTTGTTAATATTACAGTTCCTTTCACACGGCAAAACCGGTTTAAGCCAAATATCGGGGTTTGGCTGAGGTGCATATTGATTGTAGTGTGAACAGGTCAACACGACATATTATGCAATTTATCATGAGCAGTATCCATTGGCAAAGATTAGGATGAGGATGGAGAGTTGCAGGCTAGGCTACCGCCTCCTGACATCCTAGATCCGTCAGTACCTTAATTGATCGTTTGGTTTCCGTTAAACAATTTACAAGAGCAGTATTAAAGTTTGTCTTAGGTCAAGCTACTGGTTGTCATTTGTTTCTTCCAGTACAGGTTCTGCATCTCATTTATATAGGAACCTGTCTGAGACCGTTTTAAAGAATGCAACTCTTTGTTGCAAAAAAACAAAACAAAAAAAAAAAAAAAAAAATCGTTTATACCACAAGAAATCTTTTCATCTGTTTTTGAAAATGACTACTTCACACTAAAAAGCAATTATCACAGAACTGCATTTCTCCATTTTCTGAAAATTAATACCTTTATGTATTGTATTTTGTGGTGAAATGAACTATTCCCGCCTTGATTTCCTTTATTTGATTAAGGCATTCTTTAGGTCTCTAGCGATCTTGTCATCAACGCTTGAAAATGTCTGTGATTGAAGATAATTTTTTGATGGCGTGACGAAGACCAGTGCCCTTGAAGCCCTACGTGTTCATCATGATAATGCCCATATGTGGTTTTCTGAAGTGATGAAGCAGTTTGTTTTCTTTCACAACCTCACACACTGGTAAATGAAAAAAAAAAGTTTGAAAACTATGTTTTTAAAGGAAAATACTTAGCGCAGGATTATAAAAGATAAATATTCTCCTTTTAATTTTCTTTTATAGGCAAGTCTTACAAACAGGTCTTTTGCCGAAGACCCAAATGAAGAAGACGCTAAGGTGGATATTAATGGGGGTGCGCCACAGTTAGACCCCCGGGTCACTACCCCAGGTGGGGGGTTCTTCATTGAGGTAGTCTTGACTTTGGTGGTGGTAATGAGTGTCTTGATGACCGCCATTGAAAGCCGTGGCAGGAATAAAGCAGCACCTGTGATCATAGGGACAACTATTGCAGTTTGCATAATGGCAGGGTATGTATTCTAAAAAGCCAGTTTCATTTCATTCTACACTATTTTATTTATTTTCTTTAAAAGTTAAAAGGGTACGTTTGTCTGAATCAGTAAGCACAATGACTTCCTAACTAACAAATTATATGATTATAAAACATAAGTAATGATTAGTCTCGTTTTCAGGCGGTCAAGGCTTTTACAACCACTTTGCGTGCGTTTTCTCATTATTTGAAACTGTGTTTATTAAAAAAGGCAGTCAGTAATGCCGCTTAAGTCTGATAATGATGATGCGCACTTTTCTATGCAAAATTCAGGTCAAAATTCTGTCTTGTTACAAACTTATCTAGTTCGTCAGACTTGCACACATTGCAGATGGGTAGATCTGAGGGGGTGTAAAGATGACTTGATTCGAAAATTAAGAAGTCCCACTTATTTATGTCTGTTGAAAAGTAGGCGTAATAGGAATGATAATCCACTGGAAACCGTAGTTCCTGCCCCATCACTTTGTATAGAGGTGATATTCGTCCGATTTTACTAACCCCCATACCTACGCTAACAGACGAATAGTCACTCCCATGCCTCCAATACATGAACCTTGATATATTTTTCTTATTAAGCTTTTTTTTCTTGATTGGGGCTCCTGTACGCATGATATGGGACCCCGGGTATTCATTCCTAAAATTACCATTTCTGTCACAGCGCTTTTGAGCCTGCAACCGACTGATGATGGCAATAAAATAGTCTACTTTCTCAATCATCTTTGTCGTCTCAGATCTTTGTCTAAAATTGATCATTAGACCTTGACTATATAAGAATAACGGGTTTATCTTACGTAACAAATACCAAAGGCACTAAAGCCAGCCAAATTGACAAGTTGGTTAACGAGCGCGACCGACCCTAATTTGGAGTAAATAAAAAATTTTGGGCCCACATTTTTCAAGAGGGGAAAAATGCATGGGGCCTTGATATTGTAAATAGCCCCAGGAAAAATGCCCACACTATGTATTTGAAGTCCCCCCTCCCCCCCCCCCCAAATTAAAAGAGAGAGAGAAGAAAAAAATACACCGATCAATTGCAGTGACCGTTAAACAATATGTTTTGAAATAAAAAAATGAATAAATATATACAGTATATAAGTAAGCTTGTAAACAAAGCTTATGGTTATTGGAGAGCTCAAAACAGGTTAAAGTTATTTTTACGGATTATGTATAAATATCAGTAAATAAATGAAAATAAAATGCCGTCTATTAGATGTTGCCGCTAGAAAAGCAACTGTAACCATTTTCGTCTGCCTAACTTGCAAATATTAAAAAGGTAGCTGATTCTCTCTATGTAAGCAGTAAATTTGAATTAGTATAAGTAAAAAGGGGGTAAGATGCGTAACGGTCCGCTCCTGGTACTTAACGATTTTCTTCTTTGAAAACGCAATTTTATGGCTCTGCTTACGCGAGAGTGACTCATGTTAAGTTTTGCAGTAGTTAACAATTAATTTAGTGGAATTACATGTGAACTAGAAAGTCCACAACACGTCTCTTATAAACTTACTTACCCTGAACGTGTTGCTGTGGACGAAATGTTGTGAACGGAGCAAATAGGATTCAATCAATAGGTTGATTTATGCCTAGGACACGCCAAATAAGTTGTCAATTTTGACCAGACCTAATGAGTAAAGTTGATGTTTTTTTTTGTTTTTTTTTGACAGCTCTTTCTCTACGGGCGGCTGTATGAATACTGCTCGGGCCTTTGGTCCTGCTGTCGCAGTCTCTTCGTCCAACCCCGACATCTGGACGTATCACTGGATCTACTGGCTTGGGCCTATAACTGGGGGATTGTTGGCCGGGATCCTCTACAGGTAATAAAGATTCATTCCAGCTACCAAATAATTGAAGTTGATTCGACAATAATCGCCCCTGTGCACTCTGAATCTCAGAGACTGTTTTCAAAGTTACCTCTCTAGCCAACAATCTGCGGTCTTCAATATACAGTATATGCCGATTCCTCTATGTAGAGTATATTTAGTATATTTCAACATTCATGCAAATGGTGAAAATCAGTTAAGAGGAGTGCAGTCTAAGGTTAAGTTCTAAACAAAATTAAACTAAAGGCAAATTTCTTAGTCATGAATAGAATGATGCATATGATTATTTGTATAGTTTGTTGGCCTGATCTTTGGGACCATTATGCATCTATAAAATCTACACATTATCTGTAAAAAAAATCCCAAGTTCAAGTCTCAATGTATAAAAAAACTCTCCAGTGTATTTCAAACTTTTCTCGATACTGCATTATGATACTGTTCCTGATACTAGAACTTTAAAACGATCGTAATAAAGCTTTGCTGCTCTACACTTTCTTTCAAAACGCAAAGACAGAATTAAGCGTTTCGCAGTCTCACCTGTAGTCTCTGTGAAAAGGTAATTAATCAGCCTCACGCATACTTGCACACTGTTCTTAGCGTCTTTTAGCAAGCTATATTAAATCCCCTGACCTCTACCAAGAATACATATACATGTTTTTCCAAAGTTCACATGCAGCCCTGCTGTCCTCTTAAATTCGCGGTCAGTGACACTTCCACAACTGTGCACTTGATCGACTCAGGGGAGACCTAGATTGCTGCATAGGGATTGTAAATTCGGTCATCCATCACTATGAATTTCATGGTCCCTGCTGCTGGAAAAAATGTAATTATCGTCTAGATAAATGCAGTTTAAGTCTGGAATACGGCCATCTTACAAAAAACCAAGGAAATTTCCCTTTTTTTAGATTATGTATTATGCGTCCAGGGACTAAAGTGAAGATTTTACATGCCAGATACAACTTTTACCTGTCACGGTGTTTGGTAGTTTTTTCGGGTAGCTGTTTCGGTACCTCTGCTGTATTATATTTGCCACACGTTGTGGTAACAGCAACGGTTTTTATATTACCCCAAGTATATGTATTGACTTTCTAATTTTCCGGAAATTTGAAAACTAATTTACGCATTGTAATCTACCGATAATAGAGTATATCTTACCTTATGAAGCCAAAGCATGTTTCGCACGACCATCAGAGCAGTTGCTAGGTCATCATGTGTACATGTGCCTCAGTAGACTTTACCTTGATTTATGTTGTTTGTTAGGGAAAAAATGGTAATAAACCAAATGGGCAGATAAATCATCTTGGCTAAATCAGAGAATTCAGGTAAAAGCTACATGTGTACATGGTTGCACAATAGATGTGCTATAGGATCAATTACATACATCATAACATATATGAAATAACAAGATCGGTGAAGGTAACTGAAATAGATTTATGCCAGAAATTGCTTTGTCCTAGAGACATATAGATCACAAAATAAAAAACAATGATGATTACCCTTTTCCCCTAATAAAAGGACACTTTGTGTGTTTGCATGATTACGATATGTTATATTCAAAATCGAGTTCTAGCCCCAGTTTTTCGAATCCTTAGCCACTACAACTCAGACGTAAAATTTTACAGTCAGCGACGATTAAAAGAAACAATATCTTACCTTGCAAATATTAAAAAAATAGGTGAAAATAGTTGTAATAGCATTACACGTATTTAAACTTAAACTAATGAATTAATTAGATTTTTTGCCTCATCTACTAATGCAAACGAACATGATGATTTTTGAAGAAAGTTATATTAAAAAAGGAAACTAAAATATGCTTATACAATTACAGGCTGTTAAAAAGATCTGGCTGGTCAGCACCGATAGAAAAGCGATCCATCGAACTGGAGGAAAAAAACGCAGACGATGAGCTCGGCTTGGACCACAGTGGCTACCAAACAATCCCTGATCGTGGCGGACTTATGAAAACAGGGAGTAAAGACGTAATGGAGGATAGCAGCATCTTTGAAATTGACGAGACTCCAAAGAAACCTGCAAAATAAACTTTCATGACTTTCCAGATATAGCTGGCAAAATTATAATTAAATGAAATGAAATTGCCTCAGAGAAGCAGATGTGATTTATTGGATGCAATCTGTACATCCGTGTTTCCTCAACTAACGCAACGACTTTTCATACATGTAACCGTTTCTGCAATTCATTGGAATAAATACGCATGAATTATGTTATTATTTCCCGGGGCTGGGTGGGGTAACTTGTATAGATTAATCGAATCTTTTATTGTTATCAACTCCATGAAATATGTTCAGTTGGTTTTGTCACCAAGGAAAAAATGATGCAACGAAAGAAACTCTTTTTCGTAATATTCAAGTGTTTGTTATATTAAAACATTTTTGAATAAAATCTCAACAGTCAATTTCTAAAAGATTTACCAAACAGAGATTTGACCGACATCAGTCGTACTGTTACGTCACAATCAAATACTATCTTGTCGACGGAGTTCAAATAAGTTACGTCACAATGAGGCACTGTGGAAGGCCTGTCTACTCCTGACGTCACGGTGTATTTTATGACGTAGCAACCCATCCATAACAACATCACAGACCGCTAGCTTTCTTTATACACGTTAACTGAAACTTCAACCAATGAACAGAGATAAAGACAGGTCTTTTCGCAAGAATAACGACAGGCAAGCAAGACCAGCTAAAACACCTACTAGCGACCGGTTTCGAAGTCACAGGTAAAACAAATGACCACGTCCGTGCTGTAGAGGCTGTAAAGTAGGAAAGAAACATGACGCGTACGCGTACAATCTTATACCTCTAACACCTTGTATACATTATTGCAAGATTAATTAATTCTAGTATATGTATTCAGATTTATTAACTTTTTATTTTTTATTTATCACCGTTAGTATTTCTAATTAGATAATCTTTGGTGTCCATTTTTTCTTCCACTGCAGTGAGGTACGTTCACCTACACCATACCCCACTCATCACCAAAGGCCGTGCTCCCGCAGTCAGAGCTGTTCCTCCTGTTCGCACAAAGGTGGTTCCTTCCTCCCACCAATAACCGAGAACCAGTACACATGTAGAATGAAAGAAACCAAAAAGGTTCAAAAGACAAAAGATGGTCAATCCACAAATGGGCAAACAGTAGTTCTTCGTAGAAGAGGCGGGGGACAAGCAATGGCCTTTCTAGATTTTCATCCTCCCGCTGCTGTTAAAAATAAGCCTTCTAAATTTGAACTTTTAGACCAAGACGTTCTGGAGGACGACGAGGAAGAAATGCTCCGCTCCGAATCCACCCTCACAATACCGGCTACTAGTAATATCCCTGTATTTACTTCAAAAAGAGATGTCAGCAGCGCCTTAGACAGAGGCCGTCCGCGAAAACTGAGTCCAATCAAGAGCAAAGTAAAATCAATTAAAAGAACCATCAAGAAGACGAAGAATATTCATGTGGTGGACTGGAAGATAAAAGTCGAGCAGGCCCAAAATCGTCGTGATGCACGACTTAAGAAAGAAGCCGCCCGTCGCAAGGAATTAGAAGAGAGAAAATTGAAAAAGGTTGAAAAAAGAAACCGTGAACTAGAAAGAAAAACACAAGAATTTGAAGAGAAAATTAGAAGAAAAGAACAAGAAGCTAAACTACGTCGTGAGCAGATTGTAGGACAGACCAAATCCCGCGTGAATCAACTTATTCACGGAAAGCAGCTCCCGTCTAATCGCCATTAAATGAGCAACACGATTTTACTTTTAAAGAAACATAATTTTCATCTTCCTGAAGACATACGTTTTAATCTCACGAACCCTATTACCTTTATAACAAGACTACACTTCCATTTTTCTGTCAATTTTCATAATATCAAATAAAGATGCTGCAAAGTTAATTTCATTTTCATTTTTATTTGTGATATGAGACAGGCACGTAGCCAGGCCAGGGGGGGGGGAGGGGGAGTTTCTGGGGATTCGAAAGAACCCCCCTTTTTTGCCTGGAAGGTTCCCTCTGGGTAAAATTTTATCATAGTAAAAGGTCCACTTTTTCAGAAAAGGAACACCTCTTTTGAAGTTGCCGGCTACGGGCCTGTAAGATAATTACATTCTAAATATCTTGACAGAATGCAGACAGCACTTCAATGGTATTTCACCAAATTTTTAACGTACGTGCGCTTATGAAAATAAATTTTTGACTCAGTTTCCTCAAAGATAAAAGAAATTTAGAGAAAAAATGATCGTAGATTAACCTTTAATCGTACTCCTATACATGACAAATATTTTCTTGGCCAAAGAAATAAATCTGTTGTCATTCATATAATGTTTATTTCAAGATACAACGAAAGAGGTTTTTCATGGTCTTAAAATAGGATGATAAAACGGAACTATAAGTATAAAATAACTCTTAATAAAAAGAGTAACATTTACATGCAACCAAAAGTCGAACGGTACAATTCTAATACCAAAGATGTTAATTGTAAGAAAGACATATTGGATATTAACACATTTTCTAAAATGCATTTTAGGAACTGCATTAGAATATATTTTTTTGGATGTATTTGGTAAAATCATATAATTAAAAGTCGACAACGCCCAGGGAATTAAAGTCCTTGTACTCAGTTTTGGCACTTTCAAACTTTATTTTATCAGTTCGTAAATTATTCCTATAGACTACCTGTTATGCTTTGTTCACTAAGTAAACGAGATAAAATATTTCCGAATAACGTATTTCAAATCAGACATTCTTGAGTACCTCTTCCATAGTAAATGTTATCAACTGACATCAAAGCTCTCTTTACAAAATTTCCTCGGTAATAGACAGACCCGTGTGTCCATCCCAGCAGGCCATCTCGCCATCACAACGATTCATAGTAAACGGTTGTTCCAGCGAGGGCTTGTATCTAATCTTGATCATGTGAGAATGGCCATATTCCTCAGTGGTAATCATTGTGACAGGTAGACCGTTCTTTAAGTCGTCCACGTCGCTTGGGGAAAGATCCATCCAGTGCACGTGGGGACCAGGGGGGCTACGGGTAGCAGGCAGCACCATAAGTGTGACACCATCTTGGTATTTGGTATCTTCCGTAGCGTCGGTGTCACTGCCTGCTTGGCCACCCTCCGATCCACCTGGACGCTCACGATACATCTTCAGATATCTTGTGTGTTCCATAACTATATCTTTTAAGGAATCCAGCTCTTTCCATATCGGGTTTCCTTCATTGTGTAGCGGCATGATTGGATATCTCTGTCGCAGAATCCCAACACCTGGAATGTTTGGGAAGGACACACGCACGCCCGATGAAGTCAACGCCCGTACGTTTCCTTCAGGATCCAATACACCAACGGATCCACGAAATGTATCGGCTTTGTCGGAGTCGAGTACTCTCCCTTGGAAAAATTCGGCAGGGGTGAGATTGTACAGCTTACTATTTGCACCATTATATGCGGTCTTTGATGTTATGCCGCCATAACGACTTTCGTTCTCTGTTACCGTTTGTCCCAGCTCGGTTTCTGCGTCGCCTTTGTATTCTATCCCGTACGGATTCCACGTTGAAAGAGGAGTGAGGTAAATCACCTCCAATGGGATAGCGTATGTCCATTTCTGTTGATAATTTTGACAAATTTGGCGGCGGTCGTCTGAGTTTTTGCAATCGCGTAGCCCCATTCCCGCTATCCGAGGCTGCGTAGTCATTGCCATGAAGAGACTTCTGTCAGAGAAACCTCGCTTCCGAATCGCTAAACCCATTGCCCCAGGTTTCACCTCTTTCCACCAGCGATGGTAATACGCTGTATTAACTTTGTCGCCATTAAGGTCAATTGTGTGAGCCGGATTGTCAAAAGCTTCGTCAGTCAGTTGAGCTCCGTAATTGTCCTTGCCTGGAATTTCGCTCATGAGTTCGTCTAACAACCCATAATGTTGCTGTAATCTGTCTATCCACGAGCCTTTGTCGCGTGGGTTCAGCTGAAACCTTGCGCGGCGGGACATACCGTGGTCCTTCAGGGTCCGCAGATACATCATTCTGGGACTCAGATCGTCGACTATGCGAAATCTATTGGTGCGCAGATCGCGAGTAAGGGGATGGCATAAAATTCGGTAGTTCCACTGCGCAAAAACGGGATCAGATCCGTTAATGATATCCAAAATTGTGGACGGCAAATATGCATAGTTCTCCAAGGAACTTTTACGACCATTATAGGAGGTGAAACGAATCTTGTTTTGTAGATCTTCCCAACTGGTTGCATCAAGCCAGTGACGGTCGCTTTTAAAAGGCTCCTCTATATCGTCCCAGGCATCCGTTGTCCAGGCTCCTTCCATGTAACACAGGATAGGCTTGAAGTATTGACGATAGTCTCGCACGGTGTGGTTTTGGTCCCGCCACGCCTTGAACCACTCTCGCATTTCTTCAATCTGATCTTCAACCTTTGCTTTCTGGGTGACTTCGGGTGGGACATCGGGGAATTGTATTTCTTCTGTGGCGTGATATTCTTTTGATGTTGTGCTAGGTTTGTGTAAGATGTAATCATTGTGACGGGTACGGAATTCAACCCCGTTCATTACGACTATAACTTCTCCCAGTCCAATTGTTCTGATGTGGTTTGAGTGGTCGTGTAGAGCCGCAATTCCTTTCTTAGAGGTATGGCTTGGAAGATGATACACTTTCGTCCCTTCGTTATTGATGCGACATTGTTTAACTCCAGAGTCCCCATCACTGCGAATCCTTTCTTCCACGTATTGCTGTTGGAGCATGAGCTGTCTCGCTAATTTGTTGACGGTAGCTTGGAGGGACTCTACGTCCACCTTTGCCCACGTACTTGACACCCACACGACGACAAAACACAGCTGCAACTCCCGTGAAAATACCATAGTCTTTAGATGACCTAATAAAAAATAAACATATGAAATAACTCTTCTAAGTCGTTTATAAAAATTGATATATATTTTGATATTTTGTTCCTGAGCATTTATCATTCAGCAACGAGACATGGTAAGTCACTTGTCGCTGTCTTGTTCACAAAGTGTTTAAAGCCAGTCTAGAAAATCTAAACACTGCCTCTCAAGTGAAAACAGAAATTGAATTTAGTTTTAGAGAAATTAGCTACGCAAAACAGAGTTAAACCTCACCTAACTTTCTTTAAAATGCTGCCAAATAAGACCGTACAGTGGTGATATAGGCCACAATTTATATTGCTCACGGTTTCCAGGCACCATGTGACCAAGGTCAAATTCAAATGACTACAAATACATATACCATTTCCTAGTAGATTAAATTTGATGACAAACCAGCATCGAAGACCATTAAACCCAATCAACTTAAAACTTATAACAGATTTGACCAGTTCAAATTCTTATTTATTTTTGTAGATTATATAAAATGTAACGTTTGTCAATACTTTAGCCTTTTTACCTGTTGATCTAACCCGGTGTTTAACAGAAAAAAGCAACTTCTTTTCCACATTTTCAACCTTTCATTTAAAGACCCTCAAGTAGATATCTACATGCAGCACCGTGGGAAATCCATAGCAAAGTTGGCAGTATTTATAAACAGGGCAATGGTTTAACGCCAGTGTGTGCGTATTGGTTTTTCAACTTCATAAACTTTTTAAACTTTCCTCAAATATTTGTCAAATGTAAAAACTTTCAAAAATAAATAAAATAATAAACAGAAACCCCTATTTCATTTTAGCATGCACAATGCCCGTTTGACAAACTTTAGCATTACATTTCCTCAATAAAATTCAATCAGACACAAAACTGAAGTTAATTTCCGAGGACTGTTAACGAAGTGACATAATTCAAAACTCACAACTAAAACGGATGACAAGTTAATAAATCAGATCAGTGAAAGCAATTATGATGTGTCAACGTCGGGGCAGACTTGCTTGGAAATGGTTCACCTAGTACAAATGATGACCGAGTGGCAGACCCCTCGAGGAGTAACTGCCTGCAGGGTTGCATGTTACAGGAAGGATTTACGCTGCCTTGAGCCAACCACACGCCTTATTTATTGTAGTTCGAAGCCACATATTATTGATCTTTCCAATTCGGGAATTCAATAGGTATTTCACACCCTTACTCTCGTTTCATCTTATAAGCAGTTTTTCTCTTCCCCATTATTTTAAATACTTGTAGTCAAACAATCTGAGGACATTCGTTGTAATAGAGGACAGTTTTAAAACGCGTCTTAGACCCCATTCCCAGAGATTAGATCGATCCAAACTAGATCGACCTAACTCCCTGGGGGTTCACGATAAATAGCTGTCAGCCGAGCGGGCACGAAAGTTAATTAATCCCTTACAGCTTGTAGTAGGCGGGACGGACATTTAAGCCGGATTATCTGACAGTAATCTAGTGAGACTCCCCACAGGGATAGATCGGTCTAAATGTCTGGGAATACGCCCTTAAATTCTTGAATTGTGTTAGAGATCCTTTGCACAAGTACCACGAAGATAAAAATGTCACAAATATCACTTTATTTTTTTTTCAACTGATTATCAAATAAAATGCCACATGCAATGAAAAATGCTCATTTATAATGACATGTAACTCGATGGCATTGATGGACGCTGAATTAATAGTACACAATTAATGAATTTATGTTGGTTATGTTGTATATCTAAGGTGACAGTCCACCATATGAATGATATTTATTAGACACACAGCATAGTGTACTGGAACCGATTTGGAAATAAGACTTTTCCATCTCCACCATGCTTTATATGAAATGTATGATTAGCTTCTCAAAATATACAATAATACATCACACTGCCTTAAAACACTGAAATGTGTTAATTAGTTTTTTTTTCACTGAAACATGCTCATTTGTCACATAGAAAAAAGACTTTCAAATTGTCCACATATCTCAAAAGTCAATCCGTCTATAGTCTATTGAAGTCCCTACACAGAAGGTGTTCCTAAATGAAGTTATTCAAACTTAACCCCTACGGTACACATCCTGAATTATTTATAAATAATTAAAGCACCAGAAGAACTCAAACAATAATTTCAATTTCATAGTATATGCACTACAATAAACACATATGGACACAAACTATACTGACATCCCAATGGAAAGTGCTGAAAATTAGTGAAAAAAGTTCATTCACAGCAAACAACACCATATTTAAAACAAAAATTTCTGGCATGTTTGAATTCATCCATTTTTCTGTTATCAGATTAGTATTACTTGAATAGTTTTCATGATAATAATACTGGGGGGGGGATTTAACTGGAAGAAATAACATGTTATCTGTCACATACACAGAAATTCAAAATTAACAACTAAGTGTGAATGATAAAATGGTGCACTTTCTCTGCTGCTAGCCCCAATGCTTCTAATCTGTATTAAGTAAACAATCAATATCTATGTCACAAAAAATGCTGTTTTAAGAAAAGGAAAATTAAACTAAAAATCAGAGAACAAGCACCTCTTTAGCGCTAGTGTAATGCATTTCTTTCCTTGCTTTCTTTTAATGTAGGTTGTGTTCTTTTCTGTATAACAGATGACAAAGCTCTTTTGACAGAATTACCCTTTTCCCTGTTCATAACAAAATTGCAAACCTTTCACCTCCAACCTGATCTTTTGTCAGTTAAGTCTAAGATGGGAATCAAGATCTAGGTGCAAATAAGTCAGTTAAACAGATCTCTAAACAGGACTTTGATGCAACATTTCATACTACAGGTACATATTAAGCTTTTCTAAGTTCTTAAAACTGGCTGAAACAATTTAACAAAATGTTGCAACTTTTAAGGTGGTTTCATAATCTAATTAAGAGACCAAAGATTCATAAGCAACAGACATCAACATAAACAAATGATTATTAGCAGATCCATCATAAAATTTATTCCTACTTCTGACCTCCAATTAAGTCTTGCAATTTACATGTAGGAGTAAGCATGTGAATGAACCCTTCATGAGAGAGTAGAGTTCACAGTTTACCAATCCCCCACCTCCTTCTCAACCTCTTGAGTAACAGCACTTACAGAAATTCAGACAAAGTTCAATTTACCAAAGTGAAAACATCCATTGCTCTGAAGCCAAAAAATCTTTTTGTGTTCTGAGAGCAGACATCCGCAGCAAAAGATAATTTTGTGACACTTCTCTGTGACCAGATAATAACCAGCTGCCAGAGGAGATGGGCAACACATACATATAAATATATATATATGAAACAATACACTGCTCTCACACTTGAGGTCTGGTAACTCTCTCATTTGTTTCCATTCTGCGTCAGTGCTTCCATGCATACACACAGAAAAGTGTCCTCTTTTGACTTCAAACCACAAAAAATGTCCCTTCATCAATATTGTACAGTTTCTCATCAATTCCAAATACATGTTGTTTTCTGTGTTTGTACTTCCTCTAGAGATAAATCAAACACTTTATCTCCTTATTGACTGTAAACTTTACACAGTTTATGCCAGTTTTCAGTACTGTCTCCAAAAATAATGAACAGCTCGAACAAGATTGAACACACGGCGCCATTTTGATCGTACCTGCGATGAATGCAGTAATTGTCACATTCTAGAGCCTTTCTGTTGAAGAACCTGTAAAAATCAAAAAGGGTGTTCAAATACTGCACAAGTAACAAACCAAATTTGTAGAACTTAATATTTACTCTTAGTTTACTGCTACAGGACAGGTTTTCATCCTCTGATATATAACAGAAACAAATCATGTTAGATGTGAAATGGACTAACTGCTGTTCTCACTCAAATATACTGCTTAATATAAGACCTATAAACCAAAGAAGCACTAAATGTCTTTATGTAATGGGTTGGTCTGGTGACTTTTTTTTTCTGTACATTAAAGTTCTGATGTGAACACTGTCAAATTTCAATAAAAGGCAACAGGAAGTTGCCAGCATGTAATATGATACAATGAAAGTAATGAGCACTTCCTTATTACCTTCCTAAAAATCAATAAGTAGCCAATATAAACACAAAATGTATTAAATTATATTCAGTGAAAAAAAGGCATTAAAGAATTTCAAAATAAGTAAATTACATTGAATTTGATATAAACTGACAAAGATGTTTCATTCCATCAGTATCGTTAAATGACACAAATTATTTTTTTCAGCATAATCCCAATTAACTTTGGTTTCCATTACAATTTATTGAAGAAATCTCACCCGTGCCCTGTCCGTTGATTCTTCTCCATTCATTATATTTGGACATTCTTTTGAAACTACACACAGAAACTCTGCATGGTCTTCACTGCCATAGTTGTAGGAGGAACCAATGTTGATCAGCTAAGACGACAAAATAATCAATCAAATGTATAGTGAAATTTTAACAATAATAATAATAATTTACAACAGCAATTATAATAACCCTTTAAAATGTACATCTCTAAACCTAAGAAGAAAATCAATTTCACTCCTTTATTTCCAAAGACACATCAATTCTTAGCTAATCATTATGGATGTGTATGTGAAAGAAATCTACGTGAGTCAACTTTTTGCAGTTTATCACCATTCAGTAATTTGGTAGTATGTCTGGGCTATAGCTTCAACACTGAGATGCTTAAATATATACCTGTTCAAATTTCCAGCCATCTGACATTGTAGAGACCATTTGTGTCAATTCTTCCTCAGAAAATTGTAAAACTCGATATACATTCTTAATATGTGTCTGAAAATTAAAGACAAATATTTTAATGTATATGAAACGAAACCTATGCTGTCTTAAAGCAACAGATTAGAAAAATCTTTTATGTACCCAGGTAGTTTTTTATCCATAGTGTTGACTTTCTCTTTGAAACTTCAGTCCTATTTGAATTAACTTGAGGAAATAAACCTGAGTCTGCTTAAGTCAATCAAAACATTTATTGGGTTATTCTGAGTTTGAAAGTTGGGATAGTGAATTACTGAACAATAGTTGAGGATTTGAGGAAATTTAATGACTTTCTGTTCCCAAAATCCTGCAAGGTTCTACCTTAACTAGAAATTAGATATTAATAATGGTAATCAGGTTAATATTTTAAAATATTGGTGCTATATTGTTCATTGTTAAGAGAGGAATAAGCAATAAAATATAAAAACTGTGTAGGGGAATAAGGGAACTAATCATCCAATTATACCTGAAGATATCAAATTAACACTGAAGCCCTGCAGTTATAAAACCCTATACTCACCTTTGCACAAAAACATATAATTCACTTTTACTCACCTGGTTCTGCTTTGCATCCCTTTCACGTATTTTGTCTTTAACTAATTTGATAAGTTCTGTAATATTATAAAATTCTGCCTCTTCTAAAACTCCTAAAATAAGATATAAAGGCGTTAATATTGAACATTAAAAAAAGGTTTACAGACGAACATTCATAAGATGTAAAGAATAATTTTGCTTGTTCTTATAATAATATTAATATTGCTATCCTTTTGCATCAAATTTTGAATCGAATTCCGCCCTTCAGCAAATAGTTTTATTGACAAACTTTAATGACAAGTAACACTTTAAACATAAGCTTATACATTCTGGTTTCATATGCAATTTTCCAATAAATATATATATATATAAAAAGAGAGAAATAACTGAAAATATTTTTTTTAAATAATGAATAAAAATTCCAAAATTAAAACAGACAGCAAACAACAATTACTAAAATAATTTTTTAATCCTACATAAAAAAAATAACCTTGTTTTCTCTTGGGAAAAATAATAAAATTACCTTCTTCTGCTAAATCTTTATTCATAACCAACCTTCCATGCCGTAGATAATTTAACACAGGACCAAAATATGTGGGGTCTCTGTCAATTAGGTAGGCACCTTCGTCATCCTTAAAAACAAAAACAAAAAACTTAAAAACACTGGATAACAAATACTAAATGAAGTTCCTCAAGTTTCACTTGCACAATTTTACATGATAATGCTGTTTTTAAAACATGTATAAAAATGTTTATTCAATTCCATATTAATTAAAAACAGAAAGCCAAGCAGACCTAGGCTGCAAGTATTTAATGGGTTAACATTAAATGCCATCTAAAAGATGCATACTTAAATCAATATATACTGCCATATTCACCCATTGAGTAAACATTTATAAATAATGACTGGAGAGGTAAACAGACATGATGTAAAACTTCCCACAGCTAAGTCATAACTTGTCTAGAAAAATCTGCAGTAAGCTGTTCAATCTCTGCATACAGTAAAAGGTGCTGTGTAAATATGTGGTTACCGTGACCTACTATGATTTATCTGTCCATTAAGGAACGTAATAGTACACCTGACACCCGAACAAGCATTCAATTGTCATGAACTTAAAACTTGAAAATGTAATACATCTCTTGGATGAACCATATTTATAACTTTCCAACTTCAAGTGACAAACCAGTGCCAGCATCTTGCATATTTTAAGGCCTGCTTGCATCACCAGCTGTACAAAGCATGAAAGAAAAATTCTAAGGGAAATTGCGTGATAAAAAGTAAAGTAAATCTTTTAGAATATCAAAACAACTGTTTGCCCTATGCAACTAGTTTGATGAAAAAAGACCAAACTTCTGAGACATTTTTGGCAAAGTGAGGTGACCAAGTGGGGCGAAATATACACTTATGCAATAATACCAAAACTGTTTATTTTGAAGTCACCTATCAATTTGTGACTGGCATTTGCTCAATAACAAGGACACCAGCTCAAAACATTCCATATATCTATGAGCTAGCATGTTTTTCTTGGTGTTGTCCCTTTAATTACCATTATGGCAACTGGACCCCTTAGGCACACACACATGACATGTTATTTCCTGTACATTCTACATGTACATTTGTGATAGCGGCCATGAATTTGCAAGCATGCTAATGTTTCACATGTCACTTTATTTTCTGTGAATGGTATAAAAATCCGAGTGGTATTTGAATTTAATTTTTTTTGGTACAAAACAAAATGAAGTTATGGAACATGAGTCTGCCTCATATGAAACAACTTAGAGATAAAACAATTACATGGTTATACACTAAACTCCCATGTAAAAAACTATAGATTTGGTATCCTAACCCTACAACATTAGCTGCCACTGGTGTCTTAGGGCTGAATAAGTGAATCCAATACAGGCAAAATTTATATTCCCTGAGAGTATTGCAAGACACTCCATTTTAAGTGGTGATCAATAACTATTACAAGATTTGATACCCATTAAATACTAAACCATGAACAGAGGTAAAGTCTAAAAGCCTGTGAGGATGGAGATACACAGGGAATCAATAATTACAACCAGTTTGAACTCGCAAAGCAATTCGGAGTGAAGAGTCAGTAAAACAGACTACTTGCTGGGTTGGGTATTTAAACACACCTTTTCAATCAATTCTGTCCTAACACCTTTCTTGTCAAGTGTGTGTTTCATATAGGCAAGCAAGAAAACCATGACTAGCAAGCACTTCAATATCTGATATAAATGGTATATATTCCAAATATTATCTTGTTGACAGCTTGATAAAGCTGACGCAATTCAAAAGATGTTTCCACTGGTCACCTACCTACAATAAGTTCAATAACCTAAATTTTTGCAGAACACCTGCTTTCAGACTCACTACAGCTAAGATAAAAGCTATGACACAAAAGCGATTTCTCTTACATTCCCAATTCACAAATTCTGGCAAATTACTATAGTCTTATTAGTGAAAACATATCTGTAGTTACAGATGCTCTATAACTGTGAAACATTGAATCTGTCAGCTTAATTATTTGTCTTCATAAAACTGCAACAATGCCACTTGTCAAACATATCCACAAAATATAAATAAATAAATGCAATGAATTTCCGGTGGGAAAGGTGTGTTATTGCTACTATTTGCGTTTGGTTCAAACTAACTTGCAAAACACATCACTGTATAAATATAGGTACATTCCTTCAGGCCAACACAAATGAAAAAGGGCCAAAGAAACTTTAAATTTCAATATATGTTATATTATATTTCAATATAATATATCAAACATAGTTCACTGTAATCTGATGAAATTACATTTAATGCTTTTACTTGGTATTGCTATTTATTTATTAAGGTAATGGCTCAATGGCTTTATGTAACTTCTCTGTACATAATATAAAAATTGTACTTCAAAAATACAATACCAGATTAAAGCATTTGAAGTTCTACTGAATATCTATTGGAAAAGGTGATAAAAGGATCTTTTGCACAGTTGTCTTCAGCTTTCAGCCTACTTTTCTATTATACAACTTGTCCCAAGCTCTAACTGGGATGTTTCTTGAAATGAAATATCATTGTGTTCTCCTATGCCCCAACCACTATACATTTTCTAAACTATGCAGAACCCCAATGTGTTGTATACCAAGTAAATTCCGATGCAACTTCTTCAAAATGTTTTATGTGACCCCAATGGTATGGAATGTTGGACCATCCCGCTTGAAAATGTATCATTTGAAGAGAGACTGTGACAGTCTGGAAGAAGGCCATCCCATAATTTAAACTTAAATTGCTAAACTCTGATATCACCTTTTTGCACAATCATTTTTTTTCTACTGAATTCGACAAGAATATTACAAAAGTAATTAAACCACACCTTTAAAGTGCCTGATGCCATGACATTTTTAGTGAAGTTTTATTGAATTAATGGGAACACTTTTTGAGCAAATAAAAAATTGAAGTGGTCTTTTTTTTTTTTCGATAATCATATCAGGCCTCCATTTATTAAATTTCATTGTCAAGACTAATCCTTTTGATTTTAGCTTTAAGTTAATATAAAAAATGGTATATAGTGAACATATGAATCAGTTACAAAACTTCTTCACAGTCGTCATTTAGCCACTTAATATCCACTTTTTTGTAGCAAATTTACTTCAAACAAAAATGTGGTCCATACATATAGAAGTTTCAAACTGACCCAAAGTTATATTTTTTAGGTCTTCATATCCAGCTGAACTACTTATCTTCCCTAATTCAGACCTTAAAAACGATGCAAGCCTACAAATAAAAGCACCTGATGATTTTTTTTCTGATGTGAACAAGAACACATGGCTTTTTAATTGCTACGGGAAGCATTTAGAATTATTAGAATTATTTAATTAAAATATTTAACATATAATACCAAATCCAAGTGCACAGAGGAGAGGTTGGACCAAGGGTCGAGCAATGATTCATGAGTTAAAAAAAAAAAAAAAAAAACTCTTTTTCAAGGAAAATTCTAGTTGCAAACCTTTAACTATGTCCTGGTGTCTCACAAAAAAAATGTTGGTACCTGACAAATAGTAAAAAATTCTACGTGAACATATATTCCCTGGCATGTTTACTCCTCACACGACATCAATATATCAGCATCAATCATACTAACACTTTAAAGTTTACAACTGCTTCTTGTCACTCTGAAACACATGATGTTCAAAGAATCCCTCAGCTGCAAGCTTTCACGCATTTTGTTCAGCACCAGTCTAATTAAATGAGCAGAAATCTGAGGTCGAGTAGTTTCTTTCAAACATTACAACAGACCCACCTCTGAACAAGTCAAAGCACATTATTGTCAAGTTGTTCAGGAGTGACATTAGCACAACTAGTCTGAATGCATTTTTCTCTCATCTGATCTAGCAATTATACCCAACTTAAAACATAGATTTTGGACAATGCTATCATGTGAAATATCTGAGAATAATCAAACATGTTTTTATTTTCTAAGAAGTAAGTGAAGTTCTACAAACATTTGTGATTACAAGATTGGCAATCATTTATCAATATCCCAGCTCTTTGCATCTTTATCTCACTGGTATACTGACATAATCTAATAGGAAGGGAGATAGCTTTTTTTTAATCTACTAGTAACTAGTAAGCATTTTATTTTTAGAATGAATGGGTATTACACCCTATACGATAGATATGAAAAATATTCCATGATACTTGATTTCCACACCATATCACAATCAATGTGGCATTTAAAACTGCATGCCGGATTCGAAAACCTTTAACAAGAATCACCACATCTCTCCTCCGATGCAAGTAGGAAGCAAGCAGAAAGTTGCAACGATGAACACACACCTTATCTGTATTTAAATCTGGGTCGTCCTGGATCAACCTGAATAGAAATGATTTGGGATCACGACATAGCGTAGTCCTTGTTGTCATAAAAACTGTTCCTCCAACGTTTAGTTTGATCCAACTGTTTTTGCGTGATAAATTATCAGGTTTTCCTCGACAATGATTTACTTCCATCTTCTCCTCGCCAGCCATGATTACAAACATAACATCTATATGAGATTTTGATTGAATGTTTTTATCAAAATTTTAGTACAAACCTAAATAAAAACAAATTCTATGGAAGAAATAATTCCAAAATACATAAATAAAAAGCATAGAACCTCTGTTTTCTAAAAAAATTGGAAGTCCCGTTCAAACGTTGCAGCTATTGGAGACATTTCGGCAGCCATCTTGGTTTCAAAGTTTGGTCGTGTAAGTAGTTCGGCTTCAGGTTTGCAGCCACTATGACGGCAAAACGACTCACGACAACATCTATAAATTGGGCTCTGCTTGGAGACAAGATGTCCAAGTATGGGTCTAAAGGCACAGATTACGTCAGGGCATTTAAACAAGTCAATGACAAGCATCTTGTAAGGTAAATACCGTGAATTTTTAGTTATTAGTTTCCGACTTTTGCAGGTGGGGATTTGCCGACATTGCTATGACCATTCTTGTGTGTGATCGTAATTACAGAAATAATGTTTAGTGTCACTTATATTTCTCTTAAAAAGGACAATAATAATTCGTATCCAACATCATGAGAAATGTTATAGCTGGCATTATTTATAGTACTACCGATAAGACCCGAATCATGGTATAATTACACTGTACAGTAAACGCCATCACTTCCATTATCGTGGAATAAATTTTGTTTTGTCTCTGTTTTTGGCTTGTTGATAGCTGTAAGAAGTTATTGTAGTGGAAAAACATGTACCATCTGAACACTCTGACATGAAGTACATACAATTAAATATAAGTGTAACATTCATAGAAGCATCTTCACTTATGTCAGTGAGTTTCTTTTTGAGAGTTTTGTTAAATTTGTAAAATCACATAAAATGACCTATTGTGTTAGGTCAAACTAGGTTACATATTCAGGCCTACCCAACTCCCAGACTTGGCACCGAATGATCCTGAATTCACTGGTAGGTCAGACCACACTACCCTTATTTAAGGTGTGTGTCAGTACACATTTCACAGTATCATACTCCGGTTTACAAATTTTGACATGAGATGCATTTCTTTCCAACCCCGCTCAGAATCATTCTATCACATCTTGTACTAAGCAAGAGCAGTGTCGCGTCTGATACTTCGAAGCGCGTACTGATGCAGATCTTGAAAATGCTGTGTGGCTAAATTGCGCAATACAGCACAACACGGTGCGATACACTTGAAAAATCAAATCCAGTTACAATTACACAAAAGAAATGGCCATTCCTTAGAGTGATATAAAAACAACCTATATTACTAGGTAAGTAATATCGTTGATATAACTTAACAAATCAGCAAGACTTTCATATCGTCCAGTCGGCGAGTGGCTCTTCTTGGATATATTACTGGCCAAGAAGAGTTACTTGCCAACATGGCGACTGACCAAACAATGAAAAAATTGTCCCGATTTATTAAGTTGTATCAGCAATTTTAATTACTATGTACTATATTTTGCTTTTATATCACCCTATTTTGTTTGAGATTACCCTTTCCCGTGTTTACTTGCAACTGGACTTGTATTATCAAGTGCATTGCGCTGTATTGTGGTGTATTGCACAATTCTGCCATACCCTTTTTCAAGTCAACTACCCCTGGCCAATTATAAGAACTGATTTCATTTCTTAAAAGCAACAAAAATTATACTTTTTGATATTTCGGTTTATGCCTGCCTCCATGTGCACATTGCCAATGTATTCCATGTATAGAAAAGTCATATGACTAACAAAATGGAAGCTCAGCTTGTGCTTATTTCCAAAATCAAAATGTTTGCCAAACCTACAAAATTCTTAAACCTTTTGCTGTAAGAAAATTTGTTTGAAGAGGAAATAAAAATCAAACACAACACAGTCAGAAACAACCTGGTTTAAAGTAAGTGATAGGTAGACTGTACAACTGCATTTCTATCTGAGCTAGCTCTTTCAAATTCAATTTTCATTTCCACAACAATCAGTGTATGAAGTTTTAAAGCCAACACTGTGTTGGTACGACAAAAAAAGAAAAAAAAAATTCATACATGCAGTGTGTCCTGTGTCTCATCTAATAAATTAAGCATCGGAAAAACAACAGGAAATAAACAAAAAGTGTTGAACATGGGTTGCTGTCAAAAATGTGTCCTGCAACATAAGATTAAACTGTTGACTTTTGTTTTCTTATCCACTACAAACGATGTGCTTATGTTTGAAACTTAACAAAAAAATAAGTCCAAAAATGAGTATTTTTTTCAATTTTACTTCTGAAAGTAACCTGTCATATATTTTTAGAGTAAGCAGCCTTCCAGAAAGTATGCCAGAAATCGACTTCAATTACTACAAGGAAAATGTTGCTCTTCCAGGATTTGTGGAGAAACTAGAAAAAGAGGTATCTCAATAAAAAAAAAACTGTGTAATACTGTCATTAATGTTCACAGAAATTTAATGTTTTTTGATTGTTATAATTTTTTTTCTGCTAATTTTTGCCACTGTTGATTTAATCATATTGTAGATATATTAGTCACAAAGTTTAACTTGTATGTTGCCTTTTCTGCTAGTTGTATAATATTTTTATTTTACCACATTTTTAAATTGCTAGTTGCTAGATATTTTCATCCATAATTGAAATTTGTCTCTTTGCTGATGACTATAAGTGCTTAACCTTTTTAGTATAAGGCTCTGAAAATACCGTATCCCGAAGACAGACACAATGTTTTGGAGACAATTTCTAAGAATGAAGCAAAATCTGTAAGTACAGGATTTACTCATTCAATAGAAAGAAATGATAGATATTTAGACTATCAGGTAGATAAATAAATAAGGTACCGTTAAAAAGAAATAACACTGAATAAAATAAAGGTACATGCAACAGAAAATATTGAGTAAAATCTCTCTCTTTTAAAACCACTTTTTGTGTTTGAATATTAACATTTTGAATATGCTGTAATATTCCACCAAGTTTAAAACATTCTGTGTTGTTTTCTCAAAAAAATAATAGTAATTAAAAAAAAGATAAAAGATTCACTGATTAATTCAGTTGTTTACGATATATTAGGTCATTTAAATGAGTAATTTGCCTTCCAGAAAGCTGATATAGAAAAATTACAAAAGGTTGCGGATGCATTTATATACCAGGCAGAAAGAGATGTGGGTATATGGTTAAATTACAGTTTTTTTATTATTCCTTTTTTATGTACAGATACAGATGTGTCCGTACATATAGCCGTCACCTGCTTCTGTTGTCGCCATGCACTTTCACCGATAACACAATAAGTGGAAAACTGTTTCACCGTTTGGCTTTAAACTTACAGAACGGATGAATATTCATAAAACGCAGGTCAAGTTTGAAAATCAGCATGATCCGGCCATGTCTTCCAAAGTTGTGCTGTTTTTTCACTTTTATCAGTATATGTGCAACACTGACAACACGATAAGTGGAAAACCATTTTATCTTTTGGCTTGAAACTTACAGAACTAATGAATATTCATTAAACGCAGGTCGAGTTCGAAAATCAGCATTACCGGGCCATTGTTTCAAAAGTGATGCTGTTTTTTTGTTTTGTTTTTTTTTTTGTTTTTTTTAAGCATATGTGCAACACTGATAACACATTTCAAGGAAAACCAATCGACCTATTGTCTTGAAATTCACAGGTGTGATCAGTTTTGATGAAGTTATGCCTTTTTTTGTATATAAGTGGTTTTTACTCAGATTTAATTCTCAGGCATGTTTACAGTCTCCTTATTGAACTAATTAGGTATGTAAAAGTGTTCTTTTGACATTTTCTGCATGTTTACAATATTGGTAATTGGTTATAAAAACAAACCTGTTTTTGTGTATTGTGTAATAAAGAGATAAAATGGAAATAAACTCATATCATTGCAATTTGTCAGATTTAATCATTCACTATTTTTAGAATCTCAGAATGGATCAAATTGGACATTGAAAATTGTTCTATTGATATTTTTCCTATGTCAGCAATTTTCTTACATGATCATATAAAAATGACAGTCAATTGAATATTTTATGTGAAAAAGGTGTTGATAAGGAAATAAACAGATTTCAGTACAGTTAGCTCTTGTTTACATTTGGCATTTTCAAGGTGTGATTCTGAACTTCCATGGGCTTTTGCTAGTCACATTTTCTGAATATCCATGATACTTTTATTTTATTATTAAAAGTTGATGGTGGTAATGCTGTTAAACATTATGTAATATTGCATCAAAATTGAAGAAAACCCTTTTTTGGGCACTGCCTTCATAGTGACCATTAAAGGAAAACCATGGCACTTACTCTTCTCACAGTTACAGGAAAGAAACGTGAGACTAAAATGTAGCCGAGTTGGAAAAGCAGTTAAATTGGCTTCTTTTTCTGTTGTACATTTTTGTCAAATTTTTATCTTTCACATATTAGCATTTTCAATGTGGGACTTAGAACTCACACGGGCATGTAGCCCAGTGGAAGTCAAATTTTCTAAATGTCCATGTGAAGCTGGCATGCCAGAATCCTAAGCCGCTTAAGCTGAAAGCAATTTAGTGAGAAACCCTTTGGAGATGGATCGATCCTGTTAGATTGATTTAGGTATGGGAACCCAGTCTAATGCTTATTACACATTTTACTTTCATCCTTATTAACTGTTGTGCAGAATTAAAATTTGACCTTGGCTATGCAGTTAAGAATAATGCATTATTGCATCAGAATTGACAGTATCCTATTTTGTGCATTTTTATTTTCTGCTTTTTGTTGGTACATTTGACAGCTTTGCTGCCTCTTTTTTTTTTTTTTTTTTTTTGGTGTGTGTGTTATGCATTCCAAAATTTGATTTATACAGTCTTTGGAATGAAGACTTAAAAATTAGTCTAATTCATGATCTGTATGTCCAGGTAGTCTGTCAATCTGCCGAGATGAGTTTCAAATTCAATTATGCAGAAGACTGAGTATTTTAAGTTGAAGTTGTTAAAATGGTATACCTTTATTGTGAAATAATTAAAAAATGCAACACTGTAAACTGCAGCAGTGTTATATACCATAGACAGAGTTCTAGTTCTGGCAGATTGGAAACCCAAGACAGATTCAAATCCAAGTGCACAAAGCGACTAATCACAAGTTGAGATTACAAAAAAAAGAGGGGGGTGGTGACTATATATATTTGCCTTTCAGAGCTTAGAAATGTAAGATCACAAATCGTGTTACTTTCAAGGCATTTGTCTTTCCAGCTGATGCAGTGCAATGAATTAAAAAAAAAAAAAAAATAGCAAATCTGTCTGCAGTTCATGGTGTTGCATTTTATTTTCCAAAGCTGTATAAATGGACTAAACATACACTTTTATGAAAAAAAATGTACTCTTACAGATCAAGGCTCTCAGCATACTGCCCAAGGTTGAAGAAATGCAGAATGACATGCTCTTCGAATATTTTCCGCAGCTGTACAATGATTATGTCAATGATCCACAAATGGCACCTTTCCGTTATTTTGATCAAGATAAATGTGGTGATGATGTTCTGTTCCGTACACAAGAAGATTTTGAGCACTTTGTTCATGATCATTAATCATCACAGTTTTTACAAAAGACTTTGAAATGGAGCTGTAATGTCATGGTCGTGAGTGATGTAGAAACCAGCTTTTGATTTTTTTTGCAAAGAATTGATTGGATACTTGATAAATAAAGCAAAAGGTTCTCTTGTGACACACTTTCCCATCAAGTTACTGACTGAGGATTTAAGTACAATATCTGCAGAACTGTATCTTAACAGACACTATGATAAAATGCTGGACAAGTGTTTTAAATAATTTACAGTTGGTTTTTGAAAGTGTGACAAGCTTGTGATGTTATTCTCAGACTTAAAATAAATAGAAAACATTGCATATAATTTGGTTGTTTGCTCTTGGATAAAAACAAATTTCATATTTTTTAAATCCTTTATTCCCACTGACACAAAATCCCATCATTTACACCATCACAAGTTAACATCACATTGGTTATTAAGTTTCTCTAATTTACCCAGCTCAAATGTTATTCTTAAATGGACAGCATTCCCCAATGCCCACATAAGAGCCCGCACACCTCATTTACACCTCCTCGAGGTAACACAACACCAATGCTTGAAAACGGAGGAAATCAATTTAAAATTGGAAAGAAATAACCTATAATAAAAAAAATGTAGTTTGTTTTTACTTAGCAGACCTTTTATGGATGCATGCAAAAGCATTTACGCTAATTATTCCCACACAAGTGATGCACATTTCAGTACAGTCTTCATGCTTTATCTGCTGACAGGTATTGCACTTAATCACATCATGCAGACAGGGCTCTGTTACATATCACAGGTCGCTCTTCAGACTTTGTTTAAGATGATTGGTTCATAAAAAGCAGATCAATCTGAAATATAAATTTCCAGTTTTGTTTAAAAAAAGTTACAGCCACCCGAACTATCACTTATTTAAATAAATGCTTTGGCAAATGTATTTCTAAATTGAATTTATTGGAGATTTTTAAAAAGTGAACTTTGTAAATCCCTCAATAAAATGTAATTTACATAGTTTATATATCATATTTATCACCTCATGTTGGCCAATTCCCCTTTCATGTGGTTCTTGAACTCTGGACTTCATTTCTAATTCTATCGTCTTTAACTTAAGTAATGGATGCCCATTTTTTTCACATAAACCAAATAAATTTACCTGTGTTTTGTACAAGTCCTTTACATCATGCAAGTCCAATCTCAGTTCATCTGCCTCTTCCACTTTTTCACCATACATTTGTAGCAGTGCATTGTAGCGCTGGTCCAAGTCCTAAAAGTTTTTAGAAATTCATTTGTTAATACCTCCTCTACTCTCAAATTCTTTAAATTTATATTAGTGCCTGCATTCATCGATTTCTCAATTTAAGAATGAATATGTGCACACATATTAGTATGCATAAGTATGCTTTTCTTTTCACTAAAATCCTCCATTTTTAGCACAGGAAGCTCACTTATGAACTGGTAGTTTTGACTGCTAATAGTTGTATTCTCAAATACAACTCTTGTGCTTTCAAATGTGATCACCGGAAGGGCTACTTGGTTCAAGTTGCAGTTGCTTCTGAATGACTAACAAGACTCAAATTTACCGTGAATTTCTGCCGGATCTCTGGCAATTCCTTCACCTCTTCCTCTAATTGTTCATTTCTGGTAGAGAGTTCAACCAATTCTCTTGCCATGGCCTCTCTGGTTCTTTCAAGCTGTGTAATTTCATCCTGGAATTTTATAAAGGTTACCAGAGCCATTTAAAAAGGATGCTTTTTAATGTAAAAATTAAAAGGATATACCCTCTCTTTATGGAAATTTGTATAATCAGCACAAGGATTATTACTGGTCACTAATGTTTAACTTTATCAACAACATATCAACATAACAACATATTGTCACTTTACAGGAGGCAACAAAAGGCAAAAGCATACCTGTAAGTGCATCACCTCTCCATCTTTCTGTTTAAGCTGAGCTTGCAAATTCTCCAGGACACTTGCAGCCCCTGACTGACGCAAGCTTTCATACAGAGACACCTTATTGCCATTAGCGGCTGCCAGGTAAAGAGATCTCTCCAGAACATCATCCTAAGAAATTCAACACATTCACTGCTTACATCATATCGTCCACATTATGTTTTATAGTCCACTGAAAATCTCTTTAGCCAGCTAACATGAGCCTTCAAACAGGTACACTGTTGTGGTTTTAGTTACAGAGTTGAGTTTCCAGGTAGATTTAAATCCAGAATGCTCTCACAGAGAGGGCACAATCTTGTATCTGCACATTTGATAATTATAGGATTAATTCTCTCTTTCAAGACAAAATCGCTTAATGACATATATTAATAACAAGTATTTTCTGATAATTAAAGATGAGATATAAAAAAATAATTACAGAAATAAGTGGACCATCTCTGACAATATAATATTAATTAATACTGACATAAACATGTACCTGCATCAATCCTGATGCCTCTCCCACAGAACTGCTGAAGCTCTGCTGTCTGGATGCTGATTGAGGTGCTGGTGATGGAGCCTTGGGACTCTGTCTGGCCAACTGAAGTTCCTGGAAATTTAAGTCTAATTCTTAAAATTGTGCTACCATTATACAAATATGTTATATATATGTATAATTGGTATATATATAATGTTATCTTCTTCATCTTTATTTGGTCATTTGTTTGAAATCACTACTTTTATTTTGACCTCCACTGACTGTTTTAGTTGATGTCAAGAGACATTCAGAGTGTGAAAGTATATGAATAACAGAATTCTTAAACTAAGAAATTCAGTATTCTTATTTTGAAATTAATGGAGTTGAATCAAACTTTCCAGGACAGTGAAGTTGTAACATTGTTTTATTTCTGTACATATATCAGTAGATGATGCAATAACTATTTCATACCTTTTCATTTAGTTGATCATGAGCAATGAGTAGCTTTTTCTTCTCGGCTTCCAATTTCAACTTCTCCATTTCAAGTTGGTTTTCCACAAGGATCTGAAGTAAATCATATGCTGACTATCTTACAATTAATAATTTTATTAAAAGCACAAAGAATATTATATTGTTAAATGAGTAGAATATTTACGTTAATCGTTTGATGCTCTGCATCCCCCCTCTTCCCATATATATATACTATCAAGAATTTCAACAAGAAAGTCTTACAGCACATCTGAGATCTCATTTGTAATGCCAAATGTTGCAAGTGCAGTCATTAGGTGTAAATTAACAATTTAAAAGATTACAGACCACAGACTTTCAAATTCACCTTTTCCTTTTTGACTTCTGCAAGTTCTTTTTCTAGATTATGCCTCATTGCTTCATACTGTACACTCTCACTGTAAAGAATTACGATAGGTTAATCAACTGCAAACGTAATAAAGTTCAAAGGCAAAGTAACCTTTTGTAATACAATCCTGTCATGCCCATTTTAAAACAGTAAAATGGCAATTTTGTTATCAAAACAGTGTTTGTGCTGAATAACAATGAGTGCAACATTGTTTTCCTTTCTGATATTAATTAAGAATTAAGGCACACTGTGTGAAAGGCATTTTCCAAGTGACTTCAAAAGTTGACAGTTTTGAAATATCAAAAATTTTAAATGTACATACAATTTTAGAACTATTCACTGTAATGAGAAAAAGCCAAAAAATGTGATTGACTACAAAGTCATTAAAGTTTCTGTACTCTATAATGACAGCAAAGGAAATATATATCCTTTTTGGTGTCAAAAAATACTGAAATGCTATTACATCAACAGCCAAATTTTCAAAAGTTTCAAATATTTTTCTCATACTAAGATATGCCAAGACCATAATGCCATCTACATTCACAATGTATTTTCAGACCAATACTTGTGCATTAAAACTGTGTGTACCTGCTCTTTGCATCCTCAAGCATTTCCACTTTTGCTTTTTCCATTTCAAGTTGAGCCATTAACCTGGACTTCTCCTGTCTCAGTGAGGCATTCTGTGTTTCCAAGGCTGAAACTTTAGACTGGAGCTCAAGTACTTTCTCACTAGCTGTTCTCTCTCTCTCCACAGCCACTGCCAACTGACTCTGGGCATCATCTGCAATAAAAAATGAGATTTATGAGACAAATTCCAAAGATCATCCAGTTTCAGGTCATCAGTTCAGAGCAAATGATTGTCTCAAATAGAAAAGTTTAACGAATCATACTTCTAATAAAAAAAATTTGGCATGCTTTCTCAAAGGTATGGTATAGATGAATGGAAACAAGGCTCCTGGGAGAGACGAAAACTTTTTTATGTGTGTTTGTTTTAAGACCGGATGGCATTATACAGTTTGTGTACAAATGCCATTTTTCACACTCAAGCAAAGTTAAAAAATCCATTGTGAAAATTGGCTTACGCAGTCTTTCTGTAAGATTCTTTTCCAAGCCCTCCCAGGAAGATGACTGAGCGGAGTAAGTGGACTGCAGATTTTCAATTTGTCGTAACAAGGGTCTTGTAGCTACACTGACACTCTGCGTGAGTGTATTGTTTCTGCTTTCTGCCTCTTGCAGTCTCTGAAACAGAAGATTACAAAACTGAAGTTAAACCAAATTGTCTCAGAGTTTTTCAATGAAACTGAAACATGATAATAATATATCATTGTAATGCAAGTAATTTCTATCAAGATGAAAGCAGAGGGCTAAAAGTAGCACTCTGCTCAGCATTAAAAGTCTATAAAAGTTAATAATAGTTAATAAAAGTTAATAAATCAATACAATTTAACATAACAAAAATCTTTTCAAACCACACATTAAAAATTTTTACAAAGGATAACATGTCTACACCTGACACTGCACTACTCTCACCTGATGTGCATCTGATATTTCTTGGCGCAACATATCCTCTCTTCTACCATACTCCTTTTCCATTCTAGACAGACCAAGTCTCAAGTCTTCCACCTGGAGAGAAAAAGCAAAATAACCAACCAAGGACAGAGCTCCTTAACTATAGCCTGAGTAATCCCTAGATCTATAAAGAAGGATAAAAATCAATGAATTAACCCTCAAAATTATTTCTTATATAACATTAAGGAATATGTACTATTGCAATAACAGTAAAAAGGCAGTTGTATGCAAGGTGCCAATGTGTGTATTACTTGCTCACATTTTTTGTGAAATATCAACAGGCTGGGTAATGGGCAAGAGATTGTTTATTCAGCTGACTGACAGTATCAACATTCAATTTATGGAAGTCCATATAAAAAGGTTTATACATTATACATAAGATAATTTTTTAGTACCTGCATCATCAGTGATTCATTCTCTAGCTTGGCTTGCTGCTGCTGCTTCTCTAAGTTGAGTCTTAGTTCTTCTTTTGCTTGCATCTCTGTACTCAGTGCCAGCTCTTGTGCTTGACTTTCTTTGGCAATATTGGCTTTCTTCAATTCTACTATTTCCCTGAAACGACCCAATGAATACATTAAACATTGGTGGAATCTTTTCCGAATTCCAAATTTTGTTCCCCATCCCTTCCAAATCAAGGAGTCACTCTGTGTCCCAAAGTGGCCCTTTATTCAAAGATTTGATTGCAGCTGGGTTGGGAGATTAAAAAAAAACCCATGTTGGTATTATATCATTTTTAAACTAGACTGGTAAGTCTCAAAATCTATGACCCAGATCACTGTATAAAAAACAGAATCAAAAGTTGCCAATACACCTACTTGTAGGAACTGTCTAAAATTGATTGTAAACTTCTGTTCTTCTCTGCTGCATCCTCTAACTCGCTCTGAAATTGATACAAATATTTTCATTTTAAGCAGATAAACCTATTACAGAACAAAACATTTACTTTTGCAGAGCCTAATTTTTATCAAATTTATTAACTTCAAATAGTTTTCTTACACCAATTCGAAACAAAATTAGGCAGTATTCAAAAGATAGCATGTTATATACTTCATTATTTTAATTTGGTACCTTATGTCTTAATCAATATGCTATATACTACCTATAAAGCCAACCAGAGTTAATTTTTTCAAATCATTTTCTTAAATGTTATTGCTGGTCTTTTTTCATACCTTTAATTTCCAAATCTCTTTTTCCTGCTTCTGAACTGCTGCATTCAGTTGATTGATTGCATCTAAAAAGAATGGTATTACACCATGGCTTTTATAAATTAAGTGTAAAATTAATGTGACAGTTGTCAAAGGGAAACATGTGCAACATTATGTAATGGTCCTTTGCCAACTTATATTAAGATCTGTTTCATAATAACATTAAAATTTATTTAATGGTTTGTAAATAAGTTAAGTACTCATTTGATATGTTCTATACTCACTACATAACCAACTAATCAATTACATACCTGTCTGTTTCTTTTCCAAAACTTCTTTAGAATCTAGCACTTCTTTTAGATGAGATATCTCATTTGCTTGCTCTTCAACTTTTTGCCTAAATGGACATGTAAAATACATGTAAATATTCTCACTGGTATTATGGCACATATATTGACATATCTGTGATGTAAGTGATTCATAAGAATCTATTGCATTAGTTTCTTTTTAATACAAAATTTAGAGAATACAGAGTGAAAGGTATTCTGGGGAAAGTCATATTCACTATCTCTGGGAAGCCAGGAAGGCTTGTCCATCCTTACTTTTTTGACTTAATCAAGCTCTCACTCTCTTTTTCTTTGGCTCTCAGCTTCTTGATGATATTATTGCTCTGAAGCTGTTGTTTTGATAATTTTTCACCTAAAAGAAAAGAAATACTTCTTGAAAAACTCTTTAGTTGCAACTGCATACATGACACTTTCAGCAGACTTCATTTTTCATTAATTTTTATTTGTCAATCAAATAATGGATTATCACCAAAATCTACTAAATTTCCAGAAAATTTTATCGATGTTCCATTATCTGTTTTGAGTGTGGCTGTTAGCTAGTAAATAACAGAGGATAAAACATAAATTCCTTGGTGAAGCTAATTATCTAACTGTCAAATGGGCAACGTTTAGGTAGAATTATACATTGTACAAACCCTCCTCCAACAGCTCAGCAATTTGCTCATCCTTCTCCTTCATTAACTGTATTGTCTGACGGTCACGGATCCTTTACAAACAAGAAAACAAAAATTTGATGAAAAATAGTGGGGAAATGCATCAGTTCTAACTTATATTCTTGTAATGATTAAATTATCTACTTGTATTGATTTAAGCATGACACTACTGTTTCATATAGGGAGGGGGGAATCTAATTTCTGAGAAAAAAATCAAACATTATTTAGATAAAAAAATAATGAAGGTACAACGTAAAACACACTTTTTCTTCAGCTCCTCTTCAGCTGATGTCAACTGCCTCTTCATATTGTCTCTTTCCTGCAAAGAAAAATAATAAATTGTTATATTTAATTTCCCTAAAGTATTACTCCCATTTCAAACTTCACGTTCAAAAGAGTGAAATTAATGTTGCTATATGACTAGCCACTTTTGTAACATACTGTAAAAGGACGCATACACACACACACACACAACCGGATACATGCAACATGATTACCTTATAAGCTGCCTGCAGCTTCTTTTCCATTTCAGTGAGTCTGTGTCCAAACTCTTCTGACAGTGTTGTCACATCTGTCAACTCCTCTTCATGAGATTTCTGCATTTGTTGCAGTTGGCTAGATAATGAGATATAAATCAAACATAATTTTTACCCATCAAAGGCTGCCACCTCTTTGGAACACTTGAAAGAATATATTTCCGAAAGGATGCAACAAGACAAAAACCAATTTAAAGAACAAAAATGCAATTTTTACAAAGCATTTTCTTACTTTCTCAAAATAGAATTTTCTTCTGACAGGTCCATGTTTTCCTTGCTTTGCTGAAGCAGCTTGTTCTCTCTTGCTTCTAAAATTTCTGCAGTTTCAGCTAGTTTCTAAAATGGCAAACTTGATATTCAGCCAACAGATTATAAAATGTCTTACACCTTCACTCATCAACAATATGCTGCCCAGAGAGATACAGTTCTGACTTAATATTATAAAATATATCAGGAGGATAAATATGATTAAAATTTATTTCAGAAAGGATTAAATTGGTCTAAAAAAGGCATATGAAACAACATTAATATAAATGAGGAAGTATCATAAACCAGAGAGCAAAAAGCTCTGAGAGAAAGAGAGAGACAGAGATAGAGATAGAGAGAATGTCATTTTCTTCTATACAAACATGTTATGCACACATCACAAAACAAACAGTGTACTCTCCAATTGGTGTTATCGAAAAAAGAATGCACAAATTTTATTACTCGAGTTCCAACATACACTTAAAAGAAATCTTTTATTTACCAATAAACATTAGAAGCAAACTGAAATTCATGCAAATGTCAATCACAGTTACAAAAAAATGTGCACATAAAACATTTAAGGAACATGTCATGTGCTTGATACCACATATTTAACTTATTTCTTGGAACTGATTAAAATGTATTATAAATATATCAATATCCCTTAATGTAACACATCATCCTTTCATAATGATCCAATTGTTATTTTCACTGAACATTTTACCATTTGTAAGCATTTTATTTCCAAATCATACCAACAAGCTGTGACACAAGCAAGCCTGTGCAAACATTAAAAAATGCTATCCAATCATTAAGTAAATTTAATATTTTGAAAAAGTGTCTTCACATAATTTTTTCATAATTGCATTACAGGCTTAGCTTGCATCTGCCACTTAAAACATTTGCCTCATCTCTATAAATCAAGGAAAGGTTGATTTAAAATGATTGTCCAATTCGATGAATTTCCTCTTGCCAAATTAAAAAATTGAACTTTTTCTTTCACCAACACCATTTCATGTGACTAACTTCATCAGTTAAAAGATGGAATACACCAATAAATGTAGGAAATTGCCTGCTTATTTTTGGCACTTCCATAATCATGTTAGGGTTATAGATCCTCAATACACTGAAAATGTCCAACCAAGTCAAGAAAGCTGCAAGTCCATAAGAAAATTATAGGTGATGAAAAACCTACCAATAATGTCTAATATATGAAATGTAAACATCATGTTCCATTTGTAAAAGTTAATATAAAAAATCAAGCAGTAAATCTCATCTTGAATCATCCTGATTTACCTTAGAACCATATTAAAATTAAAAGAATTTTGATTTTCCATATCAGACATTATGTTCTCAAGGATTTCCATCAGTATCACATCCTGTTTTCATCAGTTTTCTCCAAAATATCTTGAGTCTTCCTCAGAGGCAAAAAACTGAAATAGGCCAAGTTTTTGGCCTAAAAGTTTACATCAATTTTTAGACTCTTTGCAAAACGGGGCCACCGATCTTGAAAACTGTTGAGAAAAGGACTTTCAGTTTCTTAAGACTTTGCAAGGCATGATAATAAGCAGATAGCAGCTTTAACAGAGAGCACACTGTGCACCCAGCTTACCTTGGCCAGTTCAGCATTGGGAAGGTTAGGGTCTATTGACTGGCAAAGAAAATTAGGGAATCGCTACAGTAGGAATGGTGTTTAATATGAGGCCTTTTTCTCATTGAATGATTTACTTAGACGATACAGTTGCATGGGTACATTTTGAGAGACTGAAAACTTAACAGAGTTTTGTACATTAAGATGTTTTTTCTGTATCTGCATACTAGTAGATACTGTGGAAACATACACTTTCATGTTATAAGATAATGCTGGGGCATGAAAAATTCATTGGGGAAAATTTGCTGATTCAAGCTGATTGTGTGACAGCAGGATTTTTTGGGTGAAAACAGTAATATCACTTTCACACAGGTCTTCCTCGCCCTCCCAGCTATCAACGAAGTGTCTATTTTTATTACGCTAATATTAAGATAAGTATTTCACATAAAAGACAAGGGTAAAAGCTATTTTGCCAAATGTGGGTCTTTTTATAACATGCCGAAACCCTTAATAGCTTGACTATTGTGGAGGCACCTACAAAGAGCTCTCCAGCACTACATGGTCAATTCATAAATTTTCACCCACTGTAGGAAGTGAACTTTAAGGCCCCTCAAAGTGTACTGTTACAACTGTATCACTAAAGTATACCACTCAGTGACAAGGGCCTTATTGTCATCAACATTGGTGAAGTCTTTTTGTCAAAACTGTTTTCAGTTGAGAGGGATTATCAAGATTTGTTAGGTATCTTTTCAGCATGATACCTGATTATGTTTTGCTCATCATAGGCAGCAGTTTAGATCCCTCTTTTGTGCCATCCATCAACATCATATTAAATGTCAGTAAGGTGCACTGGTTTTCTATGGTGAGTATATCATAATCAGATAGCTTATTTAGATTTGAAACCAACTCATTATTATACTTTGACTCACTAATATGATTATTTCATTTTTACCTTACTGTAGGGATACTAAACCAAATTTTATTTTAGGAAATATAACTAATTATCTTGGTTCATAACAGTGAGAAATAACTACATTCTCCGATTCCACCAGTACTTTCATGAATTAACACAGATTGCACAAGGCAACATCACATTGCAAAGCGCTTAAAATTTATAGTCTACTTGCATCTGTAATGTTTATTTTGATTTGATATTTGTTATTAGAACCCATTATATCCTATTTTACTTCTCATGCAAAATTAAGTAAGTTTATAAGATAAATATCCATTTACATGCTTCATTACATACATGCTACCTGTTAATTATGATGCAAAACCTACAGGCTGTCAGTGACGTCTATCTTTACATAAAAAAGCATTCCATTGGTTCAGAATAATTCAAATGCAGTATTAAATACCAATAAAATCTGCAAGCATTAGGTATACCTACCTTTAAAAGCTTTTGAGGATGATAAGGATCTTCACTTTCATCTGATGAAAAACCTAAATAAAAAGACAAGAATACTTTGATCATGCTAAACAATACTGTTAGTTTCTTAATTAGTGTTTAAATCCATGGGTGTTGTATATATAAAGAATGGTGATGACTTAACCTTTTCAAAGGAGAAAATTATGAATTTTACAGATAGATTCAGACTTTTCTAAGGTTATTAATGCTTGAAATTAGAACATTCCTATTGCATGGCAGCAACAAAACTGAAAAACAGGCTATCCTATAATTCTATTCTATACAGTAAAAGCACCACATGCAATATAAAAATATAATTTTAATGATTCCAAAATTTTGCATCTGAAAAATTAATAATTTTCCCCATTAAACAGATCAAGCCATTACTGTAATTTTACAAAGTTGTTTCAGATACAGCTTCAATGACCCTTTTCTTTAAAAAGAAGAATTTACTTCACATTAATGCTGTTATTGTATGTGGATGAAAAGCATAATGACAGCTAGATAACATTTTCAAAATAATCTATATTAAAATTTTTCAAGCTTACCTTTACTTGAACCATGCCTTTTGTCAGGGTTCTTGCCTGCCAGCAAATCCAGTCTGTCTAGATTTTCTGGGCTCTGTCTGTCATTAGAGCTACAACTGTCATGGCTGTCATTGCGGCGATGTCCAGGAACCATGCTTCTCACACTCCTGAAACATACAGCATGTAAGCCCACTGATCATGCTACTGACAAAAAAATCTAGATTCAAAACATTACTTAAAATAACATTTGTTAAAGCAAGTTTTAGGGCATTTACATCTTTTAAAAATATTATGCACAACTGGTCATATATGTAAAAATAAAGAGAGGCTTACTCCTGATGTTAGTTAAGCATTACCTGCTCAAAGCTTGTCGCAGTGGGGACAAATCAAATGGTTTTTCCTTTCCATCTCCGTTGGGTGTGGGTATGGACAAGATTTCAATGTCTGAAGAATTAGTGGTATCCATTTCATCCCCAGAAGTATGCCCACTATTCTGACTGGATTCTACTTTCACAAGGTCAGACTTTTCACTGGACAATGGTGATTCCAAATCCTCTGTTTTGGTGCTCTCTGCCATTGCATCATCAATCATACATTTAACAAAGGAAGAACTACTAGAAGATGACACCATAGACTGTGCCATTGTGGTAGCCTCAGTTTGCTTATCACTTTCTTCACAATCTACAGGTACACTCTCATTTTTAGTTTCAGAAATGGACAAATTTTCCACAGTAACTGTGTCCTCTGATGTATCCAATTCTGCTTTCTGATTTTCTTCCAATTTGGAACTTTCTCCTTCTGGGAGGTTCACCTCCTTTTCAACACTTGGAATATATCCTTCCTTTTCAGCAGCACCCTTAACCATGCCGTCACTCCCACAGAGACTTTCTTCAGTTTCCTTTACTTTAATATATGTGACGTCAGAAAAAATGCTATTACTACTGTCTGAGGAATCTTTCTGTTCATTATTGTGATAAACAGTGATGGTGCTTGATGTATCGCTACTTGTAGATACAGAGCTTGTGGAATGATCTCTTAAAATACTCTCCAGTCCGTTGTTTGTTAAACTATCCTCTTTCACAACTGAAGACTCAGTTACCTTTTCCACATCAACAGTCTCAGAGCCAGATTCACTCTTTGGTACACTCTTCTCCTCTGTTTTATCTACACATAGAGCATTTCCTGCTCCTGCAGTGTCTCTGTTGGAATCCATTTCTGTGTTATCTTTCTTGGGCTCATCTTCTTGTGGTATCTGGTCATTTACTGAGATGTCTTCCATTAAAAATTCTTGTTCCTTATCTTTCTCCTGATTAGTCTCCAGTATTTCTGAAACAGCCTGTGCCATGGCATCAGTGTTTGATACATCACCACTGTCTTTCACTTCATTCTGATCATCACTCTGATCAATTGGTAAAGTTTCAGAGAAACCAACGTCCGTCTTTTCTTCTTGAGCTGTCTGCAATTCTTCATTGCTTCCTACATGTGTATCAGTCTTTAAAGCACCCACTATTACATTTTCACCAAAATTAACACCTTCAATATTTTCTGATGGACCATCAGACTCCCCTATTTTTTCCTCACTCACATTCTTTTCTTCTGTCACATCAGTAGCATCTTCAAAATTTTCAACTGATTTTTTCACATCATTTTCACTTGTACTGTCAGTGTAATCTAAGCACTTATCCATCCACTCGCCTATCTGCTGAGGCTTTGCAGGTACTTCAGCTAACTCATTGTTTTCCTCTGCAGCAATCACACTTTGTTTGTGTTCTGTGATTTCATCTGTTCTTTTCTCAGTTTCTGTAGTCTCTGACAGGGTTTCCTTTCCAGAATCAACAAAATTCAACATTTCCTCTGCAGCATTTACCTGTTCCATAGATACAGAACTTGTGCCGTCACTCTGTTGCACCTGGCTTTTAGCATATTGTGCTTTCTTTTTAGCCCCCAGCTTTAAAGCAGTACTCTTTCTTGTTGGTGACTTAGGTCCAACAGAAAGTGACTTTGGGGATGAAGCTTCACTTAAGTTTTCAAGGCTTTCTGATTTCTGTTCTTCCTCTATGACAGACTCAGAGCTTGTCTGATGACTGTCAAATTTACCAGCGCTATCCTTATCATCTTTCCACCAGTTCCATTGTTTCCACTGCTGGGATTTTTTGTCCGAGTCCTTGTTTTCAGTTTTCTGTGAAATAGTGGAGCTGGACCAACTGTTCCAAAAATTATCTTCTTGACTAGTTTTCTTGGACTGAGAAGATGCCTTTTTTGGAGATGATGCAAGACCTATAACAGCAATGTAATCCATTAGAAAGTGTATATAGCAAAGCAGTGTCTGGCACAATCTATTCTGTTTCTGAACATCTGGATGTTCAATGTCATGTGGGCAATATCAAATATTAATATCATAATAAAAATAACTGACAGTAGCATACCACGTATATTCATATCAAGTAATAAATAATGAATAGTCTGATATTATTTAAGAATAAAAAGCTTATGCAAACAGCATCTTTAAAAGAAACTTAAGCAAGACAGAAAACATACATGAGTAGATCTCGAAAAGAAAAAAATCAGCAGACAACTTACCCTTTGTGTCATCTAATTCTCCATCTTCTTCCTGTATATCAAGCACCTTGTCAATTTTCTTCTGAGCAGTTTTCAGAGCCTGTTGGGCAAGGTTGGAAAACCCTGCTGCTTCCCACCAACTCATGGTGTTTCTGATTTTTTGAAGCTACCTAAAATCATATTTGCAAATTATATGAGCTGTGTATGAATATTTTATAATACACATAGTGATACAATGTGCCAATGTTTATCTAAGCTGGTTAAGCTAATTTATTTTACACTGTGTCAATGTATATATGTACACACTTTCTTATTCATTTGTATTAAGTTACGTAACATTTTGTCATTTTGTTAATAGATATAATTATATTATACTGCAAAATCAATTGATGTGTTTGAGAAGTATGGATATTTGCATGGGTAGGCCTTTTGTCAGGCAATGTTGAGCATCTATATCAGTACATGCCTATTTCTAATATACAGAAATCTAACTGAAATGATGAGTGTGTAAGGTAGTGTTATGCTATGAAACAAATTGAACTTAGACCTATATGTATATTGAATCTAAACTAACAATATATATGTGCTTGATAAAAAATTACTATCTGTACATTTTTTTTTAACACAGCAATCAAAATTTTAAATTTGGATTATTATATCAAAGATAGAATAATTTGGTTCATTCTTCCTTCTTTAAACAAAAAAACTTTCCAGTTCATTGACTGATGATATAAAATGACATTACAGAAAAATTTTACGTGTGAAATGGCCCAATCTTTCATTTTATATCAGTGAGCTTCATCAAAAAATTAGTAAGTAATTGCCACGGCCCATACTAATTCAGGTGAATAACAGTGATATTGATCAAAGGGACCATTCCCAGACCCTATTGAAGCTGCTAGTGGGTAATTAATTATCGTTAAGCAGCTTCTGTAGACATGCCAGACGTCTAAGTTGCTTAAGCTGAAAACAATTTAGCAAGAACCCTTTCGGAGATGGGTCAATCCTGTTAGATTGATCTAGGTACGGGAGCCCAGTCAAAGTCACCACATAAATGAACTGAAGAAAACATTGGAAATCAAAAACTTTATGTCCAAGCATGGCTACTTTCCTACAACATAACTACCCTCATCAAAATTATGTTTCCCACATAAAAGTGCCTCTGCACTGTTGCTTCCCCACAATGATACACCCCCTCATCAGTTTTTGAATGAATACTGGAAAATTTAGTCAATTTCTGTTTTCAGCTCACGGTATTTTCAGCAAAGGTTTTACAATAAAGAATTTCGATATATGTCAGATTTTTAACAGTGGGTAGTAAAGGTGCAGATAAATAGTTGTGTGGGGGATTAATGACAAGGGGAGTAACGGTGCAGAGGAGGAATAATGCGAGGACATATATAGGTACAGTATGTAACAGCTAGTGAGGGGGGGGGGGAATGCAAATGTACGAAAAACGTCCTATCCAAAACCGAAAGATATGTTTATGATTTTCACTATTGGTAAATAGTACTGATTTTATTATTAAAGAACCCATTATAAAATGTGCAGAAATAAACGAGCGTGTATCAACTGTCTCAACTGTATCGTTCACTTTCAGAATACCAAGCCGCATTGCAGGGCTTGTGCCAAGTTGTGGCAAAGCATATATAGCTGTAACCGAGACCACCCAAAAGGTAATGCCCCATAATATTTCATGGGAATAATGAACAATTTTAGTAAAGATATGTCAAAAGTTTTCATATGTTCATATTTCAGAGACCAATCTACCAGTTATTTGAAACAAGCGGCCTATTTTTACATACCTCTAACTCAGACTGTTTATGTTGGCACTTCCGTCGGACATCTTTGCTGACGTCAGGACACTTGCTAAAAGTTCATTTTAATCACAGGAATAGTGTTAAACATAACTAAGCAACATTTTCAACCAGAAAGTACTTTTTGTGTGATTTCTTATAAATCATAAACCTTCGTATACACGGAATTTCAATGGAACAGATAGTTATTTTCGTCAGAAATAACCTTTTGTTCAAATCCTTACAATAGATGCACTTATCTCAACGAGCTCCGGTGGCACAATCGGTTAGCGCGCCGTACTTATAAATAGTAACTTCCGCCCTACGTCGTAGGGTTGAGGCATGCGGAGGTTGTGAGTTCGATCCTCACCCGGAGCAATGTTATTTTTATCTCTTTTTTTGTTTTTACAAGAAACTGTTATTTTCATTTATTTTTAAATACATACATCCTTTGATCGAACTAAAACCAGCAAGTATTATTACTCAGATAAAATATTGCAAAGTATTTGCTGTTGGTTAATTTCATTTTCACTGATATTGGGAAATTTGCAAAAAGATTGACAAGTTAAAAATTCAAACAAACAAATGAAGATGTTTTATTTCATTTATTTTAATTAAAAAATATCACCTCTTTAACTTTTAAAGTCTTAATGGAACTGTATAATGTATTTCCCTTATTATCATACATCCCCTTTCCAGGATTAAATTTGTCTAATAATGACTAGTGTACCATTTCCAAGCTTGAGAGTGGAGCAACAAACTTAAATTCTAACTTCATTGATTGTGCACATCTTTAACTTACAACTTTGCCACAGGCAGCATCTTAATTGGTCCAAACATTGATAACCATAGTTCCAAACAGCTAATCATAAAGTAAACTTAGATCAAGTATCGACCTTCCCCCAACATACAGACAGAGTCAAAGCTGTGGTAATTCACCAGTTTACATTGTGTTTATCCTCTTGATGTTGTTCTATGCCAGTGAAAATTTGCATATGGAGACTTACAATTTTTTTTTATTAATTACCAGATCTGAAATTTGCTTCTTGCATTTTAACTTAATGTAAAAGTGAAGAAATAAGGAACCTTAATCTTCAGTGCTATCCAACAGTTGTACATACTATACATGTTATGCTAATTTATCACAGATAATTTTATGATAACAATCTACTGATAATGCTTTCTAACATGCCAAACAATAAATTCCAATTCCTAAGCTACATGAATGCTGCTATTCTTACAATGAAAACCAAACTCTTTGGAGCAATCTGATTTTTTAAACATCTTAATCATTTGAAAATACACTTTTGCTATTTATTCAAATGCAATTTCTGTACCTAATGTATCAAAAAGACTAGACTAATACTTTGCAAGACCATATACGACTGGATTTAATACAAAAAATAGGTAAGTTAAAAGTGTGCTTTTGTGTAAGTGTTGTGGTGTTGCATATAAAAAAGATTTTTTTGTCAAAAACTGGTATGGCTTCATGTTAGTTCTTCAAACAACCAGCAAAGAGAAATATCCTCACTTCATTCCAAGGACATATTTAAATTTCGGCCAAAGCCATAACTGAGCCACTTAAATTAAAACTGGTATCTTCAAATTGCAATTCAAAATATTATTCACTACAAGCTATCAAAATATGCTTACCTAAATGGTTTCTCAAGGCAAAAGAAAATGGTCAATGAATTTCTAAAATGTTTTAAAACTAGACAGGTCTTATTTGATCAATACAACATGACCCACTACTTTTCCCCTAATAGTTCAGCTATATATTATCTTCACATTTTAAGGAAAAACAGAAATAACATTTCACTACCCTCTGTGCTTTTGTATATGAAATAATTAGCACCGTCTTGGAAGTACTAAATGAAATAGTCATGTTCGTGCTTATATATTAACATCACTAAAGTGAACATTCAGTTTTGGGAAACATTTCCTGAGTATCTGACATATGAAAATAAATATCCATCAATATATTTCACATGATGATGTACTCTTGTTGATTATTCAAAATCCTTTTTACTAGGTCAGATTCAATCTACAGTAATCTTTCTTTATGAGAGAATAATATATATTAATAATTTTGCCATGATTTAGTATATGAACAGAAAATAAACAATACAATATCAATATCTGAATATAAAATCCCAACACTTTTAAAGAAGATCAGACTAAACACCAGTCAATGTGCTTTTAGCAATGCTAAACATACAAAATGTAAATAATTAAATAAATGCAATAAAAATTACTAAAAATAAGTCCTCAAAATATATCCCATAGAGTGGAATAATAACATACTCTACTGAACAACAGACTACAGTGGTCATACAAAAAGACTTATAGGCCTACAGAAAAAATGCTAATGCATACATTTTACTCAACATGTTAAATGCATATTCACTTGCAAATGCAATTATTCTTATTACCACTGTTTTTTGAAAAGCAGACATGACGTCATGAACAGAGAAACAGTCTGAAAATAAATGAATGATTTCACTATCTGTCCCATTCACATTGGTATATTCATAGTTTTGGAATGACACACTTTCAAAAGAGTGTTTACTGCTACAGCTACGGCATACTAAATGAATACACTTTTATGAAAAGCTTTCATCACCTCTAGAAGCACAAAGTAGACTGAAAAAGCATTGTCATTTTAATGACTCAAAATAGTTTGGCAAATGGAAAAGGACTTCTTTTTATATCTTGAAGATCCAGCTTCATGGCACCATAATCATATTTTGGGTGTTTATTAAGTCTAATCCTAAATGTCACCTTCCATGCAACCTTCTTCCTTTAATGGCATCACAATCCTTCAAATATGGAAAGAGGTGACAGTGTATAGACTTCAGCCTACAAAAAAAAATTTATCATAAATTTTAAACTACAACAATTTTGTTCAACATTCTTTTGAAAGACTAAGAGACAACTAATGAAGTAATCTTTTAATCTATCTGTATGGCATGACATATATTAACCTCTTATCATAGTCAGATATTGTAACCTGCTTCTGCTGTGTATAATTTTGTTTTTGTCTAATCCCAGGAGAAATATTAACAGAATTGATGAAATTAGAACACTTTGCAATAAATAACATATGTCAATTTGTCCATAAAATAAATATTGCAATTATTGTGTGTGCTCACAAACAATAATGAAAACACAGCTATTTCTATGATAATTTAAAATATTAAAATATATTACATTTTCTTTTGCCTATTAGTGTGTACATTTTTTAAATTCCACTTATTATCTTTAATTTGGCTTACATATACCTTCAGTAAAAAACAAAAGCCATGTTAGATTGAGCCAAAGCATTCATCTGAATTAATCACATGCCAAGTTATATGAATGAGGATAGTACATGAGTATATGTCTTTGTTACCTTGTTGGATCCTCTGTCTTGTCAAAACCTTTGACATTCACCACATTCATTCTGCTGCCATATGTGGAATAACTAAAGGTGACCTGTAATAAAAAACACATGCTTATATGATAAAATATAAGCAAATTCTTCACAGGCTTAGCATAAATATTACAGTTCATATTGTGAAATCACGTTTGTAACTAAAATTGTAACAAAGGAAAAGTGCCCAGAAAGAAAATTACAACTTTTGAGAGAGCTATTAAGACATGATTCTATTTACTTTCTCTAGTTGTGGTTGATTTTTCATATATGATATATGATACATCAACAACACTTAATATACCGGAGGATGATATAATCTATATTTCACTAGAACAATGAAAATGACACATGCTTAAACAGAAATTTATTTATTTATTTATCTGCAATATTGTTACCTGGTTACGAAAATCCAGTGGGTTCAAAAGCTGTAGTCCTTCTAAATGGGAATGGAATGCCTGGATCACAGTCAGCTTGGTCTTTAAGATATGACCTATGAAGAAAATATCATTTGAAGATTGTTCAAACTGTGTAGAACATTTTCTTTAATGGCACTACCATTGTGTTAGAGGTGCAACTTTTCTACACCAGCTGGGAACGCAATTTCATTACCAAAAAGAAGTAGCTGAATTCATTCAAGTGCTACAATGTGCATTGGAAATGGTTTTCGCTCATAGATTAAGTAAGTTGCACTGCCATTGTGTTAGGTGTGAAACTTTTCTACACCAGTTGGGAACGCAATTTCATTAGAAAAGTGTACTTGCTCAATTCATACAAGCAATAGATAAAATGTGCATTAGAAATGGTTTCAGCTCAAAGATATACTGAACAGTTAACACCATTTAAGTTTTTGCTTGGGTTACAAAGATGAATTTTTAAAAGGAAGAAAAACTCTCACCTTTATAACTTACATATTGTGACAAATCTCTGACTAATCACCAAAATTTGTGGGCTTAGGGATTTCAGGCCAACCATATTTAAATTTTCACACTTACCTATAATATACCCAACTGTGCAGTCATCAGGAAGACGGATCTTTTCACAAGCTCTGTTCAGTCTGCCACCACTAAAATTATGGAGAGCATACATGATATTTTCTAAAAAATGTTTTACATAAAAAGATAAAACTACAGACATTCACCTATAAAACTTCAGCATTTTTAGCAAGTCACCATCCACAATATATGTTAAATACCACCACAACTCCAGCAAGAAACATAGATAATTAATTCTGGTGTAAAGTGAATCAATGATAACAAAGAGAAAGCTAATATAAAGTTTGAAAATTAATTTTGGAGTTATATCTAGTTAACATTTAGGTTATTCAGGATGAGTTAAGTTAGCCCAGGTAGGTCTACTTTATCTTACCCTGCATGTGGCATCATCTTAAGTGCAAGACCCCTACTGATGCAGAACCCAGCGCCACCAGTAGCAAACCAGAAGGCTATTTTATGCTAAAATAAATATTTACACTTGTTAAAATGCTACTGAATCATGAAAGGTTGCTATTATTTTTAATAGCAGATGAAGGAACTTTCACCAACATTAGGTCATGTGAGCTTCAGAGAAGCTTTTTAAGTATTCATTTCCTTTTGGGAGACTTTTCAATTTCTGCGTAGTTTATAACTAGGAAGTTTCTCACATTCAACACTTAAAGATCTAATGACTCACATCGTTTTTTAAATTGCACCTAAAAGTCTCATTCAAATTTAAAATCAGTTTTATTACAATTGTAAACAGTCTTAAAATAACATGCAAGATAATGCTATTATGGGAGGTGGGGAGGATTTCAAAAACCCATATGTGAAAATGTAGTCTCAAATGGAAATATCATATATCTGTTATGCTGGTCATTTAGGTGTTACTTTAAAAGCTTACCCCTATATGATCTTTCTCTTCAATTTCCAGTGGGTGCCCCATGCTAGGCTTGCCAATATACCAATCATCTGTGTGGTTATAATTCTGCAACATTTCCAGCAACTTGGGAACATTAACATAAGTGTCATCATCAACGTGACAAAACCACCTAAGAGTCAACAAAAAAAACATTTTCAAAAATGATAATAATAAAATTAAAAACTAATTATGACTATTTAACAATCTAAACTCCTATCAATTTCATTTAAATTTACAATACAGGGAAGTTTTTTAATGAAACTGAAAATTTTGTGTTACTGGCAATTTTGTCAACAAAGAGATTAAAAAATTATTCATATTCCATCCATAACAGTACATTTATAGCAAATTTACTTTTTCAAATAATTTTTTAGAAAATGTCTTCTAAGGATAAAATGTTACAAAAACAATTTTCAATTAAAATATTTCTTTATCCATCTAATACACTTGGTGACCTAGTGTTACATAATTAAGAGGCTTGGGCCAACAGTAGGTGCTAAATACAGGTGAACAATTGAAACAATAATTGGCCTGGACAGATAATCACTTATTTATCACAAGTTGCAAAGAAAGTGTCACCAAAACGCAAATTTCATATTAATCTTTCAGCTGCCAAGTATAAATGACTTGGGATTTGTGTAATTAGATTTTACTTTAGCAGTACTTCAGAGTGGCTGTTAATCAATCACCAAATTTAATCAAGGTATGGGGCTAGTGTATTAATATCAAATGTGCATTTGAGTAAATTGTTAATTCATTTAATGGAGTTTATTAAAAGTCCTTCACCATATTCTGAAATATTCTTAATATACAAGTGACAGTAAACTCTGAAATACTTTATGTATACCTTATATATTTAATTTAAAGAAACTCATGATAAGGTGGATTCTAAACCTTGTTACTTCCAATGAAAGATTATACACTACATTTGATGCAGTTATCCAGTCTGAACTCAGGTAATAACATTGTGCAGAATGAGTGATGAAACAAAAGAGTCACTTGACTGCACTACCCCATGCAGTGACTATCTTGATAAAACCAATCTCAGCTCTTTACCCCAACCGAGAAAAAAAACAAGATAGCTGCCAGTGAAAATAATTGACACATAAAAATCTTCTAATTTTAGGATGGTAAAGACCTTTTTTACATCCTGTGTTATACTTGTCTGTATCAAAACACTTAAGACTGATTCTAACATGTNTGTGCAATAAATAACATATGTCAATTTGTCCATACAATAAATATTGCAATTATTGTGTGTGCTCACAAACAATAGTGAAAACACAACTATTTCTATGATAAGTTAAAATATTAAAATATATTAAATTTTCTTTTGCCTATTAGTGTGTACATTTTTAAAATTCCACTTATTATCTTTAATTTGGCTTACATATACCTTCAGTAAAAAACAAAAGCCATGTTAGATTGAGCCAAAGCATTCATCTGAATTGATCACATGCCAAGTTATATGAATGAGGATAGTACATGAGTATATGTCATTGTTACCTTGTTGGATCCTCTGTCTTGTCAAAACCTTTGACATTCACCACATTCATTCTGCTGCCATATGTGGAATAACTAAAGGTGACCTGTAATAAAAAACACATGCTTATATGATAAAATATAACCAAATTCTTCACAGGCTTGACATATATATTATAGTTCATATTGTGAAATCATGTTTGTGACTAAAATTGTAACAAAGGAAGAGTGCCCGGAAAGAAAATTACGACTTTTGAGAGAGCTATTAAGACATGATTCTATTTACTTTCTCTAGTTGTGGTTGATTTTTCATATATGATATATGATACATCAACAACATTTAATATACCTGAGGATGATATAATCTATATTTCATTAGAACAATGAGTTAATGACACATGCTTAAACAGAAATTTATTTATTTATTTATTTATCTACAATATTGTTACCTGGTTACGAAAATCCAGTGGGTTCAAAAGCTGTAGTCCTTCTAAATGGGAATGGAATGCCTGGATCACAGTCAGCTTGGTCTTTAAGATATGACCTATGAAGAAAATATCATTTGAAGATTGTTCAAACTGTGTAGAACATTTTCTGTAATGGCACTACCATTGTGTTAGAGGTGCAACTTTTCTACACCAGTTGGGAACGCAATTTCATTACCAAAAAGAAGTAGCTGAATTCATTCAAGTGCTACAATGTGCATTGGAAATGGTTTTCGCTCATAGATTAAGTAAGTTGCACTGCCATTGTGTTAGGTGTGAAACTTTTCTACACCAGTTGGGAACGCAATTTCATTAGCAAAGTGTACTTGCTCAATTCATACAAGCAATAGATAAAATGTGCATTGGAAATGGTTTCAGCTCAAAGATATACTGAACAGTTAACACCATTTAAGTTTTTGCTTGGGTTACAAAGATGAATTTTTAAAAGGAAGAAAAACTCTCACCTTTATAACTTACATACTGTGACAAATCTCTGACTAATCACCAAAGTTTGTGGGCTTAGGGATTTCAGGCCAACCATATTTAAATTTTCACACTTACCTATAATATACCCAACTGTGCAGTCATCAGGAAGACGGATCTTTTCACAAGCTCTGTTCAGTCTGCCACCACTAAAATTATGGAGAGCATACATGATATTTTCTAAAAAATGTTTTACATAAAAAGATAAAACTACAGACATTCACCTATAAAACTTCAGCATTTTTAGCAAGTCACCATCCACAATATATGTAAAATACCACCACAACTCCAGCAAGAAACATAGAAAATTAATTCTGGTGTAAAGTCAATCAATGATAACAAAGAGAAAGCTAATATCATCATCATCATTGCTCTTCGTCCCGCGTGGGACATAAGGCCACAGAAAGCTAATATAAAGTTTGAAAATTAATTTTGGAGTTATATCTAGTTAACATTTAGGTTATTCAGGATGAGTTAAGTTAGCCCAGGTAGGTCTACTTTATCTTACCCAGCATGTGGCAGCATCTTAAGTGCAAGACCCCTACTGATGCAGAACCCAGCGCCACCAGTGGCAAACCAGAAGGCTATTTTATGCTAAAATAAATATTTACACTTGTTAAAATTCTACTGAATCATGAAAGGTTGCTATTATTTTCAATAGCAGATGAAGGAACTTTCACCAACATTAGGTCATGTGAGCTTCAGAGAAGCTTTTTAAGTATTCATTTCCTTTTGGGAGACTTTTCAATTTCTGTGTAGTTTATAACTAGGAAGTTTCTCACATTCAACACTTAAAGATCTAATGACTCATATCGTTTTTTAAATTGCACCTTAAATTCACATTCAAATTTAAAATCAGTTTTATTACAATTGTAAACAGTCTTAAAATAACATGCAAGATAATGCTATTATGGGAGGTGAGGAGGATTTCAAAAACCCATATGTGAAAATGTAGTCTGATATGGAAATATCATGTATCTGTTATGCTGGTCATTTAGGTGTTACTTTAAAAGCTTACCCCTATATGATCTTTCTCTTCAATTTCCAGTGGGTGCCCCATGCTAGGCTTGCCAATATACCAATCATCTGTGTGGTTATAATTCTGCAACATTTCCAGCAACTTGGGAACATTAACATAAGTGTCATCATCAACGTGACAAAACCACCTAAAAGTCAACAAGAAAAACATTTTCAAAAATGATAATAATAAAATTAAAAACTAATTATGACTATTTAACAATCTAAACTCCTATCAATTTCATTAAATTTACAATACAGGGAAGTTTTTTAATGAAACTGAAAATTTTGTGTTACTGGCAATTTTGTCAACAAAATGATTAAAAAATTATTCATATTCCATCCTTAACAGTACATTTATAGCAAATTTTCTTTTTCAAATAATTTTTTAAAAATGTCTTCTAAGGATAAAATGTTACAAAACAATTTTCAATTAAAATATTTCTTTATCCATCTAATACACTTGGTGACCTTGTGTTACATAATTAAGAGGCTTGGGCCTACAGTAGGTGCTAAATACAGGTGAACAATTGAAACAATAATTGGCCTGGACAGATAATCACTTATTTATCACAAGTTGCAAAGAAAGTGTCACCAAAATGCAAATTTCATATTAATCTTTTCAGCTGCCAAGTATCTTAGATAAATGACTTGGGATTTGTGTAATTAGATTTTACTTTAGCAGTACTTCAGAGTGGCTGTTAATCAATCACCAAATTTAATAAAGGTATGGGGCTAGTGTATTAATATCAAATTTGCATTTGAGTAAATTGTTAATTCATTTAATGGAGTTTATTAAAAGTCCTTCACCATATTCTGAAATACTTTATATATACCTTACATATTTAATTTAAAGAAACTCATGATAAGGTGGATTCTAAACCATGTTACTTCCAATGAAAGATTATACACTACATTTGATGCAGTTACCCAGTCTGAACTCAGGTAATAAAATTGTGCAGAATGAGTGGTGAAACAAAAGAGCCACTTGACTGCACTACCCCATGCAGTGACTATCTTGATAAAACCAATCTCAGCTCTTTACCCCAACCGAGAAAAAACACAAGACTGCTGCCAGTGAAAATAATTGACACATAAAAATCTTCTAATTTTAGGATGGTAAAGACCTTTTTTACATCCTGTGTTATACTTGTCTGTATCAAAACACTTAAGACTGATTCTAACATGTAATTACACTGCATGGGTTTTTGCTCCCTTTCACAACTTCACATCCACGTTTGAACCAATATAAAATAACCAAGTTTAATGACTGTGTCCAGCATGAAGGGGGGGGGGGTCTCTTAGGCAATAGTCTTACATAATAGTCAGACAATTAAGTCTTAGTTGTTAATATTTCAAAGTGTTTCAATACAGGTAACATGTCAAAAGGGCTAAAGATGGAACACAAGTGAAACAATTATTCTGAAATTTACCTTTTTTGGGACTCCATAAAAACATCATACTCTACAGCCATTTTACAACAAAGGGCTGACCTGAAATGAGAGAAAACTTAATTCAAAATTTGCTTTTCTCTAAATGGTATATTGTAATACCCAGCAAAAATTAATACCTAGTGAACAAAACAGACATTTCTACAGCATGGATAAATGTTCTTGATCTTATGACATACTTAATTAAGAAAGGGTGGTAGTTTTGACTTTTGTATTACAGATTAATTGCAAGAGGAACACTTAAACTGTTCAAAAAACCAGATTTTAATTCTTTTCATTTTTTATGAAGGCCAATAACAACATAAGAAATCTATCTATCACATCACCAGTGTTTTGGTGCTTATATGAACATCATTTTCAATTATCCCAATGTTTCCCTTCATGTGTTTTATTGTATTTCATCAGATCAACTTAATGCAGATCTGCAAACAGATGTTTTTTATTCACTTCAAGCCATCATACATGATACATGAGGGGTCGAAGTTCTGATTCTGCTGCAAGGGGAAGTTCCATAACAAAAGACATTTTTTCTGGTGACTGGCACACCTGACTGCACTTTAGCTGCCAAGGAAGCCACTAAAAGCTGCAGGTATTTTATCCTTATTCCTCCTTTTTCAAAAGCCAATATAAATCACTTCCAAAATGTACCTTTTTGAATTACAAAGTTAATATTTTATACGATGGCTACATAAGAATGCATTCATCAGACAGAAGAATATCTTAAAGATGCATGTATTAACTCAATATAAAAAAAAAGAATTTAAGGCAACTGGAATTATCTGATTAAGATAACTACAAATGCAAGTTAGATTTTGTGGGATATAGGAAAGATGGGCCAAAAATAATAGCAGACTAGCGAGTGCAGCAACAAAAAAAAACTTGGCAGAATTTATCCACAAGAATTTTTTTGATTTTTTTCTCTAAAGTCTTTTGAATTACAATCTTCTGCACAACAAATATTTTGTGTTCACTTTGGTATTGCTTTCCAAGAAGACATTCCTGGTGCATAGAGTTTCATCCATGTTGCTAAAAGTTATCCCGCCGCGTAATTACTGGCAGCGCGAGCCAGTTACTATAAGTTACTATAAGTAACTGGCTCGCGCTGCCAGTAATTACGCGGCGGGATATTCAGGGCACAGACCGTGATCATAAGATAGCGCGAATAGAAAATAGATTTTTAGAAAATAGACATTCCATGTGAACGAAGCCATACTCTTGCATGTTTTCTAGTCCCATATAACCTTATGCTATGCTGAAGGCCTCGTTTTAAACTACGTGGGATGATTCCCATTCATTTCATTTGGAGTACCATCCAGTAAATGTCATGTCCACATAACAATCAAAATGAAAATGTCATACAAGTGTACAATACATGGGCATACTGGTAATTCAAAATCACAACACAACAGAAAGAAGAAGCCACATCTTTGTTACTATAGCATACATTTTGTTGTAGCTACTGTAGGCAGTGGTAACACCTGAATATTTGTTCTGTGACATCCGTCAGGTTTTAGGAATCAGTTATGGCTGCTGAGTTAGCAAAAGCTAGCTTTGACATAGATCTGTTTTGAAGATATGAAATGATTCTCTTGCAGGAAACTTGTATACAACATCATAATGGAAATGAACCAATTGCCTGCATATTTTAATGTGCATGACATGTCCATGCTGGTGTTTGAATAGAAAACATTTTAATTATCAATTTATATGCTGGTATGGTTGCTCATCAAACATTCCACTTCATTTACAATACACTCAGTTTGAATTTAAGAGCAGAAGTTGTTTTACCCCACTTGTACCATGCTCAAATGAAGACAGTTTTATGACAAAATCGAGGGGTTATGTTCCCACCTCAAGCAATAATTAGTTTTCCATAATAACATCTAGTAAAAGTCAAGACGTAATTGCAGATAGCTTAAAGGGGATGCAGCAATTATAACAAAATAAAATACTGCTTCATCTGATGCATACATGCAAACCAAACACTTTCATCATGGCTATAGAAAAAGCACTGATTTTTATTTCTGGACATATAAACTTGTGATTTTCTTTTTCATAGACCAATACAAGTTTAAATTACAAAGCATCCATTATCATAGTATTATAGTATTGATAATGCATTCTAGATAGCATCCAAAAATGAATTTATATAAGCAGCCATACCACCTTATTTTTAAAGCAGGCACTATCATTTAAAAATCTCTCATTTTTCCAATTGCAATAAAGCCTGACAAAAAAAGTTAATGAAATACATTAAAAGTACCTGGTATGACCGGACTGACATTGTGTATTGATGAGATGGCCATCTGAAAAATATAAAAACACATATAAATGTTAATGCAATAGAAAACCATATTCATAGGACATAGATGAGTCATAGACTAAAACAAGTACTTCTACTTGTCATTGCCAACTATCAAATGGACTTTAAAATGTATGCTTCAAAACACGGGCTATGACATACTGACATGCACATTTGGTAGGTGGAGCTGAAAAAGGGTGCAGCCAGAAGACCTTGAAGGACAGGCAAGCTTATACAACCCATATAAAAAAGTGGGGAAGATGCTGAAGGGCCAAATATAAAAACTTAACTTACTAACCATGACTTAATCTATCCCACCTTAAATTATTATACAACAAAGTAGGTAATTACAATATTCTCTGAAGCTTCATGATCGAGTGCCCCTAGACAGAAGTGACTACCAGTTCCTGTGCTGTTAGCAATAAACGAGCAAAGAATTAATTGCAGTAGCAACAACTTGGTTATGAATAAGTTTGCAGTGAGCTCAAGGTATACAATTTAATTTGAAACTTGAAAATTGTAAACAGACTGCCCTCCTTTTTAAAGATATACAGCAAAATGTAAATAATCATAGTGGCTTTTTAAAGTACCCGTTTACATGGTGGTTAAAATATCAACATGACCCATGAACCAGATAACACTCATGGTTGATGATCCCTGAAAAAATATCTGGCACTGAAACTAACCACAACTACCCATTTTCACAGCTTATGCAGCACACAAGGATGTCATTAAAACATTATCATTTTCTTGATCTTCCCTAGCTGGCAGGCGCAACAAAATATTATCATTCTCTCAAATCTTCCTAGACACCAGTCACAGCGATGCTTACAGGGAGTCAGTTACCATGTACACTGGCTCACTGTTGTTAACTTGATTAATTACCATAGTTTTTTTCTCTTTTAAAACCAAAACTTTGTAACTATTTGCTAGAAAGGCAAATTCAGCAGAAAATGTTGGTGTACAGAAGCATAAGCTAATTAAATAATGTTGGTGAAGGAAGTTCTTCTGTTTTTAGTCTGTACAAGAGACCAGGACCCAGCAGTATGGGGCGTCAAACCAAGCTAATCTCTTGTGTTTGAGGCGCTGCACCTGGATATCCCCACTGTGCATCCAAACACTGTGGAATTCTACCACATGTTTTGGAAAAATATGATAGATAAACATGTGGAAAAATGTTGATTCATGTCCCAGTCTTCCAAAATATTCTGTTCTTATTTAAGTGAAAATGTTCTCCTTACATGTTTTGAAGACTAATTTAAAGAAACATATGTGATATCCTGTCCAAGCCTGTTCAATTTTATTACCAAAATTTATGCAAAAGACTGTTCATCATATGAATTTTATCTCAGAGGCTTCTGTGTTATTTCATACATTGCTTCAGAGTTTCATTTATTCTTTTTGTGTCAAACACCCTTACATATTTCCTGAGCAAATGGTTATAGAAAATCAATGTAAAATATACAAAGTGAGTGTTTTGGGATTAGACATCTGTTAGTTAAAATAGGGCGTCATAAAGCACTTCCAAACATACAAATGTTATTGAAACTTTTCTCCTTCAACTGTTTTGAGAGACTTAATCAATGGCCAAAAAGGCTTATTCTTTCCCATGCCAATGTGCCCTTTGGACTGCTAGTTGTAGAAATTTTTAGTTATATTTTACAAAATAGTACTGATTATCAATGCTTCCTAATCCTGTATGTTTAACATGCAATGACAAACTATAAAAACTCAATGTAATGTACTGAATTTAAACTCCTCCCTTTGAAATTAATACAATGTAGAACAATGTATTTTGCTTGAATCTTAGAGCAAAAATTTGACCCAAATAACATGAATGCATATATGAATACTGCTCTTGGCAATAAAAAAATAATAAGCTGAACAGTAATGCATACCACCCTGAGATGGAAATCTTGATTTCAACGACACAAAAAAAGTCTTCACTAAACATTTAGCATTCTAATCAGAAAATACTAGTTTCTGCAATATGATTATAATAGGTGGGTGATGGATAATCTACATCAAAATTTCCCAAGACCTTTCAAATTGTACCTGCAATGAAATTAATATTTCAGTGTATTCTAGACACTGTTATTGATAACAACTAACAGGTATTCATATGTCTAATAAATGTAGAATTTTCATAGCGTTTGGGTTTAAAACCCCCAAGATTTAAAGCAGGATACACACTGAAAGTCAATAATAAAAAAATTCTTAATTAAAAGAACTGAATTTCTTTTTTAATATTGTCAATCTCTACTTTTCAATTCTTGCATACCATAGCTATTGTTAAGATCAGAGAAACTTTAACAATCATCCAAAATTCCTCCCTTTGTCATGAGCTACAGGGAGATAAAATTACAATCTTTTCATTTTACAAAATGGGGGTCTCAGTGTTCAAAACCCAAACTACCCTATTAACTCAAATCGCTTTGTTTGGAACTAAGGGTTTTCAACCCATTCCCACTCAACTTCGGTATTTCCCATAGAAAAAACAGAATCTCCCATGAGTACTTCATGAGAAAGTTCCTCATCGGATGAGAAACAAACTACATGAGCTATCGAAAGCATCAATGTAATTCAGGTTGATGTAGATAATTAACAGTGACACACTTCCATTCTATTTTTTTTTCTTGTGGTGTAGGCCAAGAATAAAAGCTGTCACTGCTAATAACAAGGGCATAATATGTGGGAGATAATCTCCATAACAGTAACCTATAGCATCTGATTGCTTGGGGGTTGAAAAGACCATCATAAGCAATTACCTAGTCCATAATGACACAAAAACCTCAGGGCTGAGCATGTGTATGGCAAGACAAAACAAATAGGGCCCGAGCCTTCATTTTCTTGCCCATGTCTGTGACAATAATTTCCAGTTGAAAATCGTGGGAAAAGCGTGCCCTTGCCATCCACTTAAACGTGCTCATTATATTGCTATTCACGCTGGGACATGAACTAAGAGGAATGGTCACTGCAACTGAGTACCACATTAATTAAGTTCTAATATATAAAGAAGGCCTTTCTTAGCAATGGGAAAATGGATAAATTGTGAGTGAACTGGCATTCCAACTGTCTCATTTAAGAAGGGCAATTTGAGGGGATTAATATGATTGGATTTCTTGTAATAAAGATAGCAAATTTCTACATTCTTTTCACTAGACCTCTGTAGGCTAACTGGGAAGAGTCAATAACATTCTTTCTTGATTACAAAACAGCACATGAAATAATAAAGAAAAAAATAACCTAGAAAAAGTCAATGAAAATACTTTATATTTACAAAAGCAGCACTCTAATTCCAATGAAATGATCAGAAAAGAGCCCATAATTGTTGAAGAGACAGTGCCCTAAATTACAGTGAACTAACCAGGAAAAGTCAATAACATCAATCTATTTTCCTCCAATTATCAGGTCAAAATAACAGACAGACCATCTGAATAATTGAATTCTACTTCATTTTCAAGCCAGACTGGAAATTGATGATATTGCTAAATGAATCCCCCCAGAGGACTTTTGTTTAACATTTCCAATAACCAAGGGTAATTCAAATCCACGGCTGATTAAATTAAACTGAGGTTGACCTCAGTAAAATCTTAGAGCCCCAGACATGCAAATGAGAGCAGTATTGTCTTAATGTCAAATGGAGGGCAGGAGGGAGATGTCGCATACAACTGTTTGCACCCTTATCAAGCATGCCAACTGCTCCTAATTTCATGGAATTACACTGTACCAGGTTCAGTTCAAATATGATGTGACTAGACCAATCTGTAGGCAAAAAGCCATTCTAATAAGTTATTTAAATAGGGCCATCATGCGATGGAGGCCTGCACAGGCATGTCTTTGTATTGTTAGTGGGTCTGTTCCAGCCATTGTTGTCCCAATATGTTGTTACTATGGCTAGGCTACACTTATCAGGGAATAAGGGATTGCAGCATAAATCACAGACCAAATTTCATTAAAACCAAAAGTTAATTTAAAACATTAAAAAAATTAAGACATAAGGTGTTATTTTACTAGATCTTAGGTGAAGTAGTGATCTAATTTAGCCAATGAATTTGCTCAGGCTTTATAAATAACAGCCATAAGTTAGCAAAATATCCCCACAGCTTATTGCAATGCGTCTCATGTAGCTCCAAGTATATTTATGTTTTTCCAAGCACCCCTAAGTGTTGTATGGCTGTGGTATGCCAAGCCTCCCTATGTTGACTAAAATACAAATACTTCCCATAAAGAGCAATAAAAGCCACAAAAAAGGCAGTGGATTACTCACTTAATTTCCGGTTCAGGTCAGGATCTTCTTTATCTGTGAAAAAGTAGGTCTGTAAAATAAATAATAGCATATTTTTATCAAAAAATGTACCCTAAGTGGTTTTTATTTACTTTTCTCTATTGTGTACCCTGCAAGTTGGGTGCATAAAACCAACAGAAGCAAATGAAAAGCTTTTGTGCTGGACAGTTAGACAGCTGCTCACTTGCATACTATGGATATAGCACTGTGTTATTCTTATTTCTGTCGCATTTGGTCTATGATCCCTTTTCAACATTAACAACTACTGGTGAAGCAATATAAACCAATCTCAGTCAGGCCAATCATTGTATGTTACCTGACCAAGCAATTAATCAGGGATTTAAGGTAGCATACAGTATATTTCTCTGACAGGTGAACTCACAAAAGTCACCCTGCAAAGTATCAGCACAATTATTGGAAAGTTTATTTGGTGACAGGTTTCCCATAATTTTGAAGAAAATATCTGTACAAGCTGTCCAAATAACATACAACTGGTTCAAACAAGCTGCAGCAAATACCTGCAAACTTCTCAATATGCTGCACATAGTTTTCTCATATAACACTGATCAACTGTACAAACAAGTTGAGGTATTTGCACCCAAATATTTCTCAGTGAAACTTTGATACCAGCTATTTATCTTGTCGCTGTTTGTTTTAAGATAAAACTAAAACTGGATCATTTTCTCAAAATCACTTCTCATTTAAAGTGGGGAAAGGGGGAAGAAGTCTTTACAGGAGGGTCTGAACTTCTGTCTGTAAAAACATCTTTGTACCAGCTACAGTTTTACTTCTCAGGCATTACTGAAAAAAAAATTAAAACAGATGTGTAAACCAACTCTTGCACCAAAACCTGAAGCTCATACTGCCTGATATTTCTGATTATCCAGCTGGAACTGGTTAAGATTTTTTCTTTAGATAAGTTTATCAACAGTACTCCCTCATATCAAATAGAGGCTGTGGATTTATTAGACATGAATCAGATTGTTGATCTGGAAGTTGCAAAGGTTGCACTTCATGTAAAAAACTTTAAAATCCTACTTTAACATCAAAAGTATCATACAAAATGCCTGATGATTACAGTTTGAGTCAAAACTAGTCTTTCATTCCCCTTTGCCAACATCTAAGAGCTAAAACTGTTATATTTAAACAAGCATGAAGCTACAAGCCTCTCTTCCTTTCAAGAGGGGACTTGAGAAATGTTTTTGATGCTTTTGATCAGTCCAATGTGGATAAATGGTCACACTTGTACCATCCAAAGTGTTTTCTCTTATCAGATTAGTCATAATTCCGGCGGGTCATATTTTTCAAAACGTTTTCAGATTTTTCAGTATTGGGTACTTCCTTAAATCTTTCTTCACCATAAACTACTCAACAGGAGCATATTCGTGTGAAATCCATACATGCCAAAGTTATGCCATCTTAAATCGCCTTTCAGTTACACATCAGTTGTGTAACAAAGACAGGTGCAGCTTGGCTCTTTAAGTACTTATCAGCCACAGTTTTCCTCACTTCATCTTAAGATCATTTCAAGGTGGGTGTTTCCCAAGAAACTACATATTGTAGCATGCCCACTCTAACTATACCTGATGCCAATACTTTTTTCCCTTAGTAGCACTGTTGGTGACTTAGCTTGATGAGCCAATGAAAACAAAATGTAACTATTTCAGTGGTTGTTTGGAAAGGAATACCATGTTTTTAAACCTATTTTCTTATCTTTTTTTTTTTTTTTTGTGGTTATGTAGAAAACCAAAAATTAGATACTGCTGCTCTTAACTAGCTTTCAAGCCAAATAGAAAGGCTTACCCACAAATATAACTATATCTAATTATTAGCTATATCTCAACCCACTACATCTATATATCCTTATGATTTTTTTCAAGTGTGAAAGTGTGTCCATTTTGTTTTTATTCATGCTGGTCATAACTTAGGGCACTTGCACAAACGTATTTCTTCAATAACATTGATTACACATAACTTAAAACATAGTATTATGCATAAGGAAAGTTACACATTAATTATTTATAAAGGAGCATGACACATCCATGAAATTGTTTACATTATAGCATCTAGTGTTGTAAATCTTGACAGAATCTGATATTTGCAAAGCTCAGATTCCTCTAAATACAAACAGAAATCAATTTTAATAGCAACTGCAAAACAAACAAAGATATCAAATAACAAAAGATTAGATCTATAAAGCAAGTTACTGATATTAATTAACACCCGTTACAGTCAGGTAATGAGAATGAAACAAAAAATTTACTTACTTGATCCTTAACAAACATAACCCAAGTGTTGAGCAAAAGAGACAATCTACTGGAATGAAATGCTCCAGTCGTTTTAACACTGAAGAAAACATCAGTCAAATCAGTTTTTCTAAATACAGAATTCATGCTGAGTGTCGTTGCTCTCGACTTATAAACTCTTTTGGAGAACTTCGACAAATTGGTTTTTCTGTGATGCGTTTCTTCTTGAAGTTGCGGGCTGCGGTTATCGACAGGAATGTATTGTAAGTTTTTCCTGTGTGGTAGTGCGATTTTTTCAACTTCACGTTTCACCCTTAAATCGTTAACTCTTTGATCAATATCTGATGTTCTGACCGTCTTAGGAGACTGCACTGGCTCCTGTCGAAAGTTGGCCAACTTTTTGTCGCCATGTTGTTCCCCTAAACTTTGGGGCTTGTACTTTTCTTCTAAAAAAGCATCATTTCTCCAATAAATAAGATGCAGAGAAAAAACAACTAATGTCAGCATGGCCAGCTGAGCCGACCGTTTCAAACTACACCTCATGATGGAAATCCAGCTTCTTTTTCCCACGCATTTGAGCGAGCTTCTCCACAGACCCGCATTCTCTGCCCGCAACAACCTGTAGTAAGTTGCACGCTTGTGTTGGATTACACTGGGAAACTAGGTCGGAGGGCAAAGGTAAGAGGTCATGCAGTAAGTCACGTGTTTCACTGTTACAACCCGCCGCAGTGTGCTCATCATTCCAGCTGCGAGCTTTGATGACACTCGTGTAATTTTTTTAAACCCTAAACCCAGGGGATGGAAGGATCAATGTTTCTTAAATCTTAATTTTTAATGTAAATTAAATGGACTGTTCAAATTTCTTTTTATATAATTATCGCCCTCGCCCACTCGAGTTTTACGCGTCGTGAAATAATGAAATAAATAGACTCAAGTCTATTTGTTCGAGTAAATTTAACGTAACGCCTTCGCATATATGATGTGGTTTTTAGAGTACTGTATCTAGATGGACTGGGAAAAGTATTTTACTTATAATAAAAATATACTTATCGCTATGAAAGAGCAAAAAATTTGTGGACGAAGGCAAGTACACAAATTGTGTGAAGACAAACTGAGGTCTTAAAACTGAAGCAAAATAACTGAAAATAAATTATAAACAAAATGAAGTTGGTAAATCTTTTTCATTTAAATTTATTTTCAAACCATTATGAACTGACAAGTAATTACCTCCTTTGATAAAACAGAAATACATGAGCAAATGTATTAAAACATTTTACTGCACAGCAAAAAGCATTCTCGTGCAGTAATGTCTGACTTAACAGTTCAAACTCCTTAATTTTCAATTTTAATAGGTAATATTATATACGTATATAATATGTAACCCATGCAGTAACAAATGACAGGCTGGAAAGATAATATATAATATCTAGATTTTTTTTTTTTTTGAGATTTCATGAAAATTTTACTTCAATGCCTGCCAGATTTAATATTGTAATTTCTTTCACACTTACTCCACAGTTTCAAACAACATACATGTAATATCTACATAACAATCATAGTAGACAATAGTAGATGATTATGTTAACAAAATGGACTTATTCTTTCAGGAAACCCTGTCAGGATCAAGGTATTCATATCACAAGAGCACAATATGTTTAATATTTATTAATAAGAATGAACTTTAATCTGTGTATCCTTTTTATTTTCATGTAATAGTCTTCATTTTTTTTCTTTTTAAGTTACAGTCTTCATAAGCTGTTGGCGTCTGTACTCCCATATCAGCAATGCCCCACTGACATGGACATTGAGACTTCTGATAACTCCCTGCTGTGGAATCTCCACACATACATCTAACATCTGTATGAGATCTACTGGAATGCCTCTTCTTTCATTGCTGTAATTAATAAATAGATATGTCTAAAATTTTAATCATTTAAATAAATTAATGTGCCAATCATCCAGTTTTACGTACATTACACACAAGTGTTTCCTTTGCCTTTTTCTCAATGTTAAATGCATTCATCAGCAAACTAATTTATTTGTAACTCTCAAGTTATTTTTTCAACTGTCTGTCTGTTTTATTTAAATCAAGAGGAAAGTTAATGTAGGCATCGACAAAGACAAGTGGCATAAAACAACCTATATACATTTCAATAGTATTATTGTCCTTTTTAAGTTAGTAAAAAAAGAATTATTTTTTGTTGACAAAACTGGGTTTCACTAAGGATGAGTCAAAATGACCAGCTCAAACACATAATTACTTTGGATAAGAGTTACAATACAACCATCAAAATACACCACTTACCCAAGGAGTAGGAGTGTTTTTGTAGGAAATTCATATTCTGTCAGACTGACACTGTTTGCCGTTTGCTCAACACCAACCAATGTGTATCCCTCACTCTGCATCTCCATCAAGTATGTTTGTAATTTATGAGGTGGAACCTGGAGTAAAAGACATTGAGATACGATGTCTAGAATTTTTTTAAAATAACAAAAAGTAGAGAAAAAGACATCAGTAAAGAAAGAATTTGAAATACAACTTTTAGACAATAAAATTTTAAATAAGAAAGTACTTGTAAAATTTTTTAAATTTTTGCAAAAGTTTTCATCTGTAAATCTTTGCTGCAATTGCACAAAATACCAATGCAAATGAGTGTAATTTATACCTCTTTTATAGGTATCCATTTCTCAGCAGAGACACACAAACTCTGGAAATTTTTGTCTTCGACATACTTAATGTTACCAATAACATATTCAGACACCCTGAAAATTTCACTAGTTCTGCATAAACCTGAAAACAGACAAAACCAAAAAATTAAAACCTCTTTTACAATTTATGTAAAATACACATTTTTTGCCTTAAACTATGCTAATAATGCTTACCATAAAATATGAAATACAATGAATTACAAATCATCAAGTGTAAACTGCAAGTGCATTCACTATTTATTTTTCAGGGCTGTAAAATGTCATCGCAAAACAGAATTTTACACAGTTTTGCAGATCAATTTTACTGATGATAATGTACAAACACTTAAGGCATTGTAAAGTGAATTTATCACATTCTGCAAAAATATGCAAACTGATACTTTCACAGATAAGTGACCATGCAATGTCCGGACATACCTCCTAGATTGGGTGGCCTGTCTATGAGTGAGGTGACCAAGATAAGCTGTCCAGGGCTGTGCAGTGTCCTCCCTATATCTTCCTCCATCTCCTCACTGGGTAACATTTCCTTCCATGGAATCACTTTCTTTTGTACATCCCCTTCACTGATCTCCTCGGATTCTTCTCCCTCTGGAATTAATTAAGCCAAATACTGAATGTTAAATTATAATTATTTTAATAGTGTCTAGGAATACACTTTACCATTGTTAACAGTTCCAGCTGTCTCCTCGCTAGTCACTCAGCACTTAGGGGTTGAGTCAGGGTTAATGTATCTTGACTTGCAGTGAAAGATATTATTTGTATGCTAACTTTCCATGCCTCATACGACAGCTGGGCTGTATCCTCCCCTGGGAGGTGAGAATATCCACAGCCAGTCTAAATCAGGGCTAAGGAATATGTCAGGCATATTATCATCTATTGTAAACCACAGTGAGATAGTGAAGTATATAAGAACCTGACTTAACTCTTTTTTTTTACTTTAAATGTTTACTGTTTATACTTCATGAAAACATATTTAGCTTTGCCATGTCAATTTTTTTCATGAAAAGTAAAATAAGCAAAGCACTGTTTATCTTTTTTTAATGTCCAACCCACAATGGTCATCTCTTTATATTGCTGCCCAGTAAACAATGAAGTGTCTGCTAAAGTATTTGTAGAACAGATAAATTATCCCCCTTTGCAATTGTAATAAAAATATCAAATGATTTACCTCTTCTTTTAATTCTCCACGTGCCTGGTTGACAGTTTTTCAAGTCACCTCGCAAGTTATGTACAGGAAGGACACCTTCCCCAACCCAACTCAAACTTTTGTTTAAGAAATCCTTGGGCAATATCCATTCTTCTGCTATGATACCACTTAACATTGGTATAGTGTGGTAGATTGTCTGCAACAAACACATAATCACCAAGAGAATATGTTATTTACACCTAGGAATGGTAAAACTGGTTATACAGACGTCTGTTATAATAACAAGACCTCACAGTTATTCGAACACATTTTCATAACATATTGGAAAGTGAACACAATCATGGCATGATAAATTTAAAAAAATTAATGCAGAAAAAAATCAATTTTATAAAGAAAGGGGTTTTGTGCCTATCTAACTGATAAATTAAAACAAAATGCATAAAAGAGGGATTATCTGAAAGTTTTATAGCATTCATACATTCAAACATGTAGCAAGGCAATCACAAAGCTACATACACATGCATTTTTGCACAAACCTCCAAACTGTAGTCCTGTATAGGATGAAACTTGTGAAGAAACCAAAAATCTTCCAGCAGTTTGTGTGTATTTTTACTTGCTCCACTGCAATGAAAATAACCCAATCCATATAAAATACTGTAGGCAAATGAGGCATATTATAAACACAAGACAAAGTTTTCTTAAAAAATCCTAAATAAGGGACTGAGCTTCCATTTTTGTATAACCAAATGACAATTTCAAATACAATATTTATCCTTAAGCTCTCTACATTGATTTATTAACAAAAAATTACCTGCTTTTCAAGCTAAACTCCACACATTTCTCCAGCCATGAGTATTTTTCAAGCATTTCAACAAATTGCTGTTCCTTACAGGTTCTCCATGTCTTGTTGACTGCTGCATGAGCATGGATACGGATATTGAAGTGGTGAGCCATGCACCACGGAACAAAGTTAGGGATAGCTTCAGCAAAATATGCCACCTAAAAAGTATCAGTTCTGTTTCTCACTTTTCCCCAGCAATATAAGAATACATAACTACAAGTAGCATCCACAAAAATAACATGTAGGAAAACAGTACATTTTGAATTTTAAAGAACATGGTCCTATTGAAATGAGTGTGTTGTAATTTCAATGTANTCAATCATCCAGTTTTACGTACATTACACACAAGTGTTTCCTTTGCCTTTTTCTCAATGTTAAATGCATTCATCAGCAAACTAATTTATTTGTAACTCTCAAGTTATTTTTTCAACTGTCTGTCTGTTTTATTTAAATCAAGAGAAAAGTTAATGCAGGCATCGACAAAGACAAGTGGCATAAAACAACCTATATACATTTCAATAGTATTCTTGTCCTTTTTAAGTGAATAAAAAGGAATGATTTTTTGTTGACAGAACTGGGTTTCACTAAGGACGAGTCAAAATGACCAGCTCAAAAAATTATTACTTTGGATAAGAGTTACAAAACAATCATCAAAATACACCACTAACCCAAGGAGTAGGAGTGTTTTTGTAGGAAATTCATATTCTGTCAGACTGACACTGTTTGCCGTTTGCTCAACACCAACCAATGTGTATCCCTCACTCTGCATCTCCGTCAAGTATGTTTGTAATTTATGAGGTGGAACCTGGAGTAAAAGACATCGAGATATGATGTCTAGAATTTTGTTTAAGATGAAACAGAAATAGTGAGATAAAGGCATCAGTAAAGAAAGAATTTGAAATGCAACTTTTAGGCAATAAGATTGTAAGTACTTGTAAAATTTTGTTAATTTTTGCAGAAGTTGAAATATTAACATATTTTCATCTGCAAAGGTTTGCTTCAATTGCAATTGCACAAAATATCAGTGGAAATAAGTATAATTTATACCTCTTTTATAGGTATCCATTTCTCAGCAGAGACACACAAACTCTGGAAATTTTTGTCTTCGACATACTTGATGTTACCAATAACATATTCAGACACTCTGAAAATTTCACTAGTTCTGCATAAACCTGAAAACAAACAAAACCAGAAATTAAAACCTCTTTTACAATTTATACCAAATACACATTTTTTGCCTTAAATTATGCTAATAATGCTTACCATAAAATATAAAATACAATGAATTACAAATCATCAAGTATAAACCGCAAGTGCATTCAATATTTATATTTCAGGGCTGAAAAATGTCATCACAAAACACAGAATTTTACACAGTTTTGCAGATCAAATTTACTGATGATAACACACATACACTTAAGGAATAGTTAAGTGAATTTATTTATCACATTCTGCAAAATGGTGCAAACTGATACTTTCACAGATAAGTGACCATGCATTGTCCAGACATACCTCCTAGATTGGGTGGCCTGTCTATGAGTGAGGTGACCAAGATAAGCTGTCCAGGGCTGTGCAGTGTCCTCCCTATATCTTCCTCCATCTCCTCACTGGGTAACATTTCCTTCCATGGAATCACTTTCTTTTGTACATCCCCTTCACTGATCTCCTCAGATTCTTCTCCTTCTGAAATTAAATGAAGCCGGATACTGATTGTTAAATTATAATTTCATTAATAGTGTCTAGGAATACACTTTTCCATCACAAACAGTTCCTGCTGTCTCCTTGCTTGTCACTCAGCACTTAAGGGTTGAATCAGGGTTATAGTATCTGGACTAGCAGTAAAGATATTTTAATGCTAGTTCTCATGCCTCATACAACAGCTGGGCTGTTTCCTCCCCCGGGAGGTGAGACTGTTTACAGCCAGTCCAAATCAGGGACTAAGAAATGCTGGTATGTCAGGCATACTGTCATCTGTTGTAAATTGCAATGAGATAGTGAAGTATATAAGAACCTGACTTTACTCTTTTTTATATTTTTAATGTTTTCTGTTTATACTTACAAAAACATATTTAGCTTTGCCACATCAATTTTTTTCATAAAAAGTAAAAAAATCGATGCGCTGTTTATCATTTTTGAATGTCAAACCCACAATGACTATCTTTTAAATTGCCGCCCAGTAAACAATGAAGTGTCTGCTTAAGTATTTGTAAAACAGATAAATTTTCCCCCTTTGCAATGGTAATAAAAACATCAAATGATTTACCTCTTCTTTTAATTCTCCACGTGCCTGGTTGACAGTTTTTCAAGTCACCTCGCAAGTTATGTACTGGTAGGACACCTTCCCCAACCCAACTCAAACTTTTGTTTAAGAAATCCTTGGGCAATATCCATTCTTCTGCTATGATGCCACTTAACATTGGTATAGTGTGGTAGATTGTCTGTAACAAACACATAATCACCATGAGAATATGTTATTTACACCTAGAAATGGTAAAACTGGTTATACAGACATGTCTGTTATAATAACAAGACTTCACAGTTATTCGAACACATTTTCATAACATATTGGAAAGTGAACACAAACATGGCATGATAAATTTAAAAAAATTAATACAGAAAAAAATCAATTTTATAAAGAAAGGGGTTTTGTGCCTATCTAACTGATAAATTAAAACAAAATGCATAAAAGAGGGATTATCTGAAAGTTTTATAGCATTCATACATTCAAACATGTAGCAGGGCAATCACAAAGCTACATACACATGCATTTTTGCACAAACCTCCAAACTGTAGTCCTGTATAGGATGAAACTTGTGAAGAAACCAAAAATCTTCCAGCAGTTTGTGTGTATTTTTACTTGCTCCACTGCAATGAAAATAACCCAATCCATATAAAATACTGTAGGCAAATGAGGCATATTATAAACACAAGTCAAACTTTACTTAAAAAATCCTTAATAAGGGACTGAGAGCTTCCATTTTTGTATAACCAAATGGCAATTTCAAATACAATATTTATCCTTAAGCTCTCTACATTGATTTATTAACGAAAAATTACCTGCTTTTCAAGCTAAACTCCACACATTTCTCCAGCCATGAGTATTTTTCAAGCATTTCAACAAATTGCTGTTCCTTACAGGTTCTCCATGTCTTGTTGACTGCTGCATGAGCATGGATACGGATATTGAAGTGGTGAGCCATGCACCACGGAACAAAGTTAGGGATAGCTTCAGCAAAATATGCCACCTAAAAAGTATCAGTTCTGTTTCTCACTTTTCCCCAGCAATATAAGAATACATAACTACAAGTAACATCCACAAAAATAACATGTAGGAAAACAGTACATTTTGAATTTTAAAGAACATGGTCCTATTGGAATGAGTGTGTTGTAATTTCAATACACCAATGTAAAACAAAAAGAGAATAATCAAATATTACAAGTTGAAAAAATATTATCTTTACTAGAGACAACTCCATTCATACCTGCTGATCCTGTGGCAAGATAAACCCAAGATGGGCAAGAACACTAATCAAGGAGCAAACAATGGCGGGTCTTTTCTCAGTTGCCTGAAACAAATCAGATGATAACAGAGTAATTTAAGTGCATAAGACTTGCAGAAATCAAAAACACAGATAGTATATATGTTGTTGACTGCTGCAAGAACGTGTATCCTGATGATTGGGTGTTGAGTCATACACCAAGGAAGAAAAGATGGACTTACTAAAAATATAATAATAAACCATATTTCAAAATATAAACTCACCTTGCTAAGTTGCTTCCAAAGTCCCTGCCTCAGATGCGGGAATCTAAATGACAGTTTGATAATCATCCACTCTGTCAGATATCTCACTGACGGCTGGGTCTCTGATCCCAGGCATTCAGTTGATAGTGTCTGGAACGTGTCAGTAGCTTCTTCCTAAAAATAGGAAAAATTATTTTATGATTTCATCCTTCTGAACAACTCTCACAAGGGTAAAACATAAGTATAGAACCACAAGGATTTTGCTTTACACTGAAAATATTTGAAATGTAATTTATGCAATGTTATAAAATTATGTCAACAAAATCCTACATGAAAAAAATAATAAATTATGGATTATTCTGTGTGTACCCTCAGAAATGAATCATGTGATATTTTTCTGAAATAACCATCTTGGTCTATTCATTACCCTGTTCAGCATTGGTTCAAGCACTAACAATGCCCCCATAAGTCTATAGCGCTCTCGATGTTGTAAAGAGTTGGGGAAACTTCTTTTGGCTTCAATTTTTACAAGTTCCATATGCTTTTCCTGTAAAGCCTGGATGAAGGCAACACTAAACTGGTGATGGTCTGGATTAGCTGGATCCAAGTGGCTCAGCAGGTTTATTATGTGGACCCGCACCATGTTATCTTCCTTACAACTCCTTCATGAAACAATATCATAGAAATTTGCATAAACTAGCTCTTATTTTAAGATCCTACCACACAGAACAAATATGACCGAAATGGCAAAAACAAACAATATAATAAATAAAAAAAAGTTTTGACAGACGTTTATTTCAAATAAATGTTAAAACTATTCCAAATTCACTGATATATGAACTAATTTTCCCTTTTATCAAATAAAACCAAATTTCCCACCTATCAATAAGTTGATTTACTGCAACTTCTTCTCCAAGAGATTCCACATAGGAGCAAATGTCACCATATATTCTGAAATATTTAACAATAATACACTATCTTAATTAGCACCAAACAATGTGGCAATCTGGTTTACCTAAAATGCATAAACTTTCCACACATGGCCTACAGTAAACCATCATTCTTCAAAAAGTAATCAGGCTCTCTAAACCTCTCTATAATTATACATTCAGGATTCTTCAATATTTTGTAAAATCATTATTAAAATAATAACCAACAATGACCAAAGCAAGACTTACTTCTGGTTTTTCTTATATATGGGGCCAAATAAGCAGGCAGATATCAGTACATCCAGATGCTGCACAGCATACTTTATGTTGTTATCAGTGGAAAGAAACCTGCTTAAATTTGTAATTATTGGATTTACAATGCCATTCTTTGTGTCACCCTTGGTAAACATGCTATCAATGAGCTGAAATATAGACATATATATATATATATAAATATACATGAAAAAAATCCAAAAGGTTTTTCTTAAAAAGAAAAACAAAACATTCACAAAAAATAAATAGTTGTCCATCATTATAAATAATAGCATTAATTTAATTTAAATCTAAATACCTAAATTCAGAAAATCTATATACTTAGATTAGCTTACCTGAATAATTCTTGCAATTCAATTTGAATAGATGAAAAAATCACATCCCCCCCCCCCCAATAAAAAAAATTCAAAATTCAAAATTCTCAACAGACATTCCGACAAAGCATCAGAGTAAGGCTACATCACAAAGAAAAGAGCTATGCATTACTGAACCTTTTTCAATGCCTCCATTATAGCAGATTTCATTTGGCATCTCAACAATGCAGGCTGGAAAGCCAGGTTTGAAAATTCTTGTAATATTTCCCAGTACAAGGCAGTCTTTGTCTCCTCCTCAGTTTTGGTCCATAATAAAGAAAGAGTGCTAGCTACTAGGACCTCGTCTTCTTCAATGACCTGGAGAAAAGTTGTCATTTAAATTAAAACTAAATTAAATTAAAACGTGATTACTTACGTGATATCTTATGTAAGCGGGATAATAACGACAACTGGGGTTTTTTGATAAGTTTATTCTTGGTAATCAAAATAATAATTAATATAAGACTAAAATTAAGGCTTCCAGAGAATCCTGTGCTTTCATAAAAGAATGAACCCGCTTACGGCACATCGAAGACCAACATCAAACAGAACAAAAAAACACATCAAAAACGCTGAGCGTGTCACGGCCTCCACGAGTGTGCTGCGTCATGTGCGGCCGATGACGTGGCTCACGACGTTCTGCGTCGTCAGTGGCGACGACGACATTGCATCAAAAATGTACAAGACAAAGAACAAAACAGGGTACACTTACTATGAATAAAAAAGACCAATATAAGCATTTATTAATTTTGACATTGCTTCTCAATAGAAAGGTATTTTACCATGGGAATGATGAGGTGTGCACACTGTATTGCAGGGATAAGGAATTCTCTTGACAAAACACTGACAGCTTGAAAACATTTCTCCAGGAGTTCTCTGTATGTGTATCCACAGGTTCCCAATCTAAATTGCAAGGACATCTTCACACATTTTATTTCAGCAACAAGAAACTTGCTGATAAAGGACCCCCTGTCTGAGGTGGAAATCCTGCAAATGAAACAAAATGCATTGTAGAAGTAGTATTTCTTTGAATAATAAGTCATTATATTCATCCTAATAGTGTATATTTCACTACATATAAAAACCTTGTAACGAAAAAAAGGAAGGTGACACTTTTTCCCACGTTTTTACAAGTTCAATGGCACTTACTCCGAATCATCTGTATCACTTGGTCTTTCCAATATTGTTTTCACTATATTTTTCATGGTTTCCAGGAACAAGCTAATCATCTGTCTTAGGATTTCATCATGACTCAAGTTGCATGTCAACAACACCTCTCCCAAAATGGAAACAGTCTCCATAGCAACTATCTGATGTACCAAGCATGTCATTCTTTCCTGTAAAAGATACAGATACTTTCCTTAAGCCTGTAAAGCTGGATTTCACCATGAGTATTCAGAGCACAAAATTATTTTATTTCTTACTGATAGTAAAGGATGATAAGTATGCTATGCTAAAACATGTTCATGACATGTTATACAAAGGATATCTTACCTGACAGTCTTAAATAATAATCACAAACACAAGAACAGACTTCTTGATTCCTAAACAACTCATTTATTTGCATTTTCTAGAAATTACTGTTATTTCTACCCTACCTTTTCTACACTGCCCTTCATCATGTTCATTCCCCATTGGAGAAGATCCTGGATAATAATGTGCTCAGGCTGCTGTTTGTGTCTACAACCACCGCCTAAGAACCAGTAAAGAGATTTCAGCAACACATCCAAATGTTCCAACTGAGCAGGCTGAAATTAATAAAGTGAAACTGAAAAGGATTCATCTTTGAAGTGTTTTGAAAGAAATACTTGAGATCCATTTACATAATTCCTATAATTTTTGAAAGAGAGCCTCTCTCATTTTATTGAATCATACCAGGACAAAGCTGAATATTTGCTTAATAATATGATAATATTCAATTTAAATAAATCATAAAAAACAGCTTTATATTCTAACATCTAATAGTCCAAAGTATTAACAATAATCTATTATGTTTTACTTACATTGCACAGGGTGCTCTCAATAGTCCGTTTTACAAACAGTACAGTATCTGGCAAACAAATCTCAACTAACTGGTGGATATAAAAGTGGAGTTCATCTGTAGATTCTGAAAGAAAAATTGTCTTGAAATGCAAAATTTGACATCTGAATATTGAGCATTCCAGTATCTTATATCAATAAGTATATTGCAAAAGTACATGTATAAGTTCACAAGTTAATTTTTTTATTTCATATATATTCATATATCTTCAATGTCTTAATAAGAAAAAATTGGACCATTGTTCCAACATGTAACTTTGGATTCATATTTGTTTTTTGTAAGGTAATAAGAAGTAATAACCTGATTCTGTCTCTGTCAACAATATAGTCATTATCTTCAAAGCCTGCTGTGCCTCGCTAGTGGACATGTATGCTCTTGAGTTGACAGATTGCAGGGTTTTAACTACTGGGTGGAGCAAAGTTTCCATGGTGATGATTTCATCTTGTGATTTCAGATTTACAACACCAGCATCCACCGACAACAGGAGAACTCTGACCAATTTCTGAACTTTGTGATCATCTAAAATATTTGTATTAAGAATAAAATAGATCATTTAAGAAATGAAAGAACTGGGAAAAATGATATCATTTTTTCTTACCAATATTATTTGCTCTAAGATACTACAATGCCAACAAGAGGATTAACATTATAATTATCATTAAATCCTACAGCCTTAAAATTAACAAAACAAATACAATAAATTTCTTTTTTCAAAGCTAATGTAGAAACCTTTTTGAGCTTTTAAAAGCAGGATCTCCCTCATAGAACTGGCCAAATACTTTGCTACACTTTTTGGATTCCATAAACTGGCTTCTTTTTTTCCACAAGTCTCTCTCAGCCAGGTTACACAGCGGACATATAAAAATGTTCCGCGTCTAAAACAGCCGTCTCTTGTCAAGACTGCCAAAACTGATGCTACATCTTCTGGAGGTACATCTTCCTAAATAATCCAAATATAATCACTACATGTAGCAACACTATCAATATTAGATTAGGAATATAAATAACAGCGTTAGTTTCCTCCAACAGTCACATACACTGTACAATATGAAAAGTAGATTTTAACATGCTTTAAAAATTATGATGTAAACAAAATGTCCCCAAATAAACAGATGTAAACATTAAACAAGGCAGCAAAGCTGTCAAATGTACAGACAAAAAACAGAAAAAAAAGATGCAAAATAGGTCATTATGTCAATTTTGATGCAATAATAAATGCTTATAATAGCACAGTCAGTCAACACTGATTTTTAATCATGCACAACAGGTAACATGGTCAATAACAGGAGCAGATTCAGAGATATTTTCTGACAGTATTCCAAAGTATCTCTGTTGATCCATCCTCCACTTTGATAGTCTTCCAACAGAAACCCGTTAATATAAACTGTAAAATCTGACTGTCTTCCAGGAGACCCAGAAGATGGTCTTAATCCACCCTTTCAATAAGATTACAATGTCAGGACCATGAGAGTTAAAATTCACATGATGAAAGTCCCTATATATGAAAAATGATGACAGTGCATAAAATAATATTACATCGTGTTTAAAGACATAAATACCAATACAGCTGCTTATGTGGAAATACTGAAAATGTGCACAGCCTCAGGTGGATGGGAGTTAAAAATCACATCTTAAAAATGCCAGTGTTGGAGAAAAAATTAAATAGAAACAACAAAAATATAATTCTAATGAAGCTGTTATTCACTGCTTCCTTATTATGGACACTATGTTATCTAGCAGAGAGCTTAACAGGGAAATATCAACAAGTGTGCTTTATGAAATTTCAATTAATGGCTACTTAATTAGGTAAATGAGTTTATAGCACTGAAATTAGCCTTGTGAATACCCAAGGGGAATTAACAGACTGACCACACAAATTTGTCTATCAAAGGTCTTCAGGCCCATAAGTCACACCTTAAGAAAAGCAGAAAACAATAATGCACAAAAACAGGAGACTGCCCAATTCTGATGCAATAATACATTATGTTTAACTGCACAGTCAACATAAAATTTTAATTATGCACAACAGGTAACGCTGATGAAAGTAAAAGCATAAGGCTCCAGGCCCATCAGAGTTCAAGTTTTCAATTAGAAAGTGCCAGAATGAGAAAAATGAAAATTTCACAAAAAATGCATAAATTTAATAAAAATGATGACCCAATTGACCTGGCTTTCTAATTTGAACTGCATGCCAATCCTAAAAATCGTACTTATAAGTTAAATATAATAATAAGTAACACAGTTTTCTTTTCATAATGTTTGCAGTAGCAGTGCAAAAAGATTATTGTCAATTTTGATGTAACATTACATAATAAATTATAGAATAATTATCACCAATTTTTGATTATTGACTATAAATAGCATGGACATGTAGAAAATTTGATTACCATTAGGCTTCATGTCCATGGGAGCTCTGAGTCCCACAATGAATATGCCAAAAAGATAATGAATATTTCACTAAGTGTATAACTTCCAGAAAAAGAAGCCAATTAGACTGCTTTTCCAACTCGGGCTGCATTTTAGTCCTGTGTTTCTTTTTTGAAAGTTTGACAGTAATAAGTAACACCGTTTTCCCATAATGGTCATCATGGCAGCAGCACCAAATATTGTGTTTTCTTCTATTTTGATGCAACATTACATAATGCTTAACAGCATAATGACCATCAATTTTAAATGATAAAATATACGTGTCATGGATTTTCAGAAAATGTGACTAGCAAGGGTCTTCAAGCCCGTGGAGGTTCTAAGTCGCACCTTGAAAATGTCAATAAGTGAAAAATTAAATTTTCACAAAAAACTGTTAAATTGCCAGAAAAATTTACCAAACAGACTGCATTGCCTACTGAGGCTGTATGTTAGACCCATGTTTCTTTCTTGTAAGTTTGAGAACAGCAAGTGACATGTTTTCCCTTAAATGGTCATCATAGGAGCAGTGCCCTAAATAGGGGTTTCTTCAAATTTTGATGCAACGTTACATAATGTTTAACAGCATAATAACCATCAAATGTTATTAATAAAATATTAGTAACATGGACATTCAGAAAACATGACAAGCAAAGGTCTTCAGGCCCATGGAACTTCAAAGTCACATCTTGAAAATGCCAAAATGTAAACAAGACAGCACTGTCCTGAAATGGGTTTATTTCCATTTTTAACACTTTTTTAACATAAAACAAAATAAACATTTTACTGCCATTTTTATATGACCAACTAAGAAAATTGATGAGATGGGAAAAGTATCAATAGAACAGTGTTAAATGTCCAATTTCCTCCATTCTGAGATTCTGAACATAGTGGATGATTGAATCTGACAAACTGCAATGATATGAGTTTATTTCCATTTTTGACACTTTATTACACAATACATGATAACAAGTTTACCATGTTTTTTTACATAATCAACTAACAATGTTGTAAAGATGCAGGAAATATCAAACAAACACTTTTACGCATCTAATTAGTTCAATAATGAGACTGTTAACATGCCTAATAATTGAATCTGAGGAAATGTGAAAAAACAGTATAACTTCTAAAATAATGGCCCGATTATGCTGATTTTCGAACTCAACCTGCGTTTTAGTAAGATTGACCACTCCTGTGAATATAATGCCAATTGGCCAATCCGTTTTTCTTATATTGTGTTATCAGTGTTGCATTTATATTGAAAAGTGAAAAAACAGCATAAATTCCCTAAAAATGGCCCAATCATGCTGATTTTCTAACTTGACCTGCGTATTAAGAATTTTCATCAGTTCTGTAAGTTTCAAGCCAAAAGGTAAAATGGTTTTCCACTTACTGTGTTATCGGTGCTGCATATATGCTGAAAAAGTGAAAAAACAGCATAAATTCCCTAAAAATGGCCCAATCATGCCGATTTTCGAACTTGACCTGCATATTATGAATATTCATCAGTTCTGTAAGTTTCAAGTCAAAAGGTACAATGGTTTTCCACTTATCGTGTTATCGGTGCTGCATATATGTTGAAAAAAGTGAAAAAACAGCATAAATTCCCTAAGAGTGACCCGATCATGCTGATTTTTCGAACTTGACCTGCGTATTATGAATATTCATCAGTTCTGCAAGTTTCAAATCAAAAGGCAAAATGGTTTTCCACTTATCGTGTTATCGGTAAAAGTGCACGGCGACGGCGACGGCGACGACAGCGACGACAGACGCAGATGATCGCTATATGTACAGACACATCTGTGTCTGTACATAAAAAATAATAATAACATGGATGCAAATCAAGTCTCACAACATCACTTTGAAAGCTATGTATAATTAATCACAAATTTGTTCATTACCATATATGCAGGTATCAAACCAAATATGCAAAATCATTTTGATTAGTTCATAGTTACCAGGTTAGAATGCTTCAATACAGACATCACCAGCAAACAAATAGTAGCCTCTCTAATGTATGGCTCTGAAGTCCGTAGCAAGGTGGTCATGGTTTCTCTGTGGAGTGTGACACACAAAAGCAATTTCTTCATTAGTTTATGAGGACATTGTCACATGCAAACTTAACACCAGAATTCCAATTAAGCTTGATTTAACACATGGATAATACAGAACAATTGTACTTAAATTCAAAATTAAATCTCCTGTAAAAACTTAAGTTGATTGCATTACATCATGCATAAATCAGAAAGGCTTCTGTTGGAGATACTGCAAAACATCATTGCCTGGCTATATTAAAAACATAAGATGGGTCAAATAATTTATTTTTATGTCTGATATATGCAAATACAATATATACACACCATTTGTGCGGAAAACTTCTTACACATTTCTTTTTTTTGTGCACCAAATGTCAAACATTCATGTACACATACATGCAAAGCTTTATACACATATATGCCTCTGAAATATATAACAAAAGAACTATAATAATTACCTCAATAATTCCAAGGTTTTTCTGCTCCACATGGGTGAGGCAGGCAGACTAGACAGGGCTTGTGCAATACACAGCAATGGCGGAGAGGACCAGTACTGACTCACCATAATGTGCAGCAAACTATGGAAAAAATTGGCTGAAAAAAAGGTCAAAACAAATTTACTTGTGCTTACTAAGCAACTCACCCACCACCACTTATTTACAGGATTTTTTAAAATTTGGTTACATAGCATTTTATTGTAAGTTCTTAAAATAATTATTATAAAACTATATGCAAAAAAAAAATTCAAAACATCTTTGGCGATTTTACGGTTCTGGTAGTTAGATTCATTCTTTAAATGTCCAAATATGGATTCTGAATAACACAATAAGCCTAACAAGACAAGAGTGATATCATGGATAAAACATTACCTCTTCTGTTTTCTTGAAGAGCATCAAAACAGGATTGAAGAAATTTCACCAATCTGTCTGCTATGAAGGGTGGACTACCGACAGGAGAATCCTGTACCCTGATATCAGCAATGATCGAGATTTATTTCTCAAAATATTGTTATTCCTGTCAGCATTTCAAATGTTGTACAGGTTGTGATGGTTCTTATATTTCATTACTATACAGTTAACAGTTAAACATGGTTTTCCTGGTTGCACATCTTTTGTTTAATTCATACAAAACAAAGTGGATGAATATTTCCTATTAATGAAATCTCATGTGGACTGTCATGCATTTATGGTGTTTTTTTTATTATTAACTGAGTAACAATGTGATATTTTATCCCTCAACAACAGGATTTAGCACCTTTACCTCATGTACAGTCCAGGTTCTTTCAACATTACAACCAGAGGTCCCAGTATAGATTGTACTTCATTCTGCTCCAGTAGGGGGCACTGCTTCAGGTCCAACTCCAACAGGACACTCATGCCCCATTTCTTCACATATGTGCTATCATGCTTTTGAATTTTAGTAAACAAAATCCAAAGCCATGAAGTGTGAAGGAGTGATGGGCCTACAACATAATAAATCTAATCTTATATTCTACATAAAATTGTTCATGTAATTCAAATCAACTTTTAAAATCTGCATCTAAATAAAACTACACACATGTTAAAGATGGTATCTCCATTATTGTGAGAAGAAACATAACCATATGGTAAAAATATATTTTTCAAATTAAAGAAAAAGTGTAATTTGAGTGCAAACCTTCTTTCCTAGACCATGTAGCTTTAATGAGATTATTTATTCTTGGCATCAGAGGATTCAGCACATGCACCTGAAGCATGAATAAAATTAATGTATTAAAATATAGATAATAATAATTATTTATAACAAGAATGTTACAATTTTTTAACTTTTGCTCCACATTTGATATACAAATTACATCTTAATTTTTTTGCACTCCTTCTCCTAATACATCTTCACAAATATTTAATAAAAGATTATATTGATGTCACAGTGAAAACCTCACCTGCTTCTCATCTAGTGTTTCCAGCAGCAAAATCAAATCATTCCACATAACATCAGTTTCTTTCTCAGTCTCAGGACTCCAAAAGAACACTGCACCCCTGACTTCATGATATGTCTCAATACCTTTTCTACAATGTTTTGTAACATCCAGAGCCCTCTTCAACAGATACATGGATCTCTTTCGAGTTAAAGTATCATTGCTAATCAGCCCTGTTTGTATGCAAGCCCAAAATTTACAGTTCTTTCTTACATCTGAAGTTACTGTAGTGGTATGATTGGGTAATATAAAGTCAGCCAATGCACATAATATCAGATATGCCTTCCCATAGTTGCTGCCAGAATCATCATTTGATCCTTCAGAGTTGAAAGCAAGTGCTAGGTCATATAACTGGTTTACTTTGTGGAAGGTCCTATTAGGATCAAGACTCAATATTTTCATAATAAGAGATCCCACAATCTTGGCAGTGGTATTTATATTGGTATCTCTCACCATATCCATTAATATGCTGAAAGCCTCATCTAGCTCTGTTTCAGATAACAAAGCAAAGTGACTAGAATCAGTATCCAAAATATGTGACTGAGCACCTAGTATGTAACTGAGAACTTCTATGGCACAGGATTCAGAGAACTTCACAAGTTTTGGCTCACTCATTGAATGCTTACAACCCAATTCACTTCTACCACTCTTCAGTGAAGACTTACAAATAGCAATTAACTCACTGGACAGTTTTTCCATCAGCTGATTGTTAGGACCCACTGTTTTTTGAGGGCTAATGAAAGTAGTTACGAGGAGCTCACAAACAGCATGCATAAGTTTTCTATCCTCTTTGTTTTCATCAAACATTCGAAGAACTGGAAAACATACTTGTTCTATGATTGAGGCTAGGTTCAAATCATTACATGATTCTTGCTCAGAGGCCTTTTTCACCATTGAAGTTAAAGCTTTAACATGATTCAGGAGGGTAGTGTTGCTTTGAAAGCTTATATCAAGGAGTGGCAAGATATCCTTTATCAGTGACAACACAAGATCATTCATTTGAATACTCCCGACTACAGCATTCGGTTGTGCACTTAGCACTTTTGTCACAACTAATTCAGATACAGGATCCATTTCAATGGTTTGTAGGATCGTTACCAGTCGCCTCACTCTGGTTACTCCACCGATCTCTCAATCTTAAAAGAATAAATGTATAAATAGTGGCAGTTAATGTTACTCATTTTCCATACAGTTATTACGATTGCATTAAAAATAGTAAATCATTTAGAAAAAAAAAAACAAGTCGAACATGTTAAGTCTGTGCAAAACCATCCGTACTTAATAATAAGTAATAAAGACTTACAAGTTAGTAACTACTGGCCCACAGGTTACTGCAACCATGGAAGTATAGGCCAGTTATACTTCCCTGCTGCAACCTACGCATCAAAACAACTCCACACGGAACCCACGTGTACTAGTGACAACCACACTGCAAGTGTAATACCAAAAGAGCGTTCATTACGTTAAATAATAATTCTGTATTTAATGAACACCATTAATTCTGAATCATTTCCGATGATGATAAAAGAGATAAAACTGCATTCATCTTGGATACAAATGGATCACTGTTTGAAAATCATTTTAAATCGATATTTGTATTTTTGCAAATTTATACTTTTACACGTGCTACTTTTCGTGTGCTAACTCTCTAATAATTAAAGACTGGAAAGAGCACTTACAGAAAATGGTGAGTGAAATGCTCTTGAGCAGTTTTCATTTCTAACGTTTATTTATTGTACTTACCATTTATTTGTTCTTCTTACCTTTGCCATTGACCATTGTTTCTTACAGGGGAAGACAAAGAAAACAAAACAGTTTGCTCAGATGAAGAGATTGATCAGTCTGAAGGACACAAGGATGTAAGTACTAGGAGCACGTCAATGAATGTAAATAATGCCCACGTCTTAACTCCATGCTTGCCTAAATATCTTTAGTAATGTGACAACCTTCCCGTAGTAACTTAATTACAAGACATAGTTTAAAATACGGAAGCTATTGCCTGTAATCTAAGAGAGAATTCATGTAACATTTTGTTCAATTCTGCGCATATGTTTACTTCCATATTTTGTCGGTATGTTGCGTGACCAGTCTTTTACGTTTTGTTAACGTGTATTTTTAAATGCAAAGGCACAATCAAAAACTTTTTATCCCTATTTCATCCTTATAATTATTGACTGATATTTAAAACATTGTTTAATTTATCAATTTGTAAAATATTTTACTGGTAAATGCCCAGCATCTGTAGCCCATAAAAATTACTTCTCTCATCTTCCAGAAAAGCCAAAGACAAGTACAAGGAAAAGAAGAAACGAAAGAAGGCAGATCCACAAAATATGAAGATTAGAGAACTGTTAGTATACATTTTGTTCCACATCAGACAATATTTTGAATGGAAATGTTTCCACCTTTCATAAGAATTCTTTCAAGTCTATATAAGAACCATTGGAATTTCTTTACTCTTTCATAGTAGAACATTGAAATTGTTTGGTAAAATTAGATTGGTCATTTTATTTAATAAACAATTAATAAATAATTAATATATATGATTTTAGGATTAAATGTTTTTCATCGTGTATTATATTATTTTCAGACCTCAAGCTTCCTCTGCATTGTTCTTCAAATACAACACAAATTTAGGCCCACCTTATCACATCCTTCTGGATACCAACTTCATCAATTTTTCCATTAAGAACAAACTGGATATAATTCAGTCTATGATGGACTGTCTCTATGCAAAGTGTAAGTAAAATGGCATTTTAAGTGTCAGTTTTTAGTTGGTTTGCTAATAGTCTAAAATTGCATGATTACTCATTGATATACAAGTATAGTGTGAATGTTGATTTTTTGGTCACTTTATTGTTATCCAGATACTTTTAATCTTTCCAAGTTGAAGAAATGGTTAATTATTGGTAGAAAGATCATGATTTACACAACATAAATCATTCAGTTATTGATCAGAAAAAAATGTTCAATTGCATGGCAACCTTGAACAACCAAGAGTGGAAATAAAAAGTGACTAAAACTGTTTTATAATTTAGGTATTCCATATGTGTCAGACTGTGTAATGGCTGAATTAGAAAAATTGGGATCGAAATACAGAGTTGCTCTAAAGTAAGTGTTTTGCATTGATAGAAAATATCATAAATCATTGGAAAATATGATAAAATTTCAAATTATAGAATTGGGTTAAAAACAATTCATTATTAAAAGAAGCAGATAGAATCCTAAGAAAAAATACTAACAATTGTATGAATGCTTACACACTTCCTCCTGTAGTTTTGACTTATTATATATGAACTTCTTAATTTCATTAATTTTTTCAGAATAGCAAAAGATCCCAGGTTTGTTAGATTACCTTGTATGCACAAAGGAACATATGCTGATGATTGCTTAGTGCAGAGGGTTAATCAGGTGAGGAGAATATGGTATACATTGAAAATACATTCTGCATTAGTATTTTAGTCTAATAGTGTAAACTCCTTAACTGTAATTCATTTGTCAAGATAGTAACCATTTCTAGATATGATTAAGCATTATTTTTACCAAGAGCGTCACATACAAATGTATAAAAAAATTGAGTAACAGTGTAGGGTCCATTGATACTTTGCATATATAATAAAGTAATATTTTATTGCTTTCTTTTAGCACAAATGTTACATAGTTGCTACTTGTGATAAAGATTTAAAACGGAGAATAAGGAAGATCCCTGGAGTGCCAATTATGTATTTAGCACAGCACAGGTATGGTATTGCCTTTTTTGGGCTGAACGTTTCATATTGAAGGCTTGCACTTATTTCATTGGATCTAGTAAACATTTTATTAATGTTTTACTGTATTATAGGTTGATAATCAAATACAGTCTTTATGTTACTCTTGAACAGGTTGTGTCAGATATTCATCAGTTAATAGAGACTGATGGTAAAAACATGTTCTAGACAATTAGAACATTTTATAACTCTGAAGTGATGGCGTGCAACATTATAGTAGGAAGCAATGACTTAATATTGTGTTTGTATTTCAGGTTTTCAATTGAAAGAATGCCAGATGCATATGGAGCACCTAAAATATAACACCTCGGTGACAACATTGGAAACTGTGCTTAAGATAAAGCCATAATGCCTTGATTATTAGAGTCCAATGTCAACATCTTGTAGAAAACTGGAGCAGAATAATGTAAACTTTATGCTGAATTTTTGTCAGAACATTGTGAAAACCTCAGTCAAGCTGGTGCAGAGAGACATTTGATGACAGTTTGCATTTAATGTAATTGCTTGATGCCAAAAATCTTAAATATGACCATGGCAATGACAATGAAACCAAAAATAAATCCACCAAGTGCTGCAAAGTTCCTTGTCATGTGGTCCAGTGCGCCAGGATAGAATAAAGTTATATACAGGCTGCCATTCCTCAAACATAGCACAGGATCTGTAATGCAACACATTGCATTTTCAAAATGCATATTTTTGAGTTAATTAATTTACAAATCTAGATTGAATGTTGACATTAGAATATGCAGGTGGGAGGATTAATGTTCATGGTGTTGCTAAAATTTAAATGGGCTTGGTCAGGTACATTATCTGGCTGAATACATGAATCTTATGTCAAGGATAACTATGGGTCTGTTTATGAAGCAGCGAAGAGCAAAGATCTGATTCTTATTCATCAGTTTTCTTATAAGACACAAGATATTGAGCATAACAGTTAACTTCATACTTTAAATATGAATTTACCAAACTACTGAATCTAACTTCGTTTTTAAAATGGGTAGAGTTAAGGTGTAGAAAATCATGACCTACCTGAACCACAATGCAGTGTGAGATTATTAAATTCATTAGCTACAAAGATTTCACCAGCATATTTGTATGGCGATGCCCAGGAAAGCCACTGGATAATCTCGGGCATGCTGCTGACAGTCCTGTTGGATGTGAAATTGTCAAATAAATTATCATGTTATAATATAAATTATCGTGTTTATAATAGCTGAGACCATGCATACTTAAAACAACTTTAAATTGATAAGAAATATAATAAAAGACATACACTATTTTGATTATTATTGAAAGGAGTGAGAAGGACTGAATCAAGAGAAGGTAATAATGATTAGTTTGATATAATTACATTCATGCAAATTAACATCTAAATGGTAATAATTTAGTGCGTAAAATGGCTTGAAAAGCAAGACTACCACCCCCTTTCAAAAATAAAAATGAGGGTCATTTTCTGTTGAACAGAGTGCATAAAGACTGCCTAGGTAACTTGCCTGAGAAAACCTGGAGCTATGAGACCAGATATTGTTAAAATAAGTGCTACAATGCTGCTTGCAACTCTTGGATTTTGCATCATGCCCAGTAGGATGACCGTCATGATCTCGCCACTGTAGTGGAGGAAGAACACTGTGGCTGCATGCATAGCGTAGAGTTTTGGATCCGGCTGTAAGCCACATACCCTAAAATGTAAATGGTGTTGAGAAAGCTTCAAAAATTGACCAGTGAGCGGTGATTGGAAATGTTTAAATGTTGTGTAGGTAAGGTAAAATAATTAACCTGCTATTTGGACCTAAACTACCGCCATGATGAACATTGATCTCGACAAATATGGATATTATGATTTTATGGAAATGACCGAAAATCTTGTATACTCAGAAAATTGTTCTTCAGGAGGGAAACCCCACCTAATATAAAAACTAAATGTAAACTAGTATTGAGATTTTATAAACGCCTGGCCATAACATAATATTTTATATGCTAAACGCTTTATGTTATCTTGTAAGTGATCGATATCTGTGAGCGGACATAAAAATATTTTCAGTATCAATAATGTTAGGACTAGTTCCCAGAGTTGACAACTCTAGTCTGCGCATTTACGCGTATTCTTCCCATTATTTAGAACAGACTCGCATTGTTTACAGGAATTATTCTATTGTTGATAAGATGTTAGGCAACAGATCAAAAAATTTTGAGTACTATCATGTTAGCAACCGTGAGTTTCATGTTACACATGAGTTATTGATGTCATAATAGACATAGCCTTACAGGCAGTATCAACAGGAAAGAAGTGGTATAACCCAGACTTGACTTACCAATACGTAAGGGTGCTGTACAAAATTGAGCTTAAAATGCTAAAAGGCAAGGTGTAAAGGCAAAAAGATAACAGGAACGCTGGTAAGACATAAAGACCATCTCTGGATTCTCGGTAATATAGGTCCCGTAAGCTTGGAACTGCAAAAAGGGAAAAGACGAGCACAAGCTACTTTTATTCATCGCATAATTTTTGATAATGTGACATGTTAGTCAGTGTGACAAGAAAATCCTCTAACTGATTTTAATATTTTAATTTAGTAAAATAATAGGGCCTAATAGTCGTAAAATAACACCAACACTTAAATTTACAGTAATAATAATAATAATAATAATAGTGATACTGTTAAAACAATATTGATCAAGGAATGGTTACAGTGTCAGTCTGTCAACAAATTTAACAAAAATTCATATAATCAAAATATCCCATTTAAAGGCTCTCGACTTCGCATGTACAGTTACAATTACTTAATTTCTAAGCATTTTTCTTTTAAATGAAATGTTGAGCTCCAGAGCGATACGTACATTCTTCAATGGTGTGAAGCATCGCAGAAAATGGTGGCACGGCTACAGTTTGGTATAATAAACCTATTCGGTCCTGAATACTTTGTTGATTGTGCCGGAGTTTTCCAAGGAACAGGCAAATCATGCCAGCGAATACGGACTGCGTGAAGATGCGTAAGAAAAATGCACTTCGGTTTCTGTACAAGTTTACTAATGACCTCCTGTAAAATGAACGAAATATTTCCAGAAAAACAGAAGGCCCTAACTGCAAACATATTTAAAACACCTAAAGATTGTTTTTTTACACATGTTAAAAGTGCTATGTCCTTCAAAAAGTTGGATATTCAATATTCAACATTCAAGTTTATCCGTATACTGGCAGGCTGAATATCTTTTGCAACAAATATCTTCTTTTGGAATAGAAGACGAACTACATGTATTTCTACATTTCCTGGGCCAGTGATTTGATTTTAAAATATCTATATGTTACATGGGGCTCCATGTACAACGGTAACAATCCACATACCTTACAAGTATGAAAAGGGAAACAAAAAATCTTAGCATATTATTTGAATTCCACATCCATGAGACGCAAACCCTTTCCCCTCCATGATTGTCGGCTTCCATAGCTTCTGTGATTTCACCAAGCATCGATATATAGTGCGGAGACTGCAATAAGTTGGCTCGCAGATAATTAACCCGTTCGTCGGATTCTTTTTCTTTATCGGCACTTCTCGTGTCGATACTTGATAAATCAACTGTTAGAAAAAAAAAAAGAAAAACAAATTAGTTTATAAAACGCTTCAAATATATATTGGCAGTGACCCAAACAAAGTCAAATACGCATAACCGATAGAGTTATACAAAATCATGTACCGCAAACTTCTTCAACCATTTTTTTCTTATTTATAAATTAATTAAACGTTGATTGATTTTTTTACGAAGTATGCATCTCCATGTAAACTGTATTTTGTATGCGTGATACCATTTCGCTCATATGCCGACGCCTGCACATACCGTAGTGGTCCAGCGGATTGGCGAATGTTGGACATGGGTATCCAAGTCTGCTAAAATAGGGCACCATTTCTGTCGCCTTCCCAAAATATATCATTTCACCTCGAGACATAATCCCAACTTGGTCAAAAGTTTTATACAGTTCTGAGCGAGGTTGGTGGATTGTACAGAGAACGATTTTGTTTCTCTGTGCCAGCTCAGCCAACGTTTGTACCAAATAATGTGCAGTGAAACTATCCAGGCCAGTTGTGGGTTCGTCTAAAAGCAGCATCTCTTTTGAAATAAGAAAAAAATGTAGGTTTTAAGTACTTGTAAACTTAACTGCTTAGCGATTTGATTGGAGTTATAAAGTTAGTCTATTTATAATTCAATCAATTAGTATATTGCAGAAATTGTTTTGCACACCGAGAGATTGACAGTAAGGCTTTCTTTCATTTTTTAGCTTATGGCTATTGAAATGTACATGTAGTAAAATACTATATTTCAATACCTCGAATTCGCCTCAATTGCATGAAAGCAAACTCTTACGTGGGTTTTGCAGTAGTTGTATTGCAATTGTCACTCTTCTTTTCTCCCCTCCAGATATCCCTCTCTCCACCATGCCACCAATCCTTGTGTTCCGCACTGGTCTAAGACCCATCTCAGATATAACGGCTTCCACCTACAACAGCACATGAAATAATAGATAAAATACATGAGTATTGTGCATATTCATCTGACAAGTCTTTCTTCTTTGTGCTTGAAATAACTAAACCAATCTAGGATATTTTTTTTTTTTGTCTTTGTATCGCCTCATGTAACAACCCTGTTCTCTTTCATAAAATGGGTTTAAGTAATCCCTGAAATTGAAGAACAATATAACAATACATGGCATGTCCTATACTAGTTTTGTGCCAAAAGGCAAATTACGTACTCTTTCCTTCAAATTTTTTGAAGATTTCCCGACAAATTTCAGTTTTGCTGTATAAGTCAGTGTTTCTTTGACTGTGAGGTTGTCCATGAGTCTGTCGGCCTGTATGACATATCCTGCAGATTCTATTAAACCAGGCGTCCCCCACACCAGTCCTTGTAGCTTGCCATTGCTCCCCATGCGATTGCAGATTACGTCTAACAAAGAAGTTTTCCCAGAACCTAGAATTAAAGCACATTATTTCATTCTCATTCTTTTATAGTGAAATTTTTGTCCAAAGTTATCCCGAATCCAGTGCGTCATTTATACGTAGACAATTTAAAAATTATAATACAAAATTCATTAGCATAGAAAACCAAATATTAACAAAAAGTACTTCAATAAATCGGATTTCGATTCCTTTTTGGATAGTTCTTCATGCATGCCCAATGTCAACTTAACCGCCTGGAGTTTATTCAGAAAGGGAAAGAAAGAAATCCAGTGTGTTCCCAATATCCATATTTAAATTTCCTTTAGGACAAACGAATTTCGTTGTAATCCCTCGCCATTATGAGACTATGCATGATATCGTATTCATATGCAACTAGTGCAGTTTAAATATTATAAAGAATGTACGTTTGATTCACATAATGGTGTAAGCCTTATCATTTCCATTATTCAATTTATTTTTGAAATGAATCGCTCTGAATTGGTCATGTGACATTTTTGACTTTGATGTACTGACTGTCACTATTGGGAATTTCATCACGGTACAGTTCTCTTATCTTAGCAGAACATATTACTTTTAAAGCCCCATACCAGAGTTTCCAAGAATTGCCGTCAGTTGTCCACTCCTGGCAATTAAACGAACGTCCTTTAGAATTTCTTTGGTTCGGCGAACTCCCAACAGCGTGTTCTTCCACCATGGTCCACGATCCTCCTTCACGCTGTAGCTAACGCCCTCCAGGCACAGAGTAAACGGAGTTTGTAAATCTGCTGGGGTGTAACAACGGTAGGAGTTGGAGATTTGCCCCGACGAGCCTGGCGAGTAAGACCCTCTCTTGTTCTCATGGGAAGGGAGAAGCGGCGAAGTTTCCGACACCACTGGTGTGCTCGTCATCCTTCACAACTTCCACTGAACTATACGTTTTCCTTACGTAAAACCTTACGTTTTACTATTGAATGAACGTTTGACTGCATCTACCGAATACGAAACTAAAAAATGATGTTATGAAAGGCTGGATCTTTGCTGAAGGTGGTATTGTTGCTCTATTGTTCACCTGCATTAGCCCGGGTCAATATATAGAATCTTTCACTTGTGTCACATGCTCAGTAAAATCCAGACGGTTGTAACGCATTGTAGCTGGCATATCAGGTTAAGAGCTGTTTTGTTATTATCTTTATCGGCGATAATTTTCAGTACCTATGTGAGTGCGTATGTACGTACGCTTATCAATTATTGCTTTACAGAATCTCGTTATGCTTAGTTATTTGTATTTTACATATTTACAATAGTCAGTGTAGGCCTATTGGGGAATGTATTAGGAATGTATTACCGATGCATCGAACTGGTACTTATTCATACATAACGATATACATGTATATATCTATGACAGCTTCCGCGTTCTTCATAATCAAGCGCATCTGGGAAGAAAAATTACACACTCCCTTTCCCATCTTTTGATCTTTGGGTGTTTTTAACAGACTTGGTCACTGTAATTTGGCCACTATTCTGCATAACCCTTACAAGACTCATTTGCAGTTCATCTGCACTATTTTCGTAAAACAGCATGTGTCAATATTTCCAGAACAATAACCATGTCGGTGATGTTTTGACCATTTGACCGACATAATAGATATGTGCACTGGCGATTAGTACATTCTAATCTTTGTTTATGATGCTCTTGGCGGCGGGGGAGATATCACTTGGACGGCATTATTAAACTCGTAAATATCTTGCTGCACGTGATCCTATGTCTTCGATAGACGGATCAGGAGTAGGATGTAGACTTTACCCGACGTGGAAACCTGTTGTCTTGACTATCGAGGTTAGACCGTGAATTGGTTTGAGGCGGTTTTGAAGAATGTCGCGTTCAAAACGGTAAGGGGAGTACATGTATATGAAGATAGTCAGTGACAGGCTGCATTGTTAACTTTTGCATCCTAAATGGAATGAGTGAGTGCCCGTGTGGTGTCGCCCAAAGTAAAACCCATGTTCATTTATTTGCTATTTACAACTCGTACATGTATGTAGGGGAAGTCGGTATCATAAGATCGTTGTCGTTATTTAAGTGAGTCTAAATTATATTATTTAAACTATTACAGCCCAGATGACGGGGCCAGATATGGAATCAGTAGATGGGAGACGTGATGCTATCAATACAAGATACGAAGAATACATTTCGTCCTATAGTCACCACTTACCGATGAATTTACAGGTGGGCTTTTTTCCTTTTTTTTCTTCTTAGACGTGGAAAAGAAATACTGATGTATTTCAATTATTTTGTATTGGCATTATTTCTTTGTAGTATGATGCTTGTTATGAAGTAAATATGTGGAATTGTCTCTTTTTCAACAGGAATTGAATAAATAAAATTTAATGAATGCAATGTAAAATGTATCTCACATAAAAAATAAAAGATAAGACAAAGTTGAAAAGAAGGAAAGAAACACTTAAAGAAACTTCAATTAAAAGGCTTCGATTCGTTCGTTCCAGGCTCAAGACGTATCCTATATTGTAGCCGAGGGAATGGCTAACATGTGGTGGGCGCGACTCACGTCCTTTCAGATGCCCTGGGAATGGACTCGGGGCCCGAAAAGAAAGAAGCGCGTCCTGAATGGGGTGTCCTTTCAAGTGAACTGCGGGCAAATGTTGGCTATACTGGGGAGTTCGGGTAAATTATATAATTTTTGTTTGTTAGACAAACTGTGTTTAAATTTCATCTTTTTGTCTTTCTTTCTTTCACTTTTTCGTCCTCCCTCCCTCCTTTCTACTTTCCTACCTTACTTCATTTCTTCATTTTGTGTTGAACTAATTTAACAGCACTGGGGTTTCCCATTTCCCCACTCATTAACTGCAGTTGCTTCGTAAAAATTCAACACCCAAACCTATTTTAGATAAAACACAGTATATCAAAGATATAGGGGCTATAAGTGCGCCTATGTAACAAACAGTGTGTAGTGATCCGTTAATTAGAACTGAGTCTTCTAAATTTTCATACATCAGATATGTATATATTTGTAAGGTTTAATTATTCAAACATACTTAGACATGACATGTTGCATGGCAGTTTAAGAGAAGTTCATTTAAAATGCAAATCAAGATTTAATTTAAATGTATCTACAATTAAGTTAATGTACATAGGCATGGCATGTTTCATGACAGTTATGAAAGCTAATTTGAAATGCAAATTAAGATAGAGTATAAAGGCAGTGACTGAGCCACAGAGAGGGAGAGACTTACAGACTGAGAGACTTACAGACTGAGAGGACTTACAGACTGAGAGGGAGAGAGATAGTTATAGATACGGTAGAAGAGACCTGAGTCTTCAGGCGCTTGAATAAACCATGTAACAGAAAACTATTCCTGCCTGTCTCAGTTGACTTATTGGTGAAAAAGAAATCAAAGAAAGTGTATAACCACCGACTGGTTATTACAANTGCAACAGCATATCCCGGAAGACAATGGGTCCTATACCCTGGTGGTAAGATTTCAATACATTGGGTGTGGCCTCTGTGTAGGTACATCAGTCTGGGCATTACTCTGTAAAACTGTGCGGACCGTTTCGTTTGGCGCAATTACCTGTCTGGCAATGCCTGTCTTTTTCGCACCATTCTGCCACAGATTAACAAATTTGTAAAGCACTGCACAGCTCATTTTACACACTGCAAACCCGACCACTTGCATGCAAAATTTCAAATTCTTCTATGCAGTAGTTGTCGACATATGGATACTTTTTTGCCAGGACCATGCTTTACCAAAGCCTAGCTTTGATCTGCCCAAAGGAGCACTACCCAATTAAATCACTGCATATTACATAATGCAGCAGTGCAACAAACCTGGTAATCAGTTAATTGGTAGCGACACACCTGACTTCACACTTCTCCATTCACATATCTTATATAAGATCGGAGTTTGTGAAAAAAAAAAACGCATTTTCACCTAGGCGTACATTCGAAACTGAAATATTCCATATTAAATGTCAAGTCTGTATATATATATATATATATATATATATATATATATATATATATATATATATAAATGGAATATAAAAATATAACTGTGAAAGTGCGACTAAGATGTTTTTAGTTTCCTTAAGTTATATTTTCGATACTGATTTTATTATATTTATTAAGGCCATAAGATGTGATAATATTTTTTTTGATAATAGGTGGACAGTGTGGTGGCTGAACTGGGCCTCAGACCAGTGTATGACAGTAAAGTTGGGGGCGCAGAAATACGCGGCATATCTGGGGGAGAAAGAAAAAGAGTCAGCATAGCAACTCAACTACTTGTGGATCCAAGTGAGCATGTTTGGCTTATTTATTTCATTAATTTTTCATTGTGGACATATATCTATGCATACACCAATACATATATGCTGACTTAGAGTGTATTTTGCTGATTATGCTGAAATTCTGCACAAAGGTTTGCTTTAGGGATATCTAAAGTGCTTTTAATAATATTGATAAGGCTACAGCATGGGTAGTGTCAATAGTAATTTGAAAAGGCATTTTTTTAGTATCAACTGAATTTTATCCAAATGCTTATGATGTGAATTTCAGGTATTCTGTTACTAGATGAGCCAACGTCAGGTCTCGACTCATTCACGGCGCATCATTTGGTGGAAACTCTCTCCACGCTGTCGAAGAATAACCGCACAATACTCTTAACGATACACCAACCAAGGTGTGGGAATGGCGTAATATTTTGACTGATTTTGGTATTGTTAAGGGCGTCGTTGTTGGGCGTTTGTTTGGTTAAAAAAGGAAAAGACTTTTGTTGGAGATACGGGTAGTATTTTGAGTACTCAGCGACCACCACTTTACCGAGTCCAAAACTCTAAATTGTCCCATTATAGACGATTTCAAGCCCGCCTTTGCATGTACACCCAAGCCCAAAGAAACGGTAACAATTACACTCCTGGCGTTTGTGTTAAATAACAATTATTTAATCAAGGGTTAGAAAGGTTGGTGCTTAAGAAAAAGATTTGAACATTTCTTTCGATAGAAAATGCGGAACTTTACGACGACAATCCCCTCGCTCCCAAACGATACTTAAACGATTCGTTTAATTCATCCAAAAGTATGGCCGTTACAAATATTCGCATGCAATTGCGTTTTAGATGAAATGAGATAAAGAATCGAAGTATGTGACAATGCTTTTATTTTAAACGTTAAAACAGGTTATCGGTCTGATTTTGTGATAATATAAGTTACTCAAATTGGCAACTAGTTAATAGTTATCATTTGTTGTATTATCTTTAATTTTGTTTTTTAATCAATGTTAAGGCCAGTTTAATATGGGTTTATGCATGTAATTGAAACTGTACGCGGTTTCAGGTCGGACATCTTTAAACTGTTTGATCTGGTGATGATCTTAACTGAGGGCAATGTTGCATATTATGGAGAAGCTGCCAAAATGATCCCATATTTCACCAAGCTACAATACCCATGCCCAGAATTCACAAACCCGTGTGATTTTTATGGTGAGGTTTGGCGTTGGTCTTTGAATGTAGGCTCTATCCACTTATGTAGGTGCCATCAAATTTATATATATAAGCGACGTAACTGTTTACAATCCCTTTTCTTTAAATTTAAGTTGTGAAAACCGAACTGAAATATTAAATTTGTTGTCTTCTCAGTTGATCTCTGTACAGTCGATACAAAAACTGAAGTCACAGAAATAGAGTCTTCCCGTCGGGTGGATTCCTTGGTGAAACAATACTCCCAGGAAATGTTACAAAATGATAGCGGAGCCTTTGTTAACGGCGCAGAGGACGAACCTACAAGACTTCGAAGGGACTTGGAGGCCACACGACTGTATCTGCCTGGGTGGTTTACGCAGTGGGCAGTTCTGACAAGGTAGGCCAAATGAACAGACTGAAGCTAGTGAAAATTTCAAGGAAAGGGGTTACATTTACAGAAAACGGCTTAGGTGTCAGAAGAAACATGAAACATTTGCCGTTTGAGTATAGAGTGTTGCAAATGCTTGGGAGAAAAGCGCATACATCACCTACTAATAAGTTACATTTACGTTACACGTAATATCTCGTAATATGTTTGACTTAGAGTTACAGAAGTATAACTGTTGAACATTCAAAGTGAATTCTAACGCTCCGGAGATGTGGGATTCTAACCAATTCTTAGAATTGAATTTATAAGGTGCCCTTATCAAAACTTTCACTTAAATGTCTTCTTCATCCTCGACCAAATTCTTCAACGTATCTGTGAAAATGAGGATGGGGAGGGGAAGGGAATGAAATACACAGCTAAATAATAAAAAATTCTAATTCTCATTTTAATGAATTCCAGGCGTGCTCTGATCAACAATTTCGCCGACTATGGTTTCCTCCTCGTCCAAATTGCGGAAAGTGTATTTATGTCTCTCGTTATCGGCGTGGTCTACCTGAACCTTCAGTTTGATCAGTATGCCATGAGGGACAGGTTCGCCTTGATGTTTATTTTGGGTGCACTCTACCCGTACATGATGGTCGTGGATGTTGTTGGCAAATGTAAGAATAACTCTGCAGACTAAATTTTTAGTTCCCACTTGCACCGTTTTGTTATATCTTTTCTATGAATTACGTGTGCTGAGCTCTGTAAGACTATATGGTTATAAGTTTTTGCCCCCCCCCCAAAAAAAAAAAAAAAAAAAAAAACTGAATAAGAAACATACTCGAAATAAAAATTGTGAACTGATAGCTTACATATTATTTGACGGAGAATATTTTGTTTTTTTTTAGATCATAAAGAAAGATGGCCACTTTATCATGATCTTCAAGATGGACTGTACACCCCTGGACCATTTTTCTGGGCAAAGGTAAAATACTGTGCTTGTTTGACAACACACACACACACACATTTCAAAGCAGAAAAAAATATGCGGAATATTATATTTACTAGAAGATTCCACCAGATTCAATGACCAATTTGATTCCGTCTCTATTGCAGCTCGTCAGTGAGATTCCAGAACACACACTATTTCTGATCCTGTATTCAGTTCCTTATTACTGGTTGTCCAACATGCAGAATGATGCCTTACTATTCTTCCAAACGTTTGTGATTCTGTTTCTCACTGCGTACTGTTGCCGCTGCGTCGGCATGGCGTTTGCTGCCGTCTTTCCCACATGCCAATCTGCCACCACTTTTGCACAAGGATTTTTTGCAACTATGCTACTCTCTGGTGGCTTCATTATTAACATGGATAATTTATTTGAAGGTAAATGTTATTTCCTTCGTTTCTTCTTTATAAAAGTTCCAACCAATGAAACATTTATAAATGAGGTGAGAATATTTTGTGACCTTCAATATATATATATATATATATATATATATATATATATATACTAATTGCATTATACTATATTTATTATTTACATTATAAATATTGCCATGATCTTATTGATTTTCTTTACCTATACAGGTATGAAATGGTTATCCAATGTGTCCTTTCTGAAGTGGAGTTACCAATCCTTATGTTTGGTTGAGCTACCAGGGTTGAACTTTACCTGTCCCTTGCCAATAGGCACGTGTATTCATAATGGGTCGGAGGCCCTGAAGTACTACTCAATGGAAAATATAGAGATGTGGAAAAGCTGCACTATCCTTGGAGCAGAGTCCATATTTTTCCTTATTGTATTTTACATTGCCTTAACATTCATCAGTCAGAAACCACAAGAGTCATAATTGTCATTTTTAAACATGAATGACTTTTGCCAAGACATTATGTTCAATAAACTCTAACAAAAAGTCAAACTGTAAAGTCAAGAGAGAACAATGATTAGATTTCTAAAATAATTTTAATTGATGAATTTATATGCAAAGCATGTCATATGTTTAACACATTACAGAAGAAAGCCAGTTTCTTTGGAGCATCTTGAAAAAACTCTTCAAGTTTATAATCATTACAAAATGTAAATATTTACATTTGTATTTATATCCAGGACTAGGGGATTTGTTTGTCTTTGCCATTATAGCATTCATACCTAATAATTATCAAAAAAGGTAATAGTACATTGAACAGTCTATAGTTACTAATTGACAGCAGAATGCGTATGAATGACATTTATAATCCCAGACTATGTCTGAATCTATTGGGTTACATATCCTTCGTCAATTTCTGTACATGTACGCATGTACTCTTACACTGTATAAATACAAATATTCCTCATCTTGTTTCACAAAGACCAAGAATCAAGTAGTTACAAATGAAATAAAAGCAAGCTGAACCTCTTAGACCCACTTGCCAAATTATGCCTTTGGATACTCATAATAACAATCATGTTTTTATTATATTTCATTTGCTTGTTTAATGTGAAACCAACAGCAATACTAAGAGATAGATAGAGTTCATCAGATTTTATAACTCTTCAATTTCTTGCTGTTCAGTCTTTTTCTTGGGTTTAAACTTAGTTGGCTTGTGGTCTGTCATTGCAAAAGTGTCATGGCCTTCTCTGAAAGTGAACACCATCAAGATATAAAAGCTCAGTTGAGCTAGAAATGTTTAATGATTGTATGTTAATATCTTACACAAAAATTGTCATTTTCGATAAATCAAAATAACTATCCATTCTGTAACCTTGAAAAGCAACACACCAATATGAACAGTGTTATCAAATACTGCAAAATATCAAGCAATATTAATTGAGTTATCATAATTCCACACAAGTTCAAATTCTAAACAAGGACATTTTAATGTTTTACTACATAAAGAGCACTGCTCTCAAAAATTCTAAATAGGACATTTAATGAAAATATTTCAAGAAGCATGCTTTTGTACTGTGAACAAATAATATTGAATTTAATATTTGTAAATATTTCAGATGTATGGACAACTACACCAATTTGGGAATAAACTATAATAGACTTGCTTCTTAAAAAAAGGGCATGAAAACCTCAGTTTTCAATTATACAATAGAAACAAAAAACACCCACTAGCCTGTATGTTGCCTGATTAATAAAGAGCAAATGCTGGTTAATGAGCCCACTTACTTAAAGCACCTATCACAGTAGAGATCTCCATCACAACCATAGCACCTTAAACTGGCATCAGCATTGCAAATACAGCACCATGGTAAGTCATCTGAATCCTCCTCCTCCTCCTCCTCATCATCATCATTATAACCATACTTTTGTTCACCTTTCTGAAACATTTCAATATTGATTTTTTAAATCACAGTGCAAATTAAGTAAAAATGAGATAATTACACTAAACAGTACAACAAATTTTATACAAAATCTGTGCTTAAATATTTCCAGACAGTGAACATGAGTCTTTAATAAATCAAAATATTTTACTCACTTCAGTTTTTGTTTTTCTTTTTGTTCTTTCTTTAATGCATTCTTTGTAACCAGATTCTTCAAGTTCATCATCCAATCTGTTCTCTTCTAATGCCTACAAGAAAGAAGGGAAGTAAATTAAAAATAAAAAAGGACAATCGTTTTTTTCCTTTGCACTGTCATGATATTTTAAGCACAATATTGATTTTTCTCTTTGCCAGCACATAATAAATCAAGAGTCTTTTTTCTGCATAAGGACTGTAAAAACACAATATGTGACTCACCTTTTTGAGGATTTTCTTGATACTCTCTTCTTCATCCTCCTCGCTTTCAACATTATCATCACCAGAAACTATACAGGTTGCACCTAAAATTAATAAAAAAAAAGAAGTGCCTGTGTGAGTGTTCATTTTACAAAAGATGTGAAATACAGTACATCTATTCTAACAGCAAAAGAACTGCAAAACTCAATATCCCATGAAAATGCAAACATTTTTCATTTTCAACATGCCCATATAATATATATCATAACAGACCTAGAATCACATTTATTTCTATCTGAAATCCATGACTCCTTATAAAGCTCACCTTCAAGGACTTCCTTGTTCTCTTTTTCTTTGTTTTCATTTTTCTTTCTATCACGCTTCAGCTGAGCAAGTCTCTCTTGAATGTCCTTATCCCTCTCTAAATCTTTTATGGCTTTTTGGGCATCTAGCTCTAACTCATGAGCTGCCTCGGCTATTAGTCTATAAAAATATCATGAAGGTGAGAAAGGCACTAACATAATAATTGCTACTTTTATTTGTGGAACAGTCAATTCTATAATTCTAGAATATATGGACCCCTTTTGTATATAGTGATAAGGAGAATACAAAAAATATTGCTAACCTTTGCATTTCTTGGATATCGATGTCATTTTTTTCAGTAGAATTTGTTTGGTTTTCTTCTTCCATTGGTAAATTAATGTTTTTTCTGTATAGTTTTTCTGGCATGGAGTCTTGTTTATTTAAATCATTCTGGCCCATACTTGAGCTTCTTGAATTTTTGGCAACTTAAAATAAAAATAAAACATCAAAAATTAAATAAAAACATCAAAACATAACTAGGCAAAACAAAGAAGTAGACTAATGCATTTAATCTAGGTTATGTAGAAAGTTTTGGAAATCTTTTTATCATGAAAGGCAACATTACAAATGATAAACTATTCAGAATAATTTTAAATAAAATTAAACAACTGCGTCACACAGCTTAATTTAATCTTTTCAACATTTTTAAACTGAATATTACCTGACTCTTCATTTTGCTTTCCTGGTTGTTGGTGGAGTTGTAAGAGTCTGTTATGTATATCTTGTTCAGGAGTAGGATATTTTGAGTCAAGATCAATCTCAGCACAAATCTCATCTAACAAGTCCTCTGTTTGTTTTGCTGCAGTTCTTGTATCTGGTGCTTGATAGAACTGTAGATCGATTGGAATAATTTTTATGTGGATAACATCATTATATTTTAAAACCAACAGTCAATTGCAGAAGTTAAAAGTAAGGGGGCTTCCAAATGGTATTGTTTAAAAGTAAAAACAAACATTGTGGTGTTGATAAAAATAAATGACTACCAACTATACCTTTGTATTTGGAGCCTTTGTCATATTACTTGGATCCTGTCCTCTAAGTTTGGCTAACCTTGCTGCAACTGCTTGCTCATCAGGTACAGGAGGCACTAAAAAAAGTACTCAAATTTGTACTTCCAACTACCATGAGTCCAAAACAAGTGTCAAACTTTGATAAACTATTAATATGAGCTCTCGCATTTTCACTGACATTTAAGACAGCTAAATAAATTCAACTTTCAACATTCATTTCTTAATTATGCATCATACCCCGCTAACAAATCTACATTTACCATTTAAGAATATTATTTGTGTTGATGGAGTTACCGTCTTTTGGTTTTTCTCTTAGTTTTTCCAACCTCCTGGCAATTTCAATGTCTTCTTTCGACATGCCTTTGTGAGATTTACTTGAGGCCACAGGTTTAGCTGCTGACTGTTGTCTAGAATGTGTGGTGCCAGTCTCAGGATTATCTAGTGCAGCCATCCTTCTGAGATTATAACAGTGTTAACATTTATAAACATATTAAATATTCAAACATCAAAATGGTATAAATTATGTAACAATAATTAAAATATCAAGTTGGAATATCCTTTCTGAGAAAAATGATTCGCAACCAGTATATAAAGTTATATATTATATATTTTTGATAAATATATATTTTATATATATATTTGTGAAATGGTTTAAATATATGAAAATAGTCTGTTTATTCACTGTAGTGCTTCTGGAATTATAGTTTTAAATTAACTGACAAGTACTGATAAAATACCTTTATAAAGACTTACTTTTTTAAGGCAGCTGGGGGAGAGTATTTAGATGTATCTGTATCTTCCTGTCTTTTGCTAAAAGTAAACTGTAAGAATTATTCATTTATATAAACATTTTTTTGGTTTTCAAAACATAAAATGCTTGACTTCTGGTCCTGGAAACTCTTACTCAATTTCCTTTTAATGGTGATGATTCGTTATAATTAGCTCTGCACTCTTTGTCAATATCATTGGTTTATGCCACACTTTTCAGTACAAATTTATAATCATAAACTATGATTAGCTCGATACTCTTTGTCAATGTTATTAATTTATATTATAACTTTTAGTACAAATATTAACCCTATGTGAATCATATACTGAAATTTCACAGCAAGAATACATTATTCACTGATTAGGTGTTTTTGTAATTAGATAAAGAAAAAGGAATTTGATTTTAGTTTTGGAGAAACTTACCCAGATAGAATGTCATAACACTTCTGACACACATGGTGCACTTCACTATTGCGTTTTGGCACTGCAATTTTACTACTCACACACTTACTACAGAAGCCAAATCCACAGTTCTTACACCCATGCTGCAAAGGAATTAAGCAATGAAATTGACATTTTTTTCTAAAGTGTAAAAAAAGGGTTGGATTCTGCGTACAAATCAAGGAATGCCTACTCACAGAATAAATCAAACTTTTCTGACTCTGGCATACTCATCCAGTTAAACATTATGTTTGAGTTTTTATATATTCACTGGATGTATCTGATGTAGTGCAGTTAATTTTAAAGAAGTTAAAAGCGTAATTGTAAATATTCATGTATCAGTGTCTTATTTATATGAAATTTACATCAAAAGCATAAGGGGGAAATTTCATATTTCTGCGAGATCTGACTTTTTTTTTGTGAGAAGTACTTTCGCAGAAATATTGACATAGAAACTGCGAGAGAAATTCAGAATCCTCCAATTTTTAATATTTGTCACAGACATTTACTACATCAGCATATGTACCAGCGGTCCTGCTACTTAAGGGAATCAAACTTATTTACTATAGATCTACCAGTAACCAGTCAGTGAAAATTTAATCAATTAATGCCAAATGATGGTAAAGCCTCGGATATAATTCTATACCTCATTTACCTCTTTCTTAAATATCCCAAATTCAGTAGCACAAGAATAACATTTCCCTGACATTGTGTTGAATAGTATGGGTCACTGGTGGTGGATGTAGTCTAGGTCGATCTCCGTCAGCATCATACGTTGGCTCATCACCAAAACTATCTACCGGAAGTTGTTTACCTATAGCGTACGTCATAAAGTCGTACTTAAACAAAGTAACTTCAAAATATATTAAGTATGTAAAAATTGATACATACCGATAAATATATTTGATATATTAAAGAGAAATATTATTTGAAGTGTTCCATTAATATTATCTCTCAAAAAGTCTTGCAAAATTTCAATTATCTATTTTGGTATTTTTTTTTTCATGTTCAACGGTACTACTTGTTGAAGGGTTTGTAAAAAAAATAAAAAGCATGTGGAGAGCGTGTACATCGCCGCAATGGCATTTAAGGCCTTGTTGCTATCACAAAACAAAACATTTTCTGTTCAAAAGATTTCAGGGCGTTGTTGTGCTGCAAATTGCCAGGCTGAGTAATAACAACCCATGGACAGACTCGAATTCAGCGGGTAAAGTTGTGGTCAACTTGGATGAAAATACAGAGTGAGTACACGCTTGCCCACGCTCGGCTGTCACCTTGATTGGATAGTAAACGATTGTCGTAAAATCGCTAAATGATATTAAAACCGGGTTCATAAACTTGAAAACCACCTAGGACAACCTTAGACTGCCACATTAATCCAACACAATGCAAAAATAAACTATAACAAGTGGTTAAAGCCTTCAAACCGAATGTCGTAAAGTCCCCATATACCTCCATAGAGACAATAAAATAGAGTCAGCTTGTGAAACAAAACTCAACCATTTTCAACATAATAATCAAAATAAAATACTGCCGGGCATCGGAGCGGCCTAAAACTTGGCACGCTTATTGCAAATACTGCAGGCTACATCACCCCGTCGCTCGTTTGTAAATTCCATGCATGGTCAAACCGTAAATCAAAATTCCACCTCTGATGTTTATTTCAGTCCACTCTAACCTCCAATTCAGGAAATGACGTAACCGCAGAGGTCGTATTGTCCAATGGCATGGCTTCTTTTTCGTAATTGGAGGTTAGAGTGGACCGAAATAAACATGAGAGGTGGAATTTTGATTTACGGTTTGACCATGCACGGAATTTACAAACGAGCGACGGGATGATGTAGCCTGCAGTATTTGCGGTAAGCGTGCCAAGTTTTAGGCCGCTCCGATGCCCAGCAGTATTTTATTTTGATTATTATGTTGAAAATGGTCGAGTTTTGTATCACAAGCTGACTCTATTTTATTGTCTCTATGGAGGTATATGGGGACTTTACGACATTCGGTTTGAAAGCTTTAACCACTTGTTATAGTTTATTTTTGCATTGTGTTGGATTAATGTGGCAGTCTAAGGTTGTCCTAGGTGGTTTTCAAGTTTATGAACCCAGTTTTAATATCATTTAGCGATTTTACGACAATCGTTTACTATCCAATCAAGGTGACAGCCAAGCGTGCGCTTGCCTGAAACTCGCAATACATTTCCACAGCTGAACATCCTTTTGAAATGCCAAAATGTTGAATGGATTTTATCCAAGGATTTTGCCAAGTTGAAAAAAGATTTGGAAAAATGTTATATTACATCCCATGTTTTATTAGATTGAAGTTTGTTTTCCTAAAACAAAGATAAGCTAAAAACTAAACAGTTCAAAGTTGGAAGGATAGAAAAAGTAGAAAGGGTTGAAGTCTGAGCACCTTAATAATTAAGATGTATTGTAGGTAAACTCACAAAGTATTCAGTATAAACAGTGTTACAACAAGGTTAGATTTAATGTTTTCCTTCATCTGCATGTTAATTTGATTTTAAATTCAAATCCATTTTTTCAAGAGAAAATTGGTTCAGAATGCAGATCAATTAAAAACATATTTTGTTTCAGTTTTCATATAAATGTTTAGCTTTTCAGTTCTTTAAGAGCAAATTGATATTAAATTATAACATATTCATCCAGTCCACATATATAGGTCCCCTGAAACACTGTTTGTGCTCTGCCAACCACTGATATATCTGTGAACTCGAGATCACCAGTTTGATCGTATGTCACTGCCATTTCTCCCCCTCTGTTGACAACACGCTTAATCTTTTTATTTGGTTTTTCCCTTGTTTTGAACTTCTTCTTTTTGAAGGCAAGGGCAATAGCTGCTGCAACAGCACTTGTTCCACATGACATTGTCTCCAACTCTAATCTTCGATTATAAGTACGCACATGTATTTTACGATCTTCATCACAGTGAACAAAACTGATAAGATCTCCATAATATCTATATCCTTGAGAATCCAGACTTTCCTTGTGAAGATCCAGACTATAAACGTTTGGTTTGAACTGGATGTGATGGGGTACCCCAATTTCAACATAATAGTTCAACTCATCCAGCTTGGTTATGGTGTCCAAATCATGAAATTTAATCCTTATTGCATGTTCTTCTGCATAGGACTTGGCTGAGTGAATTCCATGTCGTGATTTGAAATAAATCTCTGCCTTCGAGGATAACTTAATGTCTATTGCATATTGTATGGCGCACATCATTGCCATTGCACACAATGATCCAGGTTTTCCTTGTATGTTGTAGAAACTCATTTCAAAGTCCCAGGAAGGATGACTTTGGATGGCTATCAAGCCCTGTGCACCAATTCCAGTGTGTCTCTCACACATGGTCTTGATCACATCTTCATTGCAGGCAAACGTGTTCTGCCGATTATCAACAATAAGGAAATCACTGCCTAGTGCTTTGTATTTGTGAAACTTTATACCGGACATGTCGTAAAATAAGTTGTAATCTAAGTCAAATTATTTACAGACTGTTCCTTTGCTTCAAAGTCCCTGTTTCCAACAGCAGTGGCTTGCTAATTGATTGAACCATGTCAGTGCATTGCTGACATGATCTCATGTGATGCAGCCAGTTTTCAACTAGGCCCAATATTTCAGCTATTCTAGTGATTGTTATAACACATGTAAAGTGGGTGGATTTAAAATGATAGGCAGGATATCAAGGATAATCAGCCATAACAATAGGTCTAAACAAGAGATAAAGATAAACAGTTCAAAATAAGTATTTGATATGGTTATTATCTACTCATCAGATGTTGTTAAATGCATTTTAATTATCGGAAGTTGGATTGTCATGATTCTTTTGTTGTTGTTATGGTTTAAGAAGACGGCAACAATACGTATAGAAATGATAACATTATTTTTTCTATAGAATAACATAAATAGAAAAAGTCGGTTATTTCTGAACCTTTTAAAGACTATATAAGAACTTCTTATGATAAGAATTTAGTCCTAGTTTAATATAGTATTTCATGGGTTACTTATATAGAAAATTGCACACAGTATGATGAAAGTTGGCATTATTTCTATTTTTGATATCATTTGATCAAAATGTTATTGTTTATCTCCTCGAGCTCTGACAAATAACCAGCATTCTGCATGTGAAAAGGAAAATTCAGGTTTACAATTAGTTTTATAGATGGGTCAATCTTTCAAATTTCATTTATTTCTAGACCAATCAGAATATCCTGTGGTCAGTTCGCAAGAATGGCAAGTGGTAGTGCTGTAGCAGAGGTAGGAGAAAAACTTATATTATCACATATACCAAAGGTGTCGATATTCAGTATATTTATGGAAAAGCAGCTTGTCTAGACAAACAAGGAATCCTAATTCTCTGCTTATGATTTACACCATACAAATTTCTCTCTATTATACCAAAATAAGTTTAAAAAATTCCAATTAGTAGAGGAATTGCAAGAACATAAGAACATAAAATGGTAACATTTGTTGATGAGCAGCCCATGTTTGGTTGTTTATGCATCCTTTTATGCAATTCACATAATGTTTGATTACCCTTGCAGATTGGTGACACTGCAGTGATGGCCACTGCAGTAAGCAAGTCTTCTCCACCCACTGCAGGTCAGGGATTTATGCCATTATCTGTAAGTCATGCTTTTTGTCCCTCAAATTTTTTTTCACTTAAAACATGTAAGTGTTTTCACAAAGTTTTGCAGTTAATATTGTTATTGTTAAATAAGCATTTTAAGATAAGAGAACTTAAATGCAGATAGCTTCCATAATTTTTATCCTAAAAGAGAAAGTTAAATTTAAAACTGTATTTTAAATTAGAGCCATTCCCCAGTATTTTCTTTTTTTTATTTACATAGTTCCCCCTCTGTAGATTGTGTGTAGTCATCATATTAATCTCCTATAAAAGAAAATAGGAAATGGCAGCTACATTCTCTTAGCAAAATATCCAGCAAATTTGCGAAAGGAATTTGATGTTCTCACAAATTTGTTGCAAATTAGCAGCAATACAAATTTATCAAGCAAACTCCTTGCCACAAACTTTAAGTTTACAGCTTTGCTGCAAACTTTTCCTTTTTGCAAAGCGGTTGTTGGCTTTTCTGAACTAAATTGTTTTGGGTTTATAAATGCTATAGAGGGGAAAATTGTTAGGAATGAGGTTAACAAGTACTGTAAAATAGCCCTAGCGGTAAATACAATGCTATTTCTATGTTTCAAATAGTCACTATGTTTTATGAACCCTGTGCCTGTATGTCAACTTAATACCAGGTTGACTATAGACAAAAAGCTGCTGCTGCTGGAAGAATACCCACAAACTACTTACGCAGGGAGCTAGGGCCAACAGAAAAAGAAACCTTAGCAAGCAGAATGATAGGTATATAAGATGCAAATGTGTGTTTTAATGCAAGTTGCTTGCCACTTTACCACTTTACAATAATAGTCTTTTTTTTGGACCGACACTGTGTCTGGACATTTAGCCATCACCTGCATCTGCTGTCATCATTGCTATTACTGTTGTCTTTTGTGTTGCCATGCACACTTTTCTACATTAGTTAAAGTATAAACTATAAGTGGAAAACCAACTTACATATTGTTATAGGATTATAGGACTATATACACATCAAGTTAAAATACCAACCTGATTGGATTATTTTCTTAAAATTATGGATCATTTGTGAATCAATTATTTTCAACAAATTAGGATTTTTGAAGCCTGAATTTCAGTTCCTTTTTTATTTCAGATAGGTCCTTGAGACCCCTTTTCCCCAGATCTTTTAAAACTGAAACTCAGGTACTTCAAGAAGAGTGATTGTCTTATTTATAGATAATGTGAAACATGTTACATGACAATAACTAATGATTAACAAGTGAGCATGAAATGTGATTGTGCTTTATCATTTATGTCCTAGGATGTAGCTTTCACTAGAGTTTGGTTTTGGTTTGCAATATGACTAAATGTGACTTTCATATTTTAGATTATGTGCAATTTAATGTCTGTGGATGGTCAACATGATCCAGAGATTGCTAGTCTAAATGCTGGTAAGTTCTCATCATTCTGTCATCTATGATGTTTGAAAAGTATTAACTGTACATATTTTCATTGATTGATTAATTTTTAAAGATAACAACAGAATTTGTGGAGGAATACTGTTTTTCTACAAAAAACGGGGCACTTCCTGGTTCAAGTTTGAAAGTCAATCTCTGGTTACCTTGACAACAGATGAAGAATGAAAAGTTCTGTTTTTGTGTCTAGTGTGGAGTTTATTTCTCAGAATAATCAAATAGCTGAATAACAGTCAGACTTTACCAATGCTTATTTTTGTTTTCAGCGTCTGCAGCCTTGTTGTTGTCTGACATTCCATGGAATGGTCCTATGGGTAATGTTTTTTTTAATCACTTGCAACTCACAACACGTCGACATCTTAAACATTTGTTTTAGCCCCTTCACCAAAGTATTTGAATCAGATTAATGTAATGAAGAGAATAAAAAGAAATAAAATGTTTTTTTTCCATATTCTGTATCTGAAATTATTTTTATGCATATGTTTGTTCATCTGGCTGACACGAACTAGGATATTTTCATGTAAATGTAAGTAAATGAACATTGTTTGATCAAATATAATGCTTACTGAAGCATGTCAAATCGAGTAATCAGTTTTGATTTACCCTAGGTGCTGTACGTATTGGATATACAAACAAAGGCTTTGTTGTAAACCCAACTAGAAAACAACTGATGAGCAGCAGATTGAATCTGATTGTAGCAGCTGTTGAAAATAAAGTTGGTAAGTGACAATATTGTACCCCCAGCGTGAGTGCTTGTGATACACATGATTCTAGTCCTGACCTGTCTCGACCGCTGGTGTTAATGCTGGCTCCCCCACACAATCACCATTTCTGCTTCTCCTCCAAGACTACAGGGACCTGTGTCACCATATCTTAGCATTAGGCCACATAATCTCAACTTGAACCTGCTAGATTTTGGTTTCTGTCACTGCATTGCACCATTGGCGACAATTTTAAAAATTAAATACTCCCAAACCAGAGGAATTATAGGAAAAGTTACTATAGACATCTGGAGATTTCAGAATATGACTAGTGAATCATAACATCTTTCAAAGAGGAGCTTTCTTGATTGTTGTAACCCTGGTTGGTGTGTGAGGAGTGGAGTCAAGTTATGGTGACCTCACTTTATAAAGTGTCACTTTACAGTTACTGGGACCTTTCTAGGAGTAATGACCAGATTATGTCTGATGCACATGTACACCCAAGTATCATATTTTATACCCTCACCATACTAGTAAAGAATTGCTCATCTTGTTTGTGGGACTTTTTTTTATGAATTGTAGTTTGTAGTTTTGTTATCATGTTGCCATCAAACACATGTATGATTTTCATTTTCAGTGATGCTAGATGGCTCAGCAGAT